TCTCCTGCGTTTGTGCACTTCGCTAATTAGACTTGCATTATTCAGTCAGATGAATCGGAAGCCAATCGGTCATGTGCCATTAATCGACGATGTGGCAATACCGGCGAAAACACGAATTCTACACGAAGGGAATTTTCTCTTAGAATTTACCCTGAAAATCATGGTAATCGTGGGACAATATGGTAGAAGAATTTTATAAGAGTTTCTCTGATTAATGTTTACCACAATAAAAAATATTAATATGTACATATAGTAAAATTAATTGAACATATTTTATATCTTTTTGTGGTAGATGTTAATATTTTTTATTGTGGTAAATATTAATCAGAGAAACTCTTGTAAAATTCTTTCCATGCCATATTGTCCCACAATTACCATGATTTTCAGGGTAAATTCTAAGAGAAAATTTTCTGTATATGTTTCTTCGCGAAGGAAAAAGTTTTTGCACGGGCGATCGATGCTTAAAGATTTAATGAAATCAACGCAATCTGTGCAGTAATTCGTAAAGAATTTTTATATTCTCTTCTGCGCGATAAAATATTTTTCTTATACCTTATATTTCTTATAATGACACGCGGTATCTACGTTGTGAAATAAAACTGCGAGCTTTTGTTACGTAGCGTAATTTTGTAATTGCTGCAATTTTCCAAAGTGCAATCGTGACAGTATTTTTGAGAGATATCCGTATTTTCTGCCATTTTCTCGCATAACTTGCCCAATGACGCAAGCGGTTTAATTGAAGCTCGCAAAAACGAGCATAAATAGAATTATACGTGATGACGAGGTATACCTATCCTTCTCGATAACTTTGTAAAGCGTGGCATTTAGAAGGAAGTTCAGGGATATTGATTTCTATAAGCGACACCGCGTGTATACAATGCGATTCAATTAGCTGGAAATTGCAATAAAACCTTTGTCGTTGCGCATATTATGTTTAATACCAATATATCTTTCATAATTAAATTTCCGATATGCGCTTTTGATCGATACAAATTTATTTCCTTATGAAATCTATATCAAAAATGACTCGTTTTACATAAATGATTTTAAAATAGGAAAGCCAATAATGAGAAAATTACATGTTGATTATTTGACATTTTGAATCGATGAAAATTAATGTTGGTAACGTAAAACGATGGAATAATGTTTTCTATCGGACACGAAAAAAAAATAAGTTACTACACAGATAGTTTTTTCTTAGAATTTATTCTGAAAATTATGATAATAAAATGAAAAATAATATGTACATAGTAAAATTAATCGAATATATTTTATATCTTATTATGGTAGATATTAATATTTTTATTGTGGTAAATGTTAATCACAAAGAAACCCTTATAAAATTCTTCCAGTACCATATTGTCTCGATTATCATGATTTTCAGTGTAAATTCTAAGAGAAAATTCTATATGTATAACTAAATTTTAACTGTATATGTAAATTTTAACTCCCTATATTACACATGATTTAATTATCATGTCTAAATTTTAACTATGATAGCTAATATTTTTTAACTGTAGAATTCTCTGTTTAACTATAGCTAAAAATTTTACTTGTACCATAGCTAAAATTTAAGCATGATAATTAAATTATTTCAGGTTCTAATATAGAGACAGCTAAAATTTAGCTATGGTGGCTAATTTTTCCCGTGAAAGTTATCTTTTGTATCGTATCTTATTTCATTTCAAGGCAATTTTTTCGATGAAAATTTTTGTCAATTTTTTCTAAATTAATTTCATATTTTAGATCTTTAATTTTATACCTCTTATAACTTTTTATCGATTTTTATTTTAGATAAAAATTAATGTTTGTGTAAAATGATGGAATAACGTTTTGCATCGAGAGCTATCATTCGTACCGTATCTTATTTCATTCGGCGTAATGTTACCATTAAGATTTAAGACCTACCGGGTGGAACTTGCAAAATCGCACGCGCGTAGACGCGAAAGAACCTTTCGGGCTGTTGCAGAGCTCATAACCGAACTGCGTACGATGCTGCATAAACTTCGGGAATCGCGGTTATGCCCGGCATATACGCGGAGATGGAAACATAAATAAACCGCGTGCCAAATAACGCCTGGGGCGAGATTAACGATAACCGAGATGTGCCTGAAGGAGGCACAATAATCTTAACTCACTCGTTCGTTTATACGAGACGATCTCTTATTTCTGCTCTCTCTTTCTCCCTTATCCACCGCTAGTTTCGTCATTTCACCCCCTCGCACATTTCGGCTTTCCCTTCTCGCAATAAAGTCCCTCATTTATCGTAAAACATTTGCCTCCGCGCGATGTAGAAGCTCAAACGGTACAAAACGATGTGTGCGCTCGGAGAGGGAAAAGGGTACACTTTCTTAAAATAAATATCTCACGAAAGCACATCGTAATCCTCCCCCGTGTGCAATGCTCGCCGCGATTGTTAACTTTGCGCATTTTACCGCCCGTACAAACCAGGTACCGATCTAAAATCCTTATTGGTGTAGCTACTGACTTTGATTATGTTTGTTCAACGATACCACCTCGTAAATCGACAGTGCGATTCAACGACGATCGTGTAAAGTAGAGAAACGACGTGTAATATTAAGCTGGAGATATATTCAACGAAGAGAGTTTTATTAAGCCTTTCGAAAGTAATCTCTGAATTAGGTATATATCATTTTAATTTTTAATATCTTAAAAATATTGATTCGATTTTTCTCTTATAATATTATTAAATTTTTCACATTTATTATATAAAACAATAGTACTTGAATAATATTTGCATGCAGACTTTATTCAAACTAAAAGCAGATTGTTTACCTACAATTTTTATAATTTCTGCTTAGAAGATATAACTTGTAAATTATCTCGTGGATGCAGTGCCAATATTTGCGACATATGGTACGATCTTCTTCCCAGTTGGCGAATGCGAATAGGAGTACGAAATTACTCGTGTCATCCGCTCCTAAATTAAACCAAAGCTCGTTATTTCTTCTGCAATATATGCAAGAAAACTGCCCACCTATACGACATATCTCACGTCATAAATATCTGCAAAAAATGCATATTTAATGATCCAAAGATCAAGAGCGTCATGGTTCATGCATGACATTAAAAAAATAATATTAACTAACGCTATGCATACTTAATTTTTATGTTACATTACTAATTGATTTTTTTATCATTCATCGCTACTTAAATTAAATTATTCGCAAACTAATTTATTTTCTAATCTCAGGTGAAAACTAATTCATTATTATAAATATATATTTTCTTTATGTTTTTTTTCAGTATTATTACACTTTAGAATTTCCACTTTTTATTATCAAAAGAATTTTATTTAAATTTAGAGAATATATGTAAGTCAGAAAATCTATAGATTTTGCGTAGATGACAGTACGAAGAAAATTTATATATCGTTTTGTTAAATAACAATTTCTTTAATAGATTTTGGTGATTACCTTCTTTGTCATTACTTACTCTTTTTTTATCTTTGTTATCGAAAACAGTCGCTTAATATCTTTGTGAAATACTGTAATTAGGAAAAACTTACATATCGTGTTACGTTCACAAGTTTGCACAGAAGTTGAAATCTTGCCAAATCTCACTTTTCTATTTATATAACGCAAACGATAGATCGAGATTTAGATTTTGATTTTAAAATCTCGTTTTAATATTAAAATGATCGATACTGAAATATTACAACAAAATATTTTTTTCTCCGAAGAAAATTCTACTATAATAAGGACGAACAAACAGCCACTTCTTTATAAATTATTAATATTAGTGATTTTATCATCGTTAGCACAGTTCAATTAAGTTTTTATACTACTTATACAATCTCAATACTTTGCCTTACGGTCATGAATGTATAATTTTTATCTATTATTCTTTATGTGTACAGAAAGAATTAATTAATGTTCTAATTAAATATTCTTTATACTTATGTGTTATATAAATCACATAAGTCGAATATATTGCGTCAAAATATGATTGATATTTTTAATCTTTTTTATTTTTCATTTTTTTGCTAAATTTATACACGGAGAGAATTTTGTCTTAGAATTTACCCTGAAAATCATGGTAATCATGGGACAATATTGGAAGAATTTTATGAGTTTCTCTGATTAATATTTATTACAATAAAATATATTAATATGTACATAGGTAGTAAAATTAATCGAACATGTATCTTATTGTGGTCGAGTTTTAGGGTAAATTTTAAGAGAAAATTCTCAGTGCATAATTGTACATACGTAAAACAATCTTACCAATTATGCAATTATTTTTTCATAGCTATGACAAACGCGAAAGTATCGAAAAATATTTAGAAACATAAAACGTAGAATTATCCCTCCCATGAATGGCTGATCGTCGCTATTTACTTTCTTTTATCATTAATCTCACTCGTTCTCTCCGACCGATTGCCATTAAATTATTCGCAATATGTCGAGCGAAATTGAACTCGACAGCCCGTAAAGTAATATCTTAAATGCAAAGACGTTGACGACGTCGTCGTCATGTCATTTTGTGTGTAATTTTTCTTGCCGGCTTTCAACATAAAATCGGAGTAAAAATATATAGGCCATCAGAAAATTACATCTTGCATCTCGCTTTTAAAAATCAAGAAGCGTTATAATGTGTAAAGGGAGAAAGAAATTCTTAATAATAACAGATTTAAACTCGTCGCTTTATAAAATAAAATATGAGCCAAAGACTCTTTCTTCTCTTCATCAACAACAATAAATTTAAGATCTATTTGAAAAGACAAAGGGAGAAAATTAAAATAAAACAAACTATTTCCAAATTATTTTAAAATAGAGTAAGAGCAGAGGAGAAAACAAAACTTGTGCACTTAATGAGACTGCAGCGCGTTTAGTGTTAAACTTGAAAAAGCATGTTTGTAACATCTCGAAGAAAATCTTGTCGCTCATATATGCATACACAAATGCCCCACTACGACTTCCTCCACGACGGTGTCAGCCGGTTTTCTGTCGGTCTGCCATTCGTACGACACTCATGCCACTCATGAAATGCTGCCAACTCGCGAAGTTCGCCATCACGCACGACTGAAGGAGTGTCGACCGGGATATTTCTAGTCAGGTTCTTTTCGCGGACTTAGTACCTGAGTATCGCGGATGCCCGGTGCGTCTAGGCCGCGCGCGTTCTGCGTTGCACATATGCGTATGCACCTCGCGCCCGTTCTCGTCTCGATTTCGTCGAACCGTGTGCATCGTGTCGTTTCCGTGACTGTGAATGTGAGAGATCGGAAGTATGACCGATAGGAATATCGTGAAACCGAGACGAAAGCGGCTTTCGGAGGACCTTACCGGAACAAGGTCGTCGGAAAGGTCGGACAGGCCGAAGGAGCCGGCGAGGCCGCCGAGAACGAGGACGCAGCAGCAGGTCGCGTGTGTGACAACGACCAACAATTCCGATTTTGGAAATGGGAATGTCACGCAACGCGGCACGTCTGCGGAAACGCAGGAGAGACCGAGTTAGTTGTCAATCTTTTGGAAATGCGGTCGTCTGTTCACTCAGTGATCAGCTCAATCCAGGAGCTGTCTTTTTATTCAATGTGTTTCCTCAATTTTCTTCTGTTTATCTTATCGTTTCAATAATTTTATATTCACAATAATAAAATAAAATAAAACGGAATAGTGCACGGAACAAAAATTAGCCACTGTAGGGACAGCTAAAATTCAGCTATGATAGCTAATTTTTTCTGTGTAGAAACAGAAAATAAGTAAAAGAAAATAGCGAAATTAATTAAGAATTTCATAAAATTTTTTATTAATTTTCTATAAGCTATTGAAATTTTCGTGAAAAATTTGGGAAACGCTAATCGAAATATTTATTATCATATGCTTTTTCTTTTCCTTCTGGAAGATTCTCCTTTATATTTCTTAAGAATCTAAAGATAGAAACATGTTGATACAAAGTCATTTGAATTTTAAATCAGATCACTTGTAAGCCTTTTTAATAATAGATATAAAATAACTTTTTCTATAAAACATAAACATGTTGTTGATCAAAACACGACTAATCGCGTTATTTAAAAATCTGTTTCCAGCCGAGAAGGCCCCGATGACGACTCTTGACGAGAACGTGAACCGCATACCACGACAGCAGCATAATAATAAGACAGCCGAAAATATGGGTCAGTTACTTTTCTTATTATTAGCCACAGCTGTGTATGTTTTGCATGTATTTGACCGCTTTCTTTAAACCGTTCGTTTATCCGCCTGTTCATCTTATTTTTCACTTTCGTAAATTACATCGCTGATCATTTTGATTATACGTAGCTGCCGCTGAAAACCTCCTAAAAAAAATGTAACGATTCCAAACGAATTTCGAAGCGACGACCCACTTTTGCGTACATGAGAGAGATCCTCCCTCACCTCTTCCTCTCGTAAAATAGTTTTCCTTTGTGTACACGAAAGAAAGCCAACAAAAGCGACCCGTAACTCCTCAAGAAATCTTGCTGGATCAGATTTTGCGACGAGTTCGCGCGGCCAGCAGCTTTCTCGGGCATTACCCGAGTTTTTCCTGCAATTCTTGCGAGAGGTTTGACTTGAGTTTACAACTTTTCGGAATCGTTCGCGACAAAGCCATCTTGTTCTTTCGAATTCAGTTTTGAGTCTTCGTAATATCTCGACCGCGTATGATTTCAGGCGCGATGCGCCGTAAAGGATGGAAAATGTGAAAGTTGGCTATTAAATTGCAGGAAGTCTCAAATTTTCTTGCAAACCGCAAAATGTTTTCGTTACGATCACGCGAACAATCAATATAACATGAACTTCCTGTTAAATATAACACGTTGTTCCCCGCCGTATCGCGTTATCTATTTGTAATTAATATACTCATTACTAATGATGATTTGGAGTTGAATCTATCAATATATAATTGCAGTGTTTACTTTCTTTGAGAAAGTTACTTTAATACTGGATTTACATGAAAAACTTTCGAATAATTATCGATCAGTTTGATTTATTCATATCTCTATAAATTAACGCGATCATCAATCTGCGCCAAATTGCGTGACAAAGAAAATTCTACATAATAAATATTAATAATAAAATACAAATTGCGCGCAAGATATCAAAATAAATATATAAATGTATAAAACAATTTCGATACTTTTGTTGGTTCGCAATAACGTGTTATTTTTTTAATTGTTCTTCTATCCTCTTGCTTCGATATTTTAATTAATTAGATTCTAGTGGCACCTTTTCTTGCCGTCTCGTTTCACATGAAAAATTTTTCGTGCCGTACTTAATTGCTGTAACACAATAAATGATTCGTATAATCGTGAGATTGTAGAGAATATCGTGGAGGTCGGATGACGTAAAGATTGTCGTAGAAAGAGAAGCAAGAAGGAAGACTATAAAATTGGCATTCGCACAAGTATAATTGGCCGTTTGCTTGCAATAAATAATCGTTTGCTATCATTAAAGAAAAAGAGAGATATATCCCGACTATATAAGACGGAATGTGCCGGTTGTCAACGTTATTCGTAATTGAAGACGTCCGTCATACACTTGATCTTCTTATTGAAATATACTTGTTAATTGAATGTGCATATCGGATATATACTATATGAATAGTTCTTATTGAACTGCTCAATATCATGAATATTCGGAATTCTTGGGAATATGTGAATCGAGAAATTCTAATGCATTACAGTTAGAAAATTATTAATTCTGGAATAACTTAACATGAAATACACAATAATTGTTTTTTAATATTTTCTAATTTTTTTGTATGACTTGTCTTTGCAGTATTATTTGCTGAAAGAATGACGCAAAATATACAAAAAACCAATTAATAATATAAAAACGTTAATAAAATTATCAGGCATATGTACATAAAACGTTAAAAAACCGCGAACAAAGGTTGAGATATACAAGCTGATTTGTAATGAGTTACCTTGAGTATGACAAAGCGTAATGCTCATCGTCATTGAAAACATCGACCGTGACATTGCGAGAAAATACATTATGACTTAACATCGAGTTTTGTCGCGCAAAAATATTGTAAAATAAAGTAAAATACTTTTTAAAATAGCCTTTCTTATGCGAATTATATCACGCGTTAAGTCACAGTCGTCATTTGAAACCTGTTGCTTATTGCTATAAGAAGTGTGACAAAGAGAGATATGAAAAATATATCTCTATCGGTTATCGTGTCAAACTTCAGTTTCTCGTGATATCTCTCGATATCGCTAATATAATATGATGTGCAATGAAATCAGTTCTCATTTGTACAATTGTTCTACAATTGTAGTATTCTTTAATAGTGGAACTTCGTCATAATAAGAATTGTAAAGTGGTTTTTTTTTTTTTTTTAATGATGAATACGTAACGATTATTTATTCTAATGCGTACGTAAGAAAATCGCAACAATACTAGATTAGGATAATAATAGTAATTAATATAATAATAACGCACACAAATAACAATTTCAGATATAATTTTTATATATTCTCTGGTAAATCTATTTGTTCTTTTTACACGAGAAGTAAGAAATGGAATGCCGGAGCATTCCTACTAATTTCCTGGCACGTCCTTCTGCAATGTAATTATTACCGATGCACTCTCGTGATACGAATAACGGCAATTAAGTTAATATACTACGCGGTAGAGTAATCTCAAGAACTAGAACTTCTTATTTCGTTTCTCATCCATTTTATTGGAAACTTGTGGTATTCCATCTTTGTATCGCAATGATACTTTTCGCATTATCTTTCCGAGTGAAGAAACTCGTCTTTTTCGTTAGAGAAAATGCTTTGAAAAAATTTAGTAATGTTATTTTTTAAAAATATTAAAATAATAATAAGATTTAAAAACTTATATTCTAATAAAGTAGATATTTTTAATAATTTCTATATTCTAGTTTACCGTTCTTTCTTGTATAATTTATAAGAACGACATTGATAAAAATTATTAAATTTTTTTCTTATTTCTCTTTGCTATGCAGCTGATGACATATTTAAAAATCCTTTGGCGATTTACATTCAGTCGCGAGTCTATTCGATCGACTTGCCATCAGTGACGTTTTAAATCTCCCATTCAATCTCACAGCTGATCCGAGTCACGTGTCACGGGTCAGTGCTTTAGACACGTAACTGGCGGCGGGTTGGTCTTGGATTGTTTGTTTTCGTGCAACATGCAATAAATTACACCCTGAAAGCCCGTTTACGTGCCTTGCTGGTGTCAAGGCCTATATACACGTGGCCATGTATAACTTCCTCGTTGTATCCTTCCTCCTATCCTTTGTAACCTTTTAAACAAACGGGATATGAAAGCGAAACAGCGGCGAATAAAGTGGTTCGTAATCTGACGGTGGTCCAGAACTTGTAATTTACCATTTGTATAACTTTTAAACATTAAACAGAATTGCGTCATTCTCCTAAAAAAAGTGTGTGCCAAAATTCATTAACATTATCTCATTGCTTACAGATAATTAAAAAAGCTAAATTTATTACTGATGTGCATTCTAGAACTAAGAATTAAGTAGCTTGTTATTGATAATTATAATTAATATCTAAATTCTCATAAAGAATTGACGATTGATATTATTAACAAATATTTATTTCTGACTATTTAATTGCTACATATGTAAATATAATGAAAAAAAGTATATTTAGTTAATTAAATTTTATAGAAAATTATAACTTATTTTCAATGTCCATTAATAAGATATATATATATATATATATATATATATATATATATATATCTTTTTTTTTAACTTTTTCCCTTTAAACTTTTTTAAATTTTTAATGAATCTTGAATTATCTTTTTTTTATATTATTATTATTATTAATTAATTAATATTGCATTTATTATTGAAGATGTTTTATATTTGTCACAGATTATATCGGAAGGAACGATCGAATAGAAAGGATTATACCGATGGATAAGCAGACATTAGACACATCAACGGATGAGGGGCGACCTGTCCAAGTGGTACTTGCCCATCCAGATCATACCTTTGAATTAGATGAAGAGGCATTGTCCGAAATTCTTTTGCATGATGACGTGAAAGATAGAAGTGTGGTTGTGGTGTCTGTTGCAGGTGCCTTTAGGAAAGGCAAAAGTTTCCTTCTTGACTTTTTTCTTCGTTACATGAACAGCAAGGTATATACATATATGTAACATCTAATTCAATGTTAGTGTAACTAAACTACTATATAAGCATATCAACGCACGTGATATTTACCAAGTTTCTATTGTTTCATGTTCGTCTGTTTTTCTATCGATGTAAAACTTTGGATGACCACGATCGACTATAAAATGTGTGCTACACTAATCAACAGTACACGCTACAAGAAGATACCGATTCCTGGTTGGGCGCTGAAGATGAACCATTGAGTGGTTTTTCGTGGAGGGGCGGTTCTGAGAGGGACACTACGGGAATACTGATGTGGTCGAAGGTTTATCCTGCTACCTTGGCGAATGGTGAGAAGGTTGCAGTGATTCTTATGGACACTCAAGGCGCGTTCGACAGTCAATCTACGGTGCGAGACTGCGCGACGGTGTTCGCATTGAGCACGATGCTGTCCTCCGTACAAATATACAATCTGTCGCAAAACATCCAGGAGGACGATCTTCAACATCTACAGTTATTCACCGAGTATGGTAGATTGGCGCTGGAAAGCTCTGATAGCACACCCTTTCAAAGACTGCAGTTTTTAATCAGGGACTGGGTTTATCCGTATGAGGCTGATTACGGAGCGGACGGCGGAAAGAAATTGCTCGACAAGAGACTGGAGATCTCCGACAGACAGCACGCAGAACTACAAAGCTTGCGAAAGCATATTAAGTCCTGCTTTTCGGATATATCATGTTTTCTTATGCCGCATCCCGGCCTCGAAATCGCAACGAATCCAAAATTCGACGGTAGATTATCCGAAATACAATCAGAGTTCAAAAAACAATTGAAAGTGCTCATACCGATGATACTGGCGCCACAAAATCTGGTGACCAAGAAGATTAATGGTCAGGTCGTGAAAGCGAAAGATCTGTTGGAATATTTCAAGAGTTACATCAATCTTTACAAAGGAGATGAACTTCCTGAACCGAAAAGTATGCTTGTGGTATGTATACATTTAGCACCTTCTATTATCTACGATTTTCTTTTTTTTTCCTTTTTGTAATACTTATTTCTGTTTTGTTTGGAAGAAGCAGTCACCTCAATCGTGTTAATTTATAATATTTTGCATTTACAGGCTACAGCGGAAGCTAACAACTTAACAGCTGTAGCGGAAGCTAAAGATTTGTACCTTCAGATGATGGAAAACGTGTGCGGTGGAGGGAAACCGTTTTTAGCGACCGCGCACTTAGAATCAGAACATCATCATTGTGTGGAATCAGCTCTTCGCCAGTTCCAAAATAAAAGAAAAATGGGTGGAGAAGAATTCAGTCAAATATATATGGAAAAATTGATTAAGGCAAGTGTGCACACATTTAATCAACTATGATTTTTAAATAATTATGTATAAATAACTTGATTTTTTCTTTCTTTCTTTCTTTTGAGAATGAATATTTTAACATAAAATATTTTTGTTTCACAATATATCTAGGACATGGATGAATCTTTCTCACAATTCAAGGCGCATAACGAAAGCAAAAATATCTTCAAAGCAGCGCGAACACCGGCAGTGTTTTTCGCGATTGCTGTTACCATGTATATTTCGTCTGGAATATTTGGTCTTATTGGTCTATACACAATAGCGAATGTATGCAACTTTATTATGGGTATCGGCCTTCTCACCCTTGTTTTATGGGCATATATAAGGTATGTGAATTATTTAAAGATATGTCTGTTACAACTTTCTATTATCATGCACCATTTCTTACTACTATCTCTTGTTTGGATATTACTTAGATATAGTGGAGAATTCAGAGAAATTGGCACACAAATAGATGACTTAGCCAGTAAAATATGGGAAAATGTAAGTATGAATATCTTCGAAATTAATCACTCAATTTTTTATTTTTCGTGTGTGTCTATTTCAATGTTTATCACATAGATATAAAATATTTCTGATAAAAGTTATATATTGTTCGCAGTGTACTAATGAAAAACGATATTTGAGAAAGGTAGAGATTTCTTTACTAATTTATTAGTTTTATAAACATGTATTGTGTACATAGTTTTCTTAAATTTTTAATTTAAAATATTTTTTATTTAAAATACAATCAAAAACGTTTACAGTTTACAGCAAGATTAAAATATTTACCAAGATATTTAAACCTGCACTAAAATCATATACGAAAATTTATCTGTTTCATATAATACACATAAGCAGCACTTATTAATCATAATATATATACATAGTTTACATTATTAACATGGATCGTACGATATTTACATTATAATTAATGCATTTTTTATTGCAACAGGTCTGGCTATGCGCTCATCTTTGTTATAAATTAATTTATAAATTAAGATACCTAATCCTGTCCATTGTTGTGATTGTGTTTGCAATACCTATATGTCATTTTACTTATCTCGATCTTTGTAGACATGGCTATATATGATCCCACGCTTTTCTTCCTCTTTAATTTTAAACTTACCAATTATTTCAATTTCGAATTGCTTCTCGAAACAGTGTTTCTTATATATATATGTTTCGCAAATTCTTTTCCAATCAAAATCTATTTGATAGTACAAGTATAAGCATTAATATCATTTTCTTCTTTTTTTATCTTTTTTTTCTATTCCTGTCATAAGCTGAGTGCTAACAGGAACAAATATCAAAAAGGTATGGCATTTGGCTACATATAATCAAATATTTAACTATTAACATTGACCATACTTTTCTATCCAAATATTACTTCAATCATGATTATTGGAGCAAAAATTATACAATGTTTCCGTCTAACTATTATCACTTTTTTCATGTGTGTTACATTAAATTCCAGAAAATGAATTCTAACACCTTAAATCTAAAAAATAAAAATTAAAAATTCTAAAACTTGTAAAAAAAGTACACAATCTTAATTGCGCAAAGTCACTTAGTATAACTATTATAAAACTATTATAAAATTATATTAGAAAAGAATAATAGAAAAAAATTCTTTTTACATTTGTTCAGTTCATGAAGCCACTCTACCAACAGTTCGTGGAGAAGTCAGTGTCTGTAGCAGTGGCGCAGGCTGCTGAAATAGCGGTAACAAATTCAACAGTGAATGCCACTGTCACTGCTAATGGCAAGGCTAAATTATCGTAATACTTCATTCCCACAATAATCTCGATTGTCCAAACGGATTGAAATATTGCATGTTGTGTGCAAACATCAACAAGTGACATAATCAAATTTTACACAATATGTTATTTTTTGACATACCGCCATGAATAGTTTTTTCTCTGTTTAAACTGGATTAAACATTATGGCTTAAACATAAAACTAATTTGAAATGACTGTGAATGTATATATGATGTATTCTAATTATAAAAAAGAAAAACAACGCGTTAGATTGATGGAAATCGTGATATTACTAGTATTGCCTAGTATATCCTTGGTATATATATAATGTTGTTATAAAAATAAAATCTTGTACTGGTGAAAGATATCATTATTGTAGCTTGATCTAAAAATATTTTATGACGGGGATGTTAATATATATTTAAAGTTATCACGAATTTAAAAAGTAGAAAAGTGCAAAGTGCATTTGTGAACATATTATAAACAGTTAGAAAAATAAGTTTATAATGCTAACTTTTGTTTTGTTTCTACTAAGTGCATGCAATCTTTTTGTTGTACCCATTACATTTAAAGTGCATTTTGAAATTCTTTTTTTTTTATACGCAAGATTTTGTTTTTGCACAATTATGTTCTTATTATTTTATGTGTTATTTACATGCTTCGACTAAAACAAAGTACAGATTTTGTTCGTGCCAGAAATTCTTTACATCAGTTACTGTACTGAGCTATTATTTAATAATAAAAGAAAAACTGTATATACAAATGTTATTCACATTTTACATAGTTTGGAAAAGTGAAGTGGATTTAAAAATACTTAGAACTTATTTAACTACTCTAAAATAGATTTCGTGCGCCATATAATATATATATATATATTGCTGTGGTATCTTATTAAATGCAACATCTCAAAGTTGTATGACGTTATATTAATCTACTTAAGAGAGTAAGATATAAGTCTTATGTTGCCAACACTCTATTAATAGTGCTCAAATTTGCGTCATAGATATGCTGGACTCTATTGCTTATATTGCTCATTGAATAAAACTAACGGAGTGATCTTGTTTAATTAATTTTACATTTACTTAATTTAAGATTTAGGATAATACAAATTTTTTTTTATGTAAAAGCGACTTGCAAGTTATATAAAGAATTAATCTTTTCTTTCTGTTAAATGCATGAATTTTGTTCAATGAGTAATTTTTGTAATAAAATCTAACATATGCATGTATTAAAACTCTACCACACAAGTCTCTTGCCAAGTGATTATTAATATACTTTATATTCGATCTATAATATACTTGATGGAGTAATGTATTTATTTTTATAACTCGCATGGAATTTCCCTATTTTTAAATACACTAATTTCATTGATTAAATGACAATATTGGATTTAAAATATTTTATAGTTAAATAATAAATAATGATATAAGACAGTATTCTAAAACGTACACATTATTGTCTTTTGAAAAATATAACTCTAATGAAAAGTATATAATTTATACATTTTTTGAGATTATAAAAGTGAGAAATGTATTTTATAATGATTTCAATAATATTATAAATTGTGTGTACATAAAAAGTCTTTGATATCTTCAACTATTTACTTCACCAAGCGTACATGAAAAATGTGTGACTTTACGTTTATATATTTAAATATAATAATTGCAATATAATAGGCCTAATTTTTAAAATGTGTTCTTTTTTGTAAATGTCTTCAACAAATATAAATATCATCATAAATAGAGGCAGCTGCAAAAATATTCTTAATTAATATACATTTATTTTATTGGCTGAAACATGTGACAAGTGAATGAACATTTTCATTTTATTAATATATTCATAATTGTATCATCTCATATGCTTTATACAGGATAGTTTATATATATAGACTAGTAAAATTATGTAGAGATGCACGGTCATAAAAGTGCTATTAAATTATATTTTGGATTGTCAGAATTTTCTGTGTTGCATAAATTAAATTTATTAATTTTATATAGAAATTCTTTTAATTTATAATTTCATATAACTAATTTTAGTATAAAATATTAATATTAATCAAAATTTATAATAAAAAAAAACAACTATAATTAGTATTTAAACCACTACCGTATATCATTTTGGTATTATAAACCACAGTTTTTGTATTGGAACAGTTACTTTTGTGCAATTTTATAGAAAATAATTAGAAACTAAAATAACAGAATTAAATAACTGCATTCAAGTTTCTAAATCATTTACAAATACTGTTATTTATATGAAAGAAACTTGTCTTACATATTTTTTATATAGTTATGATGTAATTAAAAATAAACATATAAATAATTTATAGTTGTAGCTATCAATAAAGTTATTTTAATCAAAAATTTTGTATTATAAAAAAGATTTATTTAAAGTGTATCACATATATACTAGCTGCATTTTTGTTTTTTAGTCATTGTATACTAATATTGTGTGTAACAAAAATTATTTAATTAACACTTTTTAATGTTATTAATCTTTTATGTCATATACTCTATTAAATACTAGTAAAATATTAAGATAATGACAAGTTATTGTGAATAGAAATAAGAGGCTCTCACATATTTTTCTATTTATAAAATAAATATATTTTTATTTCTTAAATTAGCAAACAAATATATACAATACTGAAGAGTATATATGTAACAAATGAATTGATTACACACGATCAATTAAGACATTCTATCCAATCAATTCAAATATATACAATATTTAAAATTTACTAGTCTTAAACATTTTTCTCACCATATCATTACTCCTTTGAATTGATTCCTGTAATCTTGTGTTATAAATATTAAATTGTTCTTTTGCCGCATTATTATTAGGCTCTAAGGTAAGTACTTCCTTTATATCTGCTACAGCATTTTCATTATTACTCAAATTTCCATATGCCACTCCTCTTCTATATAAAGCCTTAACATTATTTTTATCCTTACACAATATTTTAGTACATAGAGCAATGGTATGTTTATAATTCTTTCGACTCAGATGACACATAGCCATATTGTTGTATAGCGCAAGTCTCAGATCATTAATATTAGATTCTAATTGTTTGTCTAAATTTAAATCTGATATTGGCTCCAATGTTATCAAAATTTTGCAAGCTTTGCTGAACTTATAAAATGCATCTGTAATTCTTGAGTCCTTGAATAATTCTACACCTCTTTCTTTGTATCTCAGGGCTATTTCATATTTTTCCTCCGCACTCCACTCCCAGATTGGTTTATTACGCTCGCATTTAGTTAATGTGATCTCAAACGCGACCATTATAGATCCACCAGTAACTTCTGACTGTTTTGCAGGTATAATGATAGTAACGAGACTCCTCTCGTGGATATTCATCATGTGAATTGCATTCTCGATTTTTCTATCAATTTCTGCACTGGCTTCACCTATGACCAACACTTTCTCGCCTTTGCCATCGAGAATCTCGGTATGATACTCTTCTCTCAAATCTTTGTCTGATGCTCCCGTGACATTTAACTTCTTGATAAGAATGTTACACGTAGAGCGTTCTGTTGGTTTCTTGGTATATATTGCCGGCTTTAGCACAATCTTCCTGATACTTCTGTCCGCTGAATTCCATTGCAACATCGTGATGACTTGTTCGATTCTGCGTGTACATACAAAAAAAGATTATTAATTATAAGTAGTAATTAATTAGTAATCAGCATAAATAAATAAGTGATATAAATAACTGATATGAAAATCTTTAAATATTTCAAGATGTATATGTATGTTCTTGAAACATCACTTACTATAACCCAGGATAAATCTGAGTGACCACATTCGCGTTCTCTTCATAAATATATTAGGAATTCCTAACTGAGCGGCAAGAAGGACACGGTACTCTTAACCTTTCAAACTTGTTATTTGTGTTGACAGACGCGAAACGGTTACCACGCATCCAAAAGTGATAAATATTTAGCCAATCAACGTACCACATGTACTTTTCCGGAAGAACGAAAGGTTAACTACCGCGTTGTTTCTGCGCTTGCGCGACAAGCACTTTCACCTTCTATATGTACATATATATATATATATATATATATATATATATATATATATATATATATATATATATACATTTAAAAAATGATAAAAATGTAACTAAATGTTTATATTATAACATAAAACAAAAAAGATAAAAATTATATAAAATAAGATTTAAAAAATTATAAAAATATAATTAAATGTTTATATTGTAACATAAAACAAAATAAGATAAATACAACTATATATCTTTATTGTACCCTTGATTGCATATCTAATTTTGTCCATTTTTCACTAACTTTCCATATCCACTTTGTCAGATTATCATTTTTGGCTTCATCGGATACTTCTTTAATTTCACAATTGCTATAATAAATCAGATAATAATATTAATGTTATATTAATCATGCTTATTATATTTATCATTTGTCAACTTGCTTTGATGATACTTACTCAAAATAAATACCAGACACATTTGTTAGAGAAGGATCTAACGCTGCATATAAAACAGTTTGCGCTCCTTGATGAGGCGCTCTAATGAACGGCCAAGCCAATGGCTTCAAAAATATTCGTGTGAAAAAGTTGTTGTATACAGACATATGTCGCGTTATATCGGTATCCACTATACCAGGATGAACAGCATTTACAGTAACACCAGTTCCTGAAAAATACAAAAATAGCGAAATATAATAAAGTTAAATTATTAAAGTTACAATTAAAGTTATAATTATATACATATAATTATTATTAATAAATTACCTTTCAATCTATTTGCTAATTCTCTAGTGAACAAAATTATGGCTAATTTACTTTGCGAATAAGCTGTACCAGCGTTGTACTCTTTATCACTATTTAAATCCGTCATATTTATTTTGCCTCTTTGATGAGCAGTACTTGATAAATTTACAATTCTAGATGGTGCAGATGCTTTTAAAACATCTAGAAGTAAATTTGTGAGCAAAAAATGTCCTATATAATTGACTCTCTAGCTGCATCTCGATACCTTCTTTAGTATAACTTTTTGGACATCTCATTACACCAGCATTATTGATAAGTATATGAAGTTGATTATATTCTGCAACATAAATAATTAAGATATATATCAATATTTATATTGTGGTGCAAAAATTAGAAAGTAAATAAACTTATAAATAATTACCTTTCTTAAATTGCTCAACAAATATTCTAATACTTTCTTGCGATGCTAAGTCACACTTCCTGCAGTAAATATATTTATTTTTTGTCTCAAGTACAATATCTCGGCGTGCCTGTACAAAAATAAAAATTATCAGATTATACAAAATTTTTATAAAGTGATTTGTAATAATAATAATATAGAAAAAGCTATATCTTTTCTATGTAAGAGATATAGATATAAAAACTATATATATATATTACTTTATCTTATTTTTACAATTTGAAAGTAGATACTAATGACAACATAAATACCTTTTCACATTTATCCATATCTCTGCATGCCATAACAATTTTTGCATCGCGTTTGGCTAATTCTAAAGTTGTTTCCTTCCCAATACCAGTATTAGCTCCTGTCACAATGACAACTTTGTTAACTAAGCTCTCTTTGCCTGTGTATTTTACACCTCCCATATAATCTCTGCAATATTAATATACAATAATAAAATATTGACTTACATAGTGAGTTACATATCACATAAAATATAATAAAAAGTAATGTACAAATCATTTTTATCATTTATATCTTCAGTTACATTTATAGAAACTCATTTATTTATTCATTTATTTATGATATTCACTCATTATTCATTCATTTATTTATTTATCCATATTCAGATTCAAAAAGCTTTTACAATTAAATATAAGTAAATGTAAAAAAATTAATTAATTAATTGGAAAATTTTAAACAATATTATTTATCTAATATTGTTAAAATGTTGAAAAAATTTCAAGCAACTTACTTAGTTAAATATCCTACGGCGACAGTAGTCGCCGCTACGGAAGCATAGAAAAAAGGCTTTGGAAGTGACCAACGCATTTTTACAGATCCATCCAACAGAGTTATAAACAATGTAAATAAATAATTTAAATTTATAAGAGCAAGAGAAAACCTAACCAAAAAGTACACCGCGTGTAGTGGAACACCGCGCATGAACATGTCGGTATATTCCGAAGCAACCCAACACGTGCAAAAATATGCATTTACATTGCATGTAATTGTTATTATACAACAAAGGCCGAAATTTACCGAGAAGAAATAAATAAGGAATTGAAAAATTAATTACTTTGATTATCTTCCCAACAAAATTTCTTGTACAGTTTTTTCTTTTAATTTTAAAACTTAAAAAACGCAAACCGCACATAAATTTACATATAAAGTTTTAAGATTTTTATCATTTTCAAAGATATATTTAAGTTAAAATTTAATTAATATAATGATAATTAATTATTTGATTATTTTCTACATATACACATTTGTACATCTTTTTTTTTCTCTTTCTCTCTCTCTCTCTCTCTACTATAAAAATCTAATCAAATTCCATAATAACTATAATAATAATATTAACTATATTATTATTTAAAAAATGTAAAATTTATTGATAAATATAAATTTATGTCATTTTTAATTTAATATTTGTAATTTTTTATTTAAAAGTTAAATTAACTTGTAAAAATTATTTAGCATTATTTTAAAACAAATAAGGTAAAAAAAATAATTTTTTCCGATATAAGTAATGTGTCTCAATATGCTTGAAAAGTCGTCTGGGTTAATAGGAGAATATTTTTGCAAAGAGGTAGTAGGTAGTAGCGCGGCAATATATGTCTAAAATATGTCCGAAAAATCATTTGAGTTAACAGGAAAATATATTTTGCAAAGAGGTCGCTATTAGGAGAATATATTTGCGAAGAAGTATTTCAAATTCGATAATGACGGTCGGTACATTATTCACGTCGGTAAATGGCGATGGTAACTTACCATGGCCATTTACCGACGTGAATAATGTACCGACCGTCATTATCGAATTTGAAATACTTCTTCGCAAATATATTCTCCTAATAGCGACCTCTTTGCAAATATATTTTCCTGTTAACTCAAATGATTTTTCGGACATATTTTAGACATATATTGCCGCGCTACTACCTACTACCTCTTTGCAAAATATATTCTCCTATTAACCCAGACGACTTTTCAAGCATATTGAGACATATTACTTATATCGGAAAAAATTATTTTTCGGAAATATGCATAATGCTGTGAATGCAAATACATCTGATAGTAACAAATTTATTAGATCTCCTCTTATTTATCATATATATTTGATTTAAATTACGTTTTATTTAAATTATAAATTTTTCAATTTATGAATATAAGTATGACAGAGAAGGGAAAGGGAAAAGTAATATTGTACATGTAATAAAAAATATTTATAAAAAAAATTTTATTTATACTTTTTTTATACATGGCTTGAACATTCGGTAGATTCTATAAATATGCATATATAATAAGTATATACATATTATATTTAAATAAAGCTATTCTCTCGACAGTTATACTATTTGCGAATACATGAGCACCTTAGGCTGTTCTATGATATTGTGTAGAACATAAAAAAATTCATCATTAAGAGATCGGGCAGTTATAGTAATTATTCGTCTACACAATTTCATAATTGTATCATACAAATTATCAAACAAGATAAATCCACTACACTCTCGTTCACTCATAATTTATTTGAGATATGTCACGCTTTTGCCAAATACATTTGATATAAATCGTTCGTATTGCAGTTGCAATATATGTAGTTCATATATATTTGATGCTTTCCATTTAGCAACACAAGTCGACACAAGCATCATTTTATCTTTATTCTTATAGAATGTAGAACAAAGATAGAATGACGTTTGTGTCGTTTTGTGTTGCTAAATGGAAAGCACCAATAATAAATATAGGAGGCTCAAAGCGTATACAAAGAATGTGTCAGAATCTTTTAAATATAAAACGTTTAATTAGCCAAATACTGATGTAATGAATTTTAAAATATTTTGATATATATCATTTAATTTTAAAAGATTTTATATTTAAAAGAGAGAAAGTTATATTGTAATATAAATCTTACAAACTTTAAGAAAATATATTAGAATCGTCCAAAAACGAAATGCTAGTGAATTTATGTCATTCAATATCATATCATACAATAGTAATTTCCAAAACTTTCAACATTTTATATTTATCAGCTAGTTCGGTATGTTATTCCTTGTTCATAAATTACAATAAAATTAAATTAATTTCACTTTTAAGAGAATTACACATCACATAATTTGATAAATATAAATAAAATCATATAAATAAAATGATATAATTTATGAAAAAGAGAGATGTATTCCTTATAATCAAATTTAATAAAACTGCAATGAAACCCTCGAATGCTAGAGAATAAATTACTACTTGGTTAAAAAATAAGGATTATACTATTGTTAATCTTATCATATGTACACAATGCTTAACAATTGTGATGTGTTCTTTTCAAATTATTAGATCATCGTCCAGTGTGCGTGATCTAATAATGTCATAATGTCACGTTTACACTACAGAGAGAAAAATCACATCTAGCGTCTCTTTGTAATTCTTTCAAATCTCATATAATGATTTATATCCGTGTTTTATACTATTCTTATTATAAAATCTTAATATGATGATTCTCGAACGCAATAATTCTCGCAGTTTCGAGTGCAGAATTACATTTTATACTAAAAGTTGGGAAGATATTTCTATAGTCTCGATACAGAATAACAATCAACTTTAAAATTAAAGAAATTCTCGACTTCCCATTTTTTGCTTTTTTTCCGGTAACCGCCAAAAACGCTCAAACGCTTCTCATTTCAATCTATTAAAATTAAACATCTGTTTAATAGATGTGTGTAAATACAATTGTATAAGCTTAATAATACACGCTAATCATATACAGTGTGTGTACACCGTGCACTTGGTTCCCTCGAGTTATTTCCAACATTGTGAATACATATCAGCATGTTATGATTTACATTATTCATACTACTTATATCACATGATAATTTTCGCGTTTTATTTACAACAGTGCTTCTGTTTTGCTCGCAAGCTTCTTTTCTTCCATGATTGTTACAGGGCATTAACTGATCGATAATTTGAGTTGATAGCAATATTAATTCAATAGTAGTAACCTTTGACAAAATTGTTTTAACCATTATACGAATTATTTAGCGAAAGTAAAGCTCCTCTCTCTTTCTCTCTGTTGTACATTTTCGATCTATGAAAAATATATAATTGTTTATAGACTTAGCCTACTCGTCTCATATAATTACATTTCAGTCTAAATTTTCTTTCCGAAGAAAGTAATCTCTTCCCCATAATTCATTTTCTTAGTTATTGGATTATGGTCTTACTGGATTATGTTACGCAGTTCAATGCTCTGTCTTTTAGTATAAATATTTCATTGCTTTTCACAATTTATAAATGTCAATTGCAAAACAACATTGGAAAGAAGAAATCTATTGTATTTCAAAAAGCATGAATTATAAGAATCAATAAAAGATATTTTTAGAGCCGTAAGAAAATTTTAGGTTTGATTGCTATATTTATAATAGCATTGAAACGTATCATAACAAGTACATAAAAAGAAAACATCTATTCAGAATATCAATTCAATAGATATTAGATATGGTACAAAGCAATGTTTTTTTCTTTCACTTATATCACTTAAAAAATCAATTTAATTTCAGATAAGTATAATAGTTTAAGGTTTGCAAGTATTCCCAACATATAACATATTAAAATAAACATATGTTATATTTTCATTTAATCGCTTTAGTCACATTTGGCCTCCTTTTTTATCTTGTTTACAGGAACTTTTCTGTAATTGAACATTGCTCTTCACCATATTAATTGTTGTAAAAATATTAGCGTCTTGATTCAAAATATTCAGACTAGATCGTAAAAAACTGATCTGCCTTTCAGTGTTTGTGTATGAAAATCACAAAAAGCATGATATTGTATCTGCAATCATGATAAATAACATACTATGCAAAAGTCAAATATTAGTTATCACATTATATGCAAAACGCATACATATATATATATATATCTATATTTTTAATAAAATAATTTAAATAAAAACAAGAATTTTACAAACATAAAAAAAGTAATTTCACAAATGAAAAATAAATAGCGATATAAAAATGTACATTAATAGCAAACGCAATAACTGAATGATGAGATTCATAATGAATTTGTGAAATGTTATACTTAGCAAAATGTTTGCATTTGCCAAGTCGTGAAAAATGTTAAAATGTAAATCAAATAAAGATGTCAATAGAATTCAATAATGCATGTAATACCTTTTCAAAAAATTATAAATGAAAATTTAATATGAAATGAATAAGAGTAATATGACAATAGCGCGAATTATCAGGTACTTTTTTTTGGAATTCGATATTATACTGTGTCAAAGCTTTAAAGTCACAGCATGGATATATCAAAAAGATGTTTATTATATTTGCTTCTGTGAGTGTCATATCAATATCACACACAAATACACTTTAAAGCTTCTCGACGGCGATCCTGTACTGAGCATTTGAACGCTGCATATCATCAACATACTCCAAACATTTCCTAACATCTCTGTATTGCTAATATTCATCTGGTAACGTAAAAAGAACTGTTAACTGTGCATAACGGGCAGTCCTACCCTCAAGTACTTTTATCGCACCCATAATCCAAAAGACTGCTCGATATGTCTGCAAAATTGTTTTCTCTTCTTTTTATACTGATTTTTCTGGCTTTCCTCAGGCCATAGAAATTGTAACGTTAATTCCTAGATTTCCATTGTCAGCGAATAACTGAGCAATAGAGGTGTCAAATACAAGGCAGTCAGAATTTAAAATCGCAGACGATACACCCTCGTGAATAGAGCGCGGCATCGCTTCCCATGTGAGACGTCTTCTATGACCATTCAATTCTAATCTGTTAAGCAGAATAATTTAATTAAAATCACCATCAGTAATACTTGATATAAAAATGTGTCACAGATGTTGAATTTATTTAAAATTCTCTAAATTGTTTTCCATTAAATACAACAATGAATTATAATGTTATTACCTGTAAGCAAAATTTTCTGCTTGCTTCCTCGAACCGATCAATTGTACAATTGCAAAGAACTGTTGATGTCCATCATACTTTTCTTGTTTCTCAAGGACTAACATAAAGTGATGGCCGAAACAAGATTGCATCATCACCCAGTCCACAGCTCCAGGAAGATTAATATCAGTTGCCAAAAAAACAATGTCTTCTCCTAGAGAACACACAAAGAACAATATATACAAAATTACAAACAAAGATGTAAAGCCAAATGACAATAATTTAATACCTTGTAGAGTTGTAATACTTTTGTGACTCATAATAAGATGCGGCATTACTTGTTCCAGCGATCCCTGCCATTTGCAGGACGCACCTGGGCAAGGACAGCTGTATGGACGGAACTCGCATGCATCTTCGTGATCTGCCTTTTCAGTATGCACCAGTGAAACTGTGCAACCGCTGGTAGAATATTTACAGGGGAACATCACATTACTCGCCACTTTTTCCATAGCCAGATTACGGATGTTACCTGCGCATTGCCACATTATTTGTTAAATATGACTCTCGTATAATTTCAATTACAATTTTAATGAAGAAAATAATTGTATACCTAGCGGACCCCTGCATGTGGGGCAGCAGGAGAGTTTTGGTCGGCAATTTGTGCAAACGAGATGCCCACTCTGACATTGTAAAATCGGTGGAAGCACGTAGTCGAAACAAACGGGGCATTCGAAGAGGCTCGCCAGATCGGTGGAACTGCTCAACGCAGACACCGTCGACGCGGAGGTACTCGCTACCCCCCTGCCTCGTTTACCCGTGCTGATATTCAGCTGGGACATTATATCTTCTAGGTTATGTATCAAAGTTTGTCAGTCTGATCACTCGGACGACGATTTTTCTTTGTTTTTGCACTGTTTCATCAGCAATCGTGATGCATTTTTCTTGTATGTATAATTAATCGATACATCTCTGAAAAATCACACAATATATCCATGTGAGTCACTCGGATTGTTGACTAAAAAAAAAATATCTAACTTAACCCTCAATTACTCGCGTTTTAAATACAAAGTTATACACGTGTATTTCCTCCCCTTCGACAGATGCTTATCCCTTCTTTTTCTGTAAATACATATGTATATTGGAGCTACATGTACATATATGTATACACAATACGTCTCTATCCAATATACATATATGTATTATGGATATGTAATACTTTCTTTCCTTTCTAGAATATAACTTTTTCTCGTATATAAATATTATATATTTGATACATTTTACTTTTTTAAAATTTCAGAATCTAACAATAAAAATCTTTTATTTTTAAAATCAAATATATCTCTTGTATGTGTGTGTGAAAAATATTATCATTACAATTCTTTTTTTGTAAAATAATACAAAGAAAAAATAATTGTATGAAATTGACATAGCAAGTATTTCAGAATTAATATCTATTTTTGAATTATAATTTTTTGCTACTAATTAGATTATTAATAATAATATTTATACATATATAAAATATTCTCATGTGAAAGAAAATAGATTTAATAATTCCAGTAAATTAAATATATATGAATCAGCTGATATCCGATGACATTTCGATTGTCACTCTGACTGTCAGATTTCGTTGTTTCACTGAAAATCACATTATGCAAGTTTACCGAAACTTTATGAATATTTAATGTTCTTTTCATCACTTTAATATAATTTTAATTATCATGTTAAATTATTAGAGTAGTTGCAACAAAGATATATGGTATATTACCTCATTATTTCAATGAATATCACAGCTATGTAAGCTAACAATAAGTTTCAGCACAAATATTAGGCATAATTAACCACTTCTTAATTACATATGTGTCTGATGATATTCAATGATACTATACATATCTAAATTTTAAACTTTAAACAATCGCAATAACGACGACACATCTCCACCCATTATGCAATCCGAAACCGTTCAATGGAAATATATACATATATACACATTGTTTACTCGACACATCGCAAAAATTTGCGGACAAGTTAGAATTTCGTGGGCAATTAGCAATTTATTATCGCAACTCTTCTGCAAAAACTTGATTATCCTTGTATAGGTATTTTGTGCTACAGCAATATTTAATCACTATTCTAATTTTTTTTTTAATTAAATGATTTTAACAAGAAGAATTTTCAGAGTATCAAGTTTTAAATATTTTATAAAATTCCTAAAAATATAAAATAATTTATTCATAAAATTTCATCAGAAAAGAATCGTTCTAAATAACTTTACGTCCATCTTTTCAATTAATTTAAAATTAAGATTTTTTTTATAGAAAATAGGAACACAACTACAATATATATTTTCACATTTTCTTTTGTATTATAATTACAATCCTTTTAATGGAGACATAATTACTCGATCGAAATCGATATATTTTAACAAATTAAATTATTTCGATGTTACAAAAGTATGCAGAAAAGAACATTTTCACGTGAATCATGTTTTCGCAACCACACAACACACGAGCAAAAATAGAAAATTCGTGTTCATCGGCGTTGAAATCGAAGCTCGGCAAACTTATATACCTGTTTCCTCACACTTTTTCCTTCTACTCTTTTACGAACACCTGTCTCCCTTTTAGGAGATAATATATATATATATGTATATATATATATATATATAATTTCTACAACTGTCACTTACCGAGGCGCAGACTTATATAAAGATGCACATAGGTAGGATCATCGCGCTCATCGCCGGGACAGCCGAAACATTCCGTGCGATCGGGCGGCCGACTGATAATAATCGAGAGAAGGCACTTCTTGCGGATGACGATGACGATGATGAGGACCGTGAGGAGGTATGCAGGTAATCGCAGCTGACTCGGCACGGCGGTCCAGATCCGTGAGCGTTGTTCCCGTCGACGACGTTGCGTGACGACGCATCGATGTGATCGGGGTATTACAACGATACCAACGCGAGAGAGAATGTTTTCCTCGGAAACTGCGGAGGGGGGGGGTGAGAGAGAAAGAAGAGGAGGTGGAGGAAGAAGGGCTACATCGCGAATCCCCGCAGCCGTCGAGGCAACGTGACTGATCGCGACGGCATCCCTGCCGATTCTGGGTGAGGCATCGTCGTTTGAGAGACGTTCTCTCTTTCTCTCTCTCTCTTTCTTCTTCTCCTTCGTCGCAGATGAATTTCAGATCGTTCGATTCTCGTGAAGCTGAAGTTGTAGAAATCGCACACCAACGAATTACTCGGTGCCACTCGTCGTGCACGACTGCATACTGTGTGTATACTTGAAGAATGCCATGCTAAATGCTGAAACATTGAAAAGACATACAGCGTCATCTATTGAGAAGAAGAGAATCGATGTTTGATTCTCTCGAAGGATAAAGCTACTAATAAGATTGTTAAATATACATATATATATATATATATATTAGACAATAAAAAATATTACAATTTTGTGTGAAATTAGGATGCAAAAAGATTTGTTGTACTTGTTAGGTCAATTTTAAGACGAATTTTCAGTCCTTACAAAGATCTTTAAAAAAAAAAATCTTGGGAGAGTTGAAAGATTTTGATTTTAATATAAAAATAAAGATAAAGCCTTTTAAATCAATTTACTGTATAAAATCTATATATAAAATATACACAAGTTATAATTATATATATTTTATATATATATATATATATATATATATATATATAAAATATATGTATATATTACGTTATATTTACATATAAATGTTATATGTAATAATATACAAAGAATATTTGAAATAATTGGCATTTATTTTGCTATAATTAAAATATACACTGTGTCATGGGTGAAACAGGCGAATAGTAATTAATAGTAACAAAATATCTGTATCGTTTCCTTTAATTTTTCTAGATCTCTTTTTCTCTTTCTTTTGTTTTCCATATATATTTTCACACGCAGCAAATATGGTATACACAGTATACAGATTTAATGTCAAAGACAATTAGCTTGGCTTATAGCAAGTTCCTCTGGATGCATTAGTTTGTCACGCTAATAGATCAATTAAAGCCTGTTGTACGTTAATTTTAGATGTAAAAGTTTATCTTAGGTAACTTAGATATTAATAAGTAAATGTAGTACAAGCATCTTGATTACAAAAGATCAGTATTTTATCACATAATGTGATAAATATTGAGCATATTGCATATTCAATTTGCTTATATATACAGGCCTTTACATGAATTTCAGTACAACAGTCTGTAATATACATCATCAGTAATATATTCAGTACTGGACACTCAATTAATTTCTAATCATGTTATCAATAATGCATCCAACAGGGTTCACAAAACAAATTCTATTAAAGATCTTCCCTTTCATTAACTTTTGCTTGATCGAATTAAGCCAAACTATTTGATGCCTTTACGACGTCTGAGAAAAAACTTTTGAATGTTTAAAGCTTTTTCAGCCTTGTGTACAATATAATTTCGATGTATCTAAACATAGTCCCGCATATTGTGTCTTATCTACATTCTCTAACAATTACGTTATTCAGTTTGCTTTCAATTTTGTAGTCGAAATCACAAATTCTATTAATTGTCAAAATTTTCTAGAGCCTGTATCATCATTTGTTGACAGTCTTTTCGCGATATGAAGAGCAGTCTTCGTACGGTCAACAGGAACTGCTACTCGCGCGATAGAAATGTGAAAGAAATATTAAAGTAATCTACAGATTGTATTTTCATTTCTGATCGTTTTGTCGCCTTAAGTCTACTTTAAACGAATTATAATTCACGCGATAAAATTCGGTATAGAAATTTATTTATAATTATACAATAAAATATTTTAAGAAATACATATAATATGTATGTGTGTAATGTATATGTTTATATATAAATGTATATGTTAACATATGTATGTATATATAAATGTATGTACGTGTTTATATACATTAGTATGTGACACATCAAAATGTAACAAAATTATAAATAGAATTTTATTTTAAATTTTGTCGCGAATTATAGATTTAAAAAGATCCTAAAAACTTCAATTTTATGTGCCACATGTCCTAATGTATGTGTATTTTATTTCTTTAAATATTTTCTGTATTACATGATATAAAATTATAAATGAAATTCTATAAATTTATCACGAATTATAAATCATCTAAAATAAACTTTAAACATTGATATTACTTAATTACTTCGAACGTTTAAGAAAACTTTGTTATTCTCAGTGTGTACATGCTGTTATTTTTTCGCCATATTCGTATCTTATTCTTTTTATACAAATCGAGCACACAGACGACACGCAAGTAATAGAACTTTGTTTCGAAATAGATTTTATCTATCTCGTTTTATTAAAGATAGATTAGAATTTGCCAAACTAACTATGGCAATATGTTTTACAATGACACATTCACAGGATGTCGATAGTATAATACAATTCTGCATAAATATTGTTAACTATGGTTATTACTGCAATATGCATATTTTTTTCTTTTCTCATTACTACAGATGTATCATTTCATCGATACTATTTCAGCTAGGTTCGTCGTTTGCGTGCATTTCATGTATATACCCAGGACGCTCATATTTTAATTATATTCTTTTTTATATTTTTTTTTTACATTTTTTCTCTAAATTCTAATAATCATATCCTTACAATGTTATATCATAGTACAAATATACATACATATATATATGTATGTATTTTTTTGATATAACATACACAGATGCACACGATGTACATATATGTACAATTTGTTTTTCAGCTTGTAATCTGTCTTACACATTCTTTCGTGTGGTATACAGATATTAGATATTATACAGATATTAGATGATACGAAAATGAGTTCTGGATATTCCTTAACATAACTTACATATCATTCAAACGGTCATTATAAACGGTTGTATGAGATTAGACCATATATTTAGAGTATAACTATCTTTTGACTACACTATTTAATGAGTTATATAAGGAAGAAATATATTTTTATATAAGCCCTTGGTCCATAAGTATTTTCTTTTTTTTCTATTATATAGCAAGATTGTAATCACACAAATTAAGATTGTTTAAAAATAACTTGAATCAAGAGATATGATATTGAATCAACATATTAATTTTTTATACATAATATATATAGTGAATAAAGTATATAATAAAGAAATACTTGTGAACAAACTTAAATTTCTAAAGAATATGAGAATACTAATAATAAAGTATCATAGTACTAAAATATTGAGTTGCCCAGAAAATATGTCGAATTTTCAAAGAAGAATAAGAGTGACATTTTTTAATTCAAAATTATATATATGCATATTTGTTTTTTTATCTATCTGTATGTTCTGATATAGATTGAAATACTGGCAGTTACTGAAAAATCATTCATATACCTGAAATACAATTACATTGAAATCAGTACCTGACACTATTAGAAGAATCGCTCTTCATTTACAGATACTGTATGATGGGGTATATGATAGTTAACACTAGCATTAGTTATTGTTTATAGTTTCGAACTAGAACTGTCCCCATGTTCTTTTCTCGCTTGCATTCATGTAATTGCCACTTCAGGTCAATAAATTAACAAACTATTACATGGTAATTAGCTTGTGTCGTACAACAAAGTGTCCCAAATTGATTCATGATGTATATTACATTTTTTTCGTTTAAAATAACTAGCCAAACACGTTGGCTAAGTAGATCAGTGATGGGACACTTTGTATACTTTTATTCGTATATATTTATTCTTTGTAGTTAAACTTCTTGCACTTTTCGTTTTTTTCATTTGTAAATTCGAATTATATTTATCTTAATTCAGTGTATGATTAGTGAAGAAAGTTTAACTATAAAAAACAAACTTATGATGTATTGCCAGTTAAAACGCGTCAGAACGTAGTCTATGTAACATCAAACTTAATTATCCTCATTATAACTACACATTGGTGTCACATTAATTAAAAGTTGTTTTAATTATTTAATTGTATATTAAATGTATTTAAATGCAAAAATATGATAAATTTCTTGGATATTCTGTGAGAAACTTTTTAATATGCAAAATAATATATTTTATTTTGCGGTACAACTCAATATATTAGATATTTAGATATATTTGTTAGTTACAAATTACGAATAAAGAACAAACAAAAAGGAAATGAGAAAATGGTTCTTATAATGAGGATGGACAGCGAAGTTTTTATATACTTTATATGATTACATCATATATGTTGTTGTTGTAGTAATTATTGAATTATTTTATTATTTTTTGATACACAGAGAAAACCTTGTCATAGTCTTTATAAATAGAACAAATGACATAAAAAAAATACAAATTTTGTATAAATTATCATATTGACAGATTATCGTCAACCTCAATCAACCTTGTTACTGAGAAGAAAACGTGACACGTGCATTTTTAAACTTCTAAAGTATATTTTACATGATAACATTGATTCCATTGTTTAACATTGATTTCGAATCACTGGTTTCGCGCAACGATTGTTTACTAATCGTTAAATGAAAATATTAATGCTCTCTAGTGTTAATATTCGTTATTAATTATTCATTCTACATTATTAACTTGTTATTAATGTTAATTTCAGTTATGCTATTACTAGCACGTGCTTCCTTTATAACATATTAAACACGGGGAATTCGGAGCTTGCTGCACGAACAGTTTACAATCTTACAAGGGATACTCAAGAAGTGACAAAAGCCTTTTGGGGAAATGTATATATTTTTGAAAAGTACCGATCTGTATAATTGGAGCTTAGAACTAAAACAATATATTTGAACTCTGCAAGAAACTGAATCAAATGATATCTAAATGTAACCATTGTTTTAGTTTGAACTCAAGTTATGCATGCACGGATAAAAAGTAATTTTAATCAAAATTGACCCCCTCTCAATCCCTCCTCTTGATTTTTTACCTTTGACCTCATTTCAAACGACAATGCTATATACTGTTAACTTGTCTCGGTGAGTATTTTTCAAAAATATATATTTTCCTAAAAAGGATTTCCTAAGGGATACTCATGAAGTGACAAAAGCCTTTTGGAGAAATAGTCATGGTACCATACAAAACAATGTTAAGTATGTTAGATATCATTTGATTCAGTTTCACGAGCAGAGTTCAAATATATCAAAGCAGTTTTGCAATTACAAGATTTTATGCTAAACACTAATTACGGCTTTTTCAACATATTTACAAAATGGTCACCATTTTTTCCGATAATGGAAATAATAGAACAATTAAATTTTGATTAAAAAAAATTTTTTTGTACTTGATTTTGCCATTCTTTTTCAATTTTTCAATTTTTTTGTACTTGATTTTGCCTCTCTTTTTCAATTTTTTTTTATCTAACGTAACAAAAGTACGTTTAATAAGTAAACTTATCTTATTTTTTAATATTATAACTAAATTATAACTTAAAATATTAGGAAAAAATTTTTGCTCTAGCTCTAGTTGTACACACGCCTAAAATGATAATTCATTAGCCTAAATAAATTTCAGGATTACATCGCTTATACCTCGAATTGTTCAAAAATGTATTTCACCAAAAGGAGAATTTGGTCACTTTGTGAGTATCTCTTATTAGATATATATATATATATATATATATATATATATATATATATATATATATATATATATGTGTTAGAAGCATGACCAATTTCTGAATCATTGAATTATATTGAACATATTGTAATGAATCTTCAAGTGGTGGGAGCAACTTCCACTAAACCAAGAAAAAAATAACTATACAAGTCCTTCACTAATTGACTTCACTAAGATTGTCCTTTTCTCTTCCTCTCTTTTTTCTATTTATTTCTTTTTTGAAAGTACAATTGATTTAAGTTGTAAAATATTTGCCTGACAAATAACAAAAGAAAATTTTTAAGCCATGCATATAGATTGATGTAATTACAGAAAAGATTCATTCCAATATGTTATACAACTTAATGATTTCAACAATTTAGAAGTATCCACAATATTTATCTACATCTGTTTGTTTTCTTTTCATGTTGTTTTTTTTAATAATTTCTGTTTTTAATTTCTATGTGACATTCCATATCTCAACACTCTCCAGCATCTGAATATACATGGAAACTCATTTTAAATATTAGAAAAGTTCTAAAGAGTACAAGTAGTCCAAAGTTATTACTTTACAAACTTTTTCATTCATTCATTCCTTCCTTTCCTTCCTCTTTTTCCCCAATTCAGTCTGACTGTAATCTGTATTCCAAATGCACTCAACTTGATATTACAAATACTTTGAATTAATCAATCAGCAAAAAAAGAATTTAGCCAAACCAAGATTTCTTGGTTAATTAGTCAAATAAAGTATTTGTAATACTAAATGGAATGCATCCTATATCTAGTGAAAGAATAGTTCGACCTGTATATAGTAATAAAGTAAGACTCAAAGAGTCAACAATCAATAGAAAACACAATAGCGTTGTCGCTAAGGATAAGCACAATTGCTGTCACTGTTTTTTATGCAATGTTATTCTTAAATTATCAGACGGGATCTCTACACAGAGAAAACGAAACTTGAAGGGCTATTTTCTTACAGGATGACCTTTTGATATATATTGTAGTATTCTATCTAGGACCTTCTTAAAGTTACGCGACGGTGTGAAATGATAAGATTAGTGTTGATTAATATACCTGGTTCCATTTAATATGGTTGATGTCTCTGAAATTGACGAGGTCCAGGACCATTTCCTCGTGGTTTGGGTCCATAACCCATGTTATCGTAGCCGTCATATCCGGCATAATCATAATTGGTGTACATATCGTCGTAACCACCATGGTAGCCATTATAATCCGGAAGATAATAACCACCACCATATCCATAACCATAGCCAGGTGCCCAGAAACCTTGACTTCTTGGATCTGGGTTAACCTTGACTTTCTTTACATCTACTTCCTTACCATTTATTGTTTGTTTTGGAGTTTTCAGTAACTTATACACGACGTCCTTTGAGTCAAACGTGATAAAACAGAAACCCTTTCGTTGATTTTTGACTTTGTCAAAAGGTGCTTGAAGCTCAACAATGGTGCCGTATTGTGCAAAGTGACTCTTGATATCATCATCCGTGATTTCTGGTGTAAGGCCACCGACAAAAACTTTACCATGTTGAGGTTTTTTGCTGACCCGCTTTGGATCTACCTGTATAATCATGAAACAAAATTATAAGTATACACAATAAATTGCAACTGATTAAATACCTTCCCATTATGTATCAGGAACAAATTTCCAAAAAAAATAAAAGTTTTTTCCTTTTTATATTACATATACATAATCAAGTAATAAATATAAAATAGAGACAATGAATTAAAATATGCTAAATGTAGAGGTTAAGAATGCTCAGAAAAGTGCTAAAAACGTGAAAGGAGCAATAATTCCTATTTCTCATTGCATAATATAACGTTTGTAGCATATTTCTTATACTGCAATGTCAAAGAAAGGATATAATGCGATCATAATATTTTGAACATTAAGAAAATTGAAAAAAAAAAAAAAAAAAAAAAAAAAAATTTTTTTTGAACCAATTCGATCCACATTGGAGTCTATTTCAACGGCATCGCGTACCTTGCGCTTATTAATATAATGCTCGCCAGACGCGAGCAGCTTGTCGATGGTCTTGGGATTGGCAAACACCATAAAGGCGAAGCCGCGCGAAACACCGGTGTGAGGGTCGACCTTGACGGAGATACTCTCGATGTCCCCGAATTTACTGAAGTGCTCGTGGAGCTCTTTGTCGGTGGTGCTACGAGACAATCCCCCGACGAAGAGTTTCCGCTCGTCGTCCTTACCGGGTATACCGGCCGTGGGCTGCTGCTGATTTGGACCTTGTCCCTGATTCTGATGGCCCGCAGAATCCTGATTCCCTGGTTGATCATGTCCATTAGTCTTCTCACCTTGCGCTTGAAAGTCCATAGCTGACGCCATCGTAAATTCACACGCTCCTGATACAGATGAAAGCGAGAGGGTTGCGAAACTATGAGGACTTATCGCCCACGTAAAAACCTTCCTCGGAGGACAATTGATAGTGAGGCACAAAATCTGGCACCAGGCCGATTTGCTCCGCCCTACACACAAATGACTTCGGAGAAAGACGCGTGGCGCGAATTTAATCCTGGCTACTAGTGACCGGTGTGCGTGCTTCGGAAAGAGCACCGGCGAAAGAGAACTCAAAGTAGATAAATCTGTGATGCGGGAACCGAAATGTGCTCGGACATTCCGGGTCTCTGATTCGTTCCCGCCATTTTATGCACTATCTCCGCCAATCACGTCGTGGACGACGAGCGGCGTTATCCGGAAGTCGAGCAACAAGCCAAATGGCACAATTTTTACAAGCGCATTTGTCACGATGTATCTTCGCAATTGTTGTTATAAAATAAAATTATCAATTTTTGCGTTCTTTTCTCGCTTGGAAAAATTTATATAGCGAATATCTTTGCGCATTCTTTGTTTTATTAATCATAGAGTATAAAATACATAGATGGAGCATCAACTGCTAACTGTTAATATCGACACGGTGTGGAGGGGATGTTTAAAAACGCAAACAGGAACGCATTATGCGATATTGTTTCTATTAATTTTCTATTTTTTATTATATTATTACGGCCTATGTTTATACAATTATATTATATTATATTATATATTATATCTATATTATGTATTATATATATATATATATACTATATATACATATATATATACATATATATATATACATATATATATATATATATATATATATATACATATATATATATATATATATATATAGATATATATATATACATATATATATATACATATATATATATTATATTTTATACTATATATTATATATTTTATATAATATATTTATTTGTTAATAAGAATATTTGTGAGTCAGCTCTCCTATTTTTTAAAAAACTCCATCTTCATCTCGACTAAGAGCCAAACGCGATGTTATTGCGACAAATTAAGATTTAGAAATTTTTGGAATATTTATTTGTATATAATATATTTTATATAATATATTTATTTTTACGAAAATTTTTGCGCTTTAACTCTATGTATTTCATATTCTATGGAACCGCCGCCATGAACACGTGGCAATTTGCGCTGTGACATATGTCGGGTGACAATATATGTCAGACTCGCTGATTGGCTGTTATATCAAGAAATTTTCAGAATCTCAGGAATTCTCTATCTCACAGCCAATCGGTATGTCCGATAAACTCGTTGAATAACAAATGATAGTACCTTGAGCACTTGTGCAAATGAAATGAATGCTTCGCTCTCTCGCCGTGCGCAAGACGTCGAGTGGAAACGTTTGTCCCGGCAAATGTTTCAATTTCTTCAATTTTAGGTAAATGCAATAAAAATCAATATCGCCATTGTCCATGACCGCAAAGTTATGCAGTGATCGTTACGTAGTTTTCGATCTTCTTACGATCGTTTAGAAAATAAAATTCTTTACGTTTGTTCCGAGACGCCCGCCAAGAAATCTTCTGCCAACGAGGTGTGTACGATACCAAAAATTTACCGGGTGACGATATTACTATACATTGTAACATAACCTATATTGATCATAAAATCATCTATAAATATTAAATTTTCTTTCAGTCCAAGTTACACAAGAGAGATAAAATTTTAGGCTTAATAATTATTGAAAAAAAAAATTCTGCTATAAGTTAAGCTATTATATTGCAGTGTTCAGTGGAAAATGCAATTTTATTTGTATATTACTTTTAACCATTAAATATAACATTTAATTATATTATAAGGCATTAAAATTTTGTTTAACAAACTTCATTTTAATGTAATGCAATTTCTTATATAGAAAACACTAATAAAAAATGGCAAGTAAACGGTCTGCAACAACAGAATTAAATCATGATAATTGGAATGAAGAGAATGAACCAGAAGAGGCGGGTACGTTTGCAAAAGCAGCAAGCGATGTACTCGAAAAGAGAGTTATGAAAACAGCTAGACGTCACTTTCCATCAAGAGATGTAAGTGTGTATATAAGGTTTGTTTGCATCGCATGACCCAACTTGCTCCTTTTTACTTCAATGCGCTCGTATTGGTCCAATTCGAGAAGCGCACTAATACGAGCGCATTGGAGTAAGAAGGAGCATGTTGGGACATGTGACGCGAGTAAACCTTATAAGTTTCAACTATTTTTTATCAATTACATTCTTTTATTACTATTCTGTTTAATCTATTTTAGGGCGCTATGAAAAGCGCATTTGGAACATTTGCAGGTTTCAAAACTACTTCTGCAACTAGTTCGTCCCCATTTGGTTTTTTAGCTAACGTAAGCACAACTTCTACTACAACTACTGCTACATCAGCGGCAACTTTAAATACAAGCAACAGGAATATCGCTAGCAATGGTTCTAAAATTCTTGAAACTGATACAAATAAAGTGGAAGACACAGTTAAAGTACAGACATTGTCGAGTACAAGTTCAAGCAAAACAGTTTTACCTGAGCAAGGGAATGAAAATACAAAGAGTCATTCATCAGAATATTACGCGAAATTGAAAGGACTGAACGAGAGCGTTGCTGCATGGATAAAAACTCACGTAGATGCAAATCCATTTTGTATATTAACACCTATATTTAAAGATTATGAGAAATATTTGAAGGAGATCACATTGAAAGAAGAGAGCACAAAGAGACGAGCTTCGCAACATGTGACACAAACTGCACAAAACGATAATCAAAAGGATACAAGTGCAGAGAAAAAACTTGACACTTCCTCATTTGGCACTTCAAATACAAATACAAAATCTGTTTCAACTGCAGGAACAGATTGGAAACCCGAAAAGTCGATATTTTCCAATATCACTACAAAATCGATATTCGGTAATACGGAAAAAAAGGAAAGTCCTAAATCTCAATCGATATTCAGCAATACAGACATAACTCCTGATAAAGGTAGATCTATTTTTGGAAACATAGAATCGAATGTCGCTAGTAAGAGTATATTTGGTAATGCAAATGTGGAAAGTAATCCCTTCTTACACAAATCCTCTGCTATTTCGGATGAAGGGAAAACGAACGAAGAAGACATGAAATCTGATACAAAATCTGTAGCTCCTACTTTTCCAGTTTCCACTTTTAGTTTTGGACAAAGTTCCACTACTAATAATGTGACTGCTGGATTTAGCTTTGGAAGGTAATTTATTCATCAATTTACTTATAATTTCTTTATGTGAATTGTAAATATATATTATTGTACGTATATATACATATATATGTATACACACACATGCACACATATATTTATTTATTTTTGATTATTTTACAGTGCAAAGCCATTTTCATTTGCCCCTCAAGCAGTGAAACCGCAAGATTCCGAGGATAAAACGGATAATGAAAATAAAGATGAAGAAGATGAAGAACCACCAAAACCAGATTTCAAACCAGTAACTGAAGAAGGTGCTGTTTATGAACAACGGTATGTCATAATTTTTACATAATCATAACATAATCAGTTATCAAAAGAAACTACATGATATATATTTAAAAGTTAGAATTAAGTAGTTTTTTTTATAACTTTATTAAATTATTAATTTTTTTTAGATGTAAAGTTTATATAAAGAAAGATGACAACTTTAGTGACAGAGGTGTTGGCATGTTATATTTGAAACCAACACCAAATGAAAAGACACAATTGATAGTACGCGCTGATACTGCTTTGGGTAATTTATTACTCAATACTTTATTGACTCAAAGTATTCCTATCAAACGCATGAACAAGAACACGATAATGTTAGTCTGTCTACCAATGCCAGACTCTTTACCACCACCAGTCCCAATGTTATTAAGAGTAAAAACTAGTGAAGTTGCGGATGAACTATTTGAAACATTAAATAAACATAAAAATAGAAAATCAATTAGGTGACTAAATGACTTGCAGATTGGAGCAATTTTATTTTTTTTATATTCTCATGCTAAGAATCAATAAATATAGTTATAGTAATAAATCCTAATTCATACTTAATGTGTAATTTGTTCATTAATTAATAAGGTGTCCAGGTTTGTTAATTGTCCATTAAATAAAAAATTTGTAAATGTAAATTTTGCAAAAATGCTCAGAAAATTATATAATACTTAAACATTAAAAGTCACCAATAATGAGTAAATAAAGACATTTCGCGAATTAAAAAAATGATCAATCTTTCCTAATTGTTACTTCATCTGTGCAGACATTGTAAAAAAATGTAATTAATGTTTTCTTATTAAGTTCTAGATCTCAAATAAGAGATATAATTATTTTTGAAAGGATATCTTTATATTTACATGTATGGCATTATTTGGAATGATGTTACTTGGATGATTGTTGCTAATATAATCAGTAATATGTAATAATAATACAGTGAACATATATGTACATAGTAGAAACACTAGTATATATTAAATAGGTAATCTACCTATACACATGTAATGGCTGCTGAAATATTCTGTACTCTATTATAAGTACAAAAAAATACAGATTACATGAAATTATTTGATATTTTTATTACAGCATTCTTTTATGAAATAAAATTCTTGACTTATTAATTACAGATAAGCAAATATCTGATGTCATTATATGCTAATATATTGTGTAATAAACATAAAATTTGCACAATTATAGTAGAGTAGTAAAAAAATAATGAATATTGGCTTGGTTAGAACAATAATATTGATTTTTTAATATATATAGGGTTATAAATTCTCAATCTTTCAGATTTTGTCATTATTTATACATTTATTATATATGCTTGGCAAAATTATTTCTATCTCAAAGTTTTATCTCTTAATCAAAAGTATATATTTTCTTTGGATGATACACTACTATTATATATAAATATACAAGGAATATATTAAACAATGTAATTCTTTTCATAATATACATGCGAGAAAAATATCGTCATAAACGATTTTTAGATAAAAAGTGATTAAAAAACATCAAATTTGTGATATATACTAAATCTCTTATAATTATTATAGCAGAAGCCTTTAAATTACATTTGCACTCCGAAATCTCTCGTATATATAACGCGAATTTTTTTGTTATCTATATAAATCTATACCATTAGATAAAGCTTTGAAAGCTTTTCAAATTTTACAAAATTGAATTTTTACTACTTGTATATATATACACTAGTTTTCATTCAATTTAATAATCAGTTGCTGCTTGTATTTATATCTAGAATTATACATACAGTATGTAAAAATCTGAAACATGAACATTCTTAGATGCTTAACATGTTCAATAATATTAAATGGTATACAAATTTTTGTCTAATGTATTAATATTTCAGAGTGTTACGAAATTAAAAAGAATATATCTATTCTGTATGTACAAAACTAATATAGTTGCTTAAATTCTATATATATTGTGTAGAGACATGTAATTTACATAACAATATATTATTAATATGGCCTATACAAGAGAAGAAAATAATCAGCTAATTTTTTTATAAAAATTATGATGCTGTGATCGCCTGTACTGTTCACCAATTGTACTATTATATGTTTCGTGAGAATGTTATACGATACAATATATGTATAAATGGTTTCAAGTTCTTTGAGCCATAAACGGTGTTAGAGCACCCATCTGTCCTAGGCCTAGTTGAATATGCTGCATATGAATTTCTATACAATTTTGAAATACTTGTTGATTCTGTGGACTAAGTTTTGATCTTATCTGCTCCATAGTACCTTGCAACACTTTGAGCTCGTATGCGTTTCGATCGGAATCTGATAAGCTCTGTTATACAAAATTACGAGAAAAAATATCTTTAGTAATCAAACAAATGGAAATATTTCAGAATAAATTTCCTTAAAATTCATTTTTACCTTTACTTGTAACATCAGCGCAGTCAAATCTGTTACCAATTGATTCATCTTTCCTGGTGCTTTATCATTTATCATATTATTTCTAGCGACCATATCCACAGCTTCTTGCTTACATTTTTCTCGGAGATGCGATGGAGCTAACATCGCCGCCACGCTAGGTTCGGGCGCCATTTCCTGACACAATTCTTGTATATCATTCAAAAAATCTTGTAATGCTCCATTCATTCTTTCTAATTCGACGACAAGTCTAGAAATGACAAGATAATATAACAAAGATATGATTTATCATAAACATCTCTTATATGTATAATAAAAATATAATTAGTCTATATATTTCATACCCTGCATATCTTCTTTCAAAATCAGGAGGTAATGGTTCTCCAAAAGAACGTCTCTTTTCAGCTTCCCCGTTCATTTCTTTCAATTTTTTAATTTTAATCTTCTTATTTGCGAGTATCTTATTCACCTTTACCATAAATTCGAGTAACTTCAATGGATAACCATTCATTGTGCCACCAATATGCTTCTTTGGTATAGACACAGATGCATTGGATATCAAAGGATCGTTAGTTAATCGTGGAGATAGCTTCATTGCATATGGTGGTGAAGGTACATATTGTAAAGGCCGCGGTCTGAATTTCTGAGCGAATGATGCAACGCTGATTGTTTCCGGTGGTTCGTTCGACTAGTAGATTTTAAATAAAACCCATATTAATATAAATCTATGCAAATGCCAAATTAATTCGATATACTTTCTGAGAAAAGAAAAAAAGAGACATACCAAAACTTCATAATCCGGAACACTATGCGTTCCGAGTCCAGCTCTCTCAAACGTGATTCTGTAAGTATTATTGCTAGTATCGACGGCGTCGATACTTCCGGTGAATAAACCATCCTGAGGTTTTCTCAATCTTGCCGTCACTTTTGTACCAATTACTAATTGCAACGGTATTTCAGGTGGCAAATCCTTAAAGCTATTTATATCTGCAGTTTTTCTCTGTTGCAGCATTCGTATCTTCTGTCGTTTTCTTTCTAATTCGCGTCTCTCTTCTTCAAAGAACGATTGTGAACATCTTCGTGGTTTGCCCATCATTCTTCTAATCTTGCACCATTCTACACGTGTAAGTTTGCGAGTTTTTAATTGTGGAAATGATTCTTTCAGACATATCATGAAGTCGTTATCGCCCTCGAATAATATTCTGCAAAATAACATGTATTATAAAAATTGTCTGCTATATATTTCACAAAATTTATTAATACTTTTATAATCTTCAATATATTATACATACTTATCAATATTGCTGTAAAACCACTCGTAACAAACCCATTTATGTGCCTTTGGCAATTTTAATAAATTTCTCAGTCTCATACCAATTTTTTGCCCTATTTTTCTATCTGGTGATGAAGGTTGTGATAACTTATCAGAACCCTTCTCCTGCTTGATAGGAGTAGTTATGGGAGTTGACGGTTGTGAACTACTTGTACTTTTTTTCGGTTCATTCAATAACTTGGTGTGTCTTTTCAATGGTGATGGACGCAACATCTTTTTAGGAGACTGTTTTGCCTCTGCACTCATTGGGTCCTTCTTAATCCTATAAATATATATATAATCATACAGTTAATCAATATTTAATTATCATCAATTTTCATTTTTAAATTTACCAAAAAGTTTACCTATGATGTGGATGATTTATTAAAACATCATCATAAAACAACTTGTTCTTTTTTCTAATTCTTGCAGGCATTCCTCTGCGATTTAACACCTGCACTGGTTGTGTCGGGAGACTTGGTTTAACAGGTGGTTGAGTGCCTACTCTTTGTAGACCAAGAGCCGCTGGTCCAAGTTCTGGTATCGGTTCAGGTTCTTCAGCATCCATCTGTTGATCCATCTGTTGATCTATTTGTTGATCTATTTGATGATCCATTTGCTGATCCATTTGCCGATCCATTTGTTGATCCATTTGTTGATCCATCTGTTCATCTATTGAATGATTTAAAATCTGTTGCTCATCCATTTCCATCGTCTCATCATCAATAACTTCCGTTTTGATTTCATCAATTGCTAAATATCCACCATTTTTTATAGATAACAGTGCTTCTGCAGATTCACCTAAACAAATTTATTTCAAACTGATATATGTGCACATACATATGATTGAATAGAATAATTTTCTAAAAATTAAAATATATACATCTCTATAAATAAAATTATTAATACTTAAATAAAAGTTATTATAATACAATGTACAATGTGTATAATTTTTTAACACAATTAAAAAAAATTAAAAAGGATATATGTATATGTATTAATAATATACATTTACATATATATATATATATATATACTTGAACATTAAGCCTCAACATATTAAATTTATATCTTTTATCGTATATAAATTTGAAAAGACCAACTCTTCCCTCCTCTCCAATTCAATTATAAGAGAAAGGGGGGAACAAATTTGGTTTCCTCATAAAAACTAGAGTTTCGCTCGAGAACAAATTTAAAAGAGTTACATGGTATCGATGAAAGATTGGCCGTAGAAAATATCGACCGTACAAACTATTCGTACGGCGTAAGAGGAAAAGTGACATAACCAAACACGAGTGTTTGGTAACAGACTGGGCGCAGGATCGAGCAAAGCATCGGATTCGTATCGCGGGATCGTCGTGAGTATCGGCTCGTCGAGATACAAAGGACGAATAATTCGCCGCCCGATTCGGGACGACGTCGCCCAGGCGTAAGAGAGAAGAATCACGGCCGTCCCGCTTGAATCGTGTGTTGGACATTTTTGAAATTTTAAACCCGACACGCTCGCGATCGCCGTTCGAACGGCGATTACGGACGTCCGGGCGGCGTCCCGCGGGCTGCGAGCCACCAGATCGATAAATCGGGAACGCGAATTCCGCCGAGCCGGGTCCCCGAGGATCCCCAGGGCTTGGCGTCCCGTAAATTTCCGCGAAAATAACAGAAAGTTTACTCACTTTCAACCACGTCCGCCATGTTGACAGTCAGTGATGCATCATGGGTACGCGCTTCCCGACTCGACGTTCGCAGTCCGCCATCTCGCGTGGTCGAATCCGGTTGGTTCTGCCATCGCGGAAGTCACGCGCCGCTTGTCGCGTTATGAATCTTTCTGGGCTGCGCGGAGTTTCGGTAAGGATGCAATAAGAATTATTTATTATTTTATAATCCGTCTTAGTGGCCGATTAAGCGAGTTGTCAGTTACTTATCTTATCAAACTTGTACGTAGAGATAAGTCACTTAATTGCTCGCTAATAGATATTCACGAATTAACGACGATCTTAATGAATAATTAATGATGAATTTTTTTTTACGTATTTTGTAACACGACAGATGTTAATGAGAACTGCAATGTTTAAAGTTAATTCTTCTCCCTTTGATACAGACAACTTTTGCTTGCAGCAAAGTTCGGCTAACCTCATTAAAATTTTAGATTAGCATGGTTAGGTTTATTTTGGCACTGGTCTATTTTATTTGATAAAAAAATAGGACTGCGCTTGGGATATATTATATATATTATTCAAAAAATCTTTTGAATTATTATTTAATATATATATTTATTATATATATATATTTAATTTTTATGTCAAAATTCGGATAATTGGAAATTGGAATAAATGTTCGAAAATGTTTCGAAACAGTCATCGAGTACAATTTTTCTCAGACAGGACATTCAGAAACGTAACCTTGATATGCACATTTTATAGCATTTTCGAGTGAAGCAGACTTGATCAATTCGAGAACGATTAATAACTTCATTGACCAATCGCAGCCATTACTCTGAAGAACAAATGGCTGTGATTGGTCAATCACGTCATCGATTAATATCGATTTTATTCGAAAACGCTATGCGTTTTCTCAATTGCGATTCACTTCAAGCGATACTGTAATATTATGTCCATTTTGTATATTTATTTTAATTTTAATCGATTAACGAATTATGTATCTTATTTGGTTAACGATAGCGTCTCTGACATATAAAAATTGTTTTGCTATTGATGGAACGCTAGTTAATATTAATAAATATTGCAGAGATAAAGACAGATTAATTACATCCGAGGAGAACGACGAATATTTGCTGGTTAGTGCCGAGAATCTTACGACTGTCATATTAGCATGTCGTTATTGGTAAGAGAATCATTATACATATATGAAATATTATATATGAATAATAATTATATATATGAATTTGCATTTTAATTTTAGGTTCTAATCATTTATATAAGTCAATCAATAAAAATAATCAAATGTCTTTTTAAAATGTATTATTATTTATATAATTATTATATTTAATTATTATTTAATAGTATTTAATTATTATTTAATTATTATTTAATATTATTTAATTAATGAGTTTTAATTATTTACACACATATATAAGTGTATTTTCTGAACCAATGTATTTCTCGGTAAACTTTTGGCAATTTAAATTTTCAGAAGCAACGATCAAGAAGAATCCCAACCAAAAATTTGGTATTATCAAGATCGATATCAAAAGGAACCGGAAAAAGAAGTCGAATTAGGAATGGATAATAACGTTTCGTATAGCAGAATTTACACAACGCCAGATCTTTCTCTGGTTATTAAAAGCTTCTCAATCGTCGATGCTGGAATTTATCGATGTCATGGTGAAGAGGGACAAGAAGAAGAAAACAAATATAATTATAGGATTGAACGTAAATATTTAAATAATATATATATAGCATAACAATTAATGTAACATTTTATTTTTAATTATTTTTGATATATTATTTTGGATGTCTCTTTTCTCAATCATCTGTTTAGCTAGATATTTTTTAAATGTCACTTTATCGAAATTGAACAAATTATTCTTAACAATTTATTTATTAAAACAGCAACTCAATTTATATTTTTAGTAATATATTGATATATTACTAAAAATAATCGTACAATAATCATATATAATATTTGTAAATTTATATTTTTAATAATATTGATATATAATATATGAAAATGCTGTTGTATAAAATTGTTAAGAATAATTTTTCTAATTGTGTGTATATATATATAAGAAATATATATATATATATATATATAACTTCTTTTGTAATTTTTTTTATATATAATATATAATATATTTGTTATTCACTCTGAATATGGAATCTAATATGGTCAGTCTTTAATAGCAATTCTCAAAGATATTGGCGGCGAATTTCTAGAAGAGGGAAACATAACTGAATGGGAAAAATATCGTGAAACATATTTGTGGCCTGTCACTACGAGATTTGCAGTAAATTAATCAACTTAATTGTTTAAATTATAAACGAAATAAATATATAGATTGTATTCTTTCTCTTCTTTTATGATATATTAAACAAAAAATAGAATATAAAATTCATTTTATTTAAATCACAATTATCTATATAGACATTCTTATTGAGACTAGTATAACATTTTATGTATATATAATATCTTTTAAATTTTCTAAGTAAATAAAAATAAAAAAATTTTTTAATTAAAATTCTTAAGTAGAAATTAAAACAAAAAGAAAAATCTCTTGGCAGGTCTCAAACATGATGGATTTAGCTGAGATTCGTGAGGAAGGAGTTACTCTTCAAGTAATCTCTGAATGGGGTCCATGGAGCTCGTGCAAGCAATGTATAAATAATCGCGGTATTAAGACCAGTAGGGGTTTCTGCAGATTAAAGCGTAGCATAAATTCAGCGAGTATTGTTTATATTTTTCTTTTTATTGTAGACTAATTTAGTCTACAATATCGAAAATTAAATTTTTTATTATTGTTTTATTAATTGTTTTATTATGGTGCTTATTATTATTTTAGACGATTATAGAAAGAAATGATTCGACCATTATACATTTCTTCCGAGGATCTCCTATACTTCCTTGCAAGTAAATATCTAGCATTTTAATTTCGATGCTTTTTGATTAAAATATATATATATTTACTATGCATTCTTAGATCTGTTTTGCTTCAAAATGAATTTCCCACTATCAGTCGTATCCTACGATATTTGCCGGAATTTATTTTAAAAGAACCTTGTATGAAATGCCCACGTATAAAGAAAAGAAAGAAAAGTGAAAAGTTTCGATATGTCAAGCGATACGTTCTTGCCGAAGGAGCGCATCTCGCTGTAGTTTGTCCAGAGTAATTAAAATAATTTTGTACTTAATGTCATCACATGTTATATAAAATTTGAATGAGAAAATATTTTGTATTTAGATCAAGCACAGCATCGCAAGTAATTTGGAAAAAGGACACACTCACTTTAAAGAAAGGAACAGGACAGTCATTTCGTAAAAAAGATAAAGAGACTCGAGTGATGGTAGACACTTTTTCGACACTTTATTTAATAGGTAATGTAATATTATGTATTTTAGCTATTTTTTTTTTATAAAATTATCTACACAAGCTATTTTATAATCTTATTGTTAGATACATTTATATTTAATAAATTTATTTAAAAGTGTAAAATAAAATTTGATATTTTTTTTCTATTGTACTTTATAAAAAATATATATTTTTTATAGAAGTGTCCAAAGATGAGCAAGGCAACTATACCTGTTACGTGGATAACATTAACATGATGCGTTTAAAAGTCATCGTTATATCTAAAACTCGACTTTTAACACAAGGTAATAAATACACTTGATGAAAATTATAGTATAAAATATAAATGAATAAGTTTATATAGATATAATTATAAAAATAATAATAATGACAATTAAAGTTTAACTATTATATAACTAACTAATTAAGTTATATATTAATAACACATTCATTATATACACAAATAGATTTATATTATTTTTATAAAGCTTTTTTCCGGCATTTGAGCTACTTGGGAGTTATAATCTTTTTGACTTCGATCTGCTATTGCGCGGGTATAGTAATAACTTGTCGACAGAGAGATAAATTTCAGCCTTTGCCACAAGATGATCCATCAATGAAAGAACTTGAGTAGTTTGCCAAAAATACAATAACATATTAAATATTTTAATTTTGTAAATAATAAGTGCAATGAAATATTATGTTAACGTAAGTGAAATTTTTATTTTAGATTGTTAGTTTTCTGCTAATAATATATTTAATGTAAAATATAGTTTTTATAATTTTTTATATATATTTGTAAAGAATTAAAATTTACGAGAAAAATATATTCACAATTAATTAAAACGATATACTTATATTTTTCAATTAATAATATAAATTGTACAATTACGCCATCTTTTTATTAATTTCTAATGTTATTATATTAAATGTTTTAGCATTGTTTGATAGACCAGTTATCGGTTGAGAATGCTTCTTATGGCTATCTCTCTTTCGTTCCCTCGATCCGATTTTCTTTGGTATACGATGACCTTAAAGTGAAGTGAAAGGGGGAACTGGTGTGAGACAGCTACAAGGCGTACGTGTTCGTCTTCAGACAGTTCAGTTTAGTTTCAAAATGGCCATGTTTTATCATAGCTCCCGGCTTTTTATTTACGGAACACATTAATGAGCTAGTTAATTAATTGATAAAAGACTGACTAAAGATTAAGGCGACGAAATAGGATGAAATTTCAAACAAGTGTTCATGCGATCCTCGCGACTTTCTCCATAATCGCGATTCAAGAAAGTGTTGGTGAGTCTTTATTGTGAATGAAAGTTTTCTTTCTCAATTACATTATGGTATTCTTGGTATACACTTTTAATGTTCTTTTCCAATAATTTATGTGGAATTATAAATAAGGAAAAAATCAGAAATATATATATTCCATTTAATATTTTATTTTTAACGAAACAGTAATTTTTCCTTTTTAATAACAGATATAGAATATCAATATTTTAAATAGATGTTCTTTGATTTCTACACAATTTCTATAAATAAAATAAATTATCTAATTTAAATATAAACAATTTTTTTATAAAATACAACTTATATATATATATATATTTTTTTTTTTATCTTATATTGTTAATACTTATACATAAAAATTATAAGTAGAATATTCTATACATGAAAACAATAAATCCTAGATCAGTAAATAAAGAATTCTATTAATCAATATCATTGTACTATGCAAGTGAAATAGTGAGAGTAAAAGTGATTCATTCCTCTCGTTTTTACAGGTATTCTTCGAAGATGCGTTAGCTGTAGATCGAGAGGAGACCTGGGGTCTTGCAAGGATCCTTTTATTATGAATTCTACGCAAATTGCACTTGAGAAAGGTGTAGATGCAGTACCCTGCGTTTCTGGATGGTGTGGAAAAATCATTGAAAGTCAAAATTTAAATAATGGTGAGTTATTTTGCTTTCAACATATTTATATTGGCATTAACAACAATTTATATTATTTTATAATAAAAATATAATAGACATTTCTCCGAGTTTTATATTAAATTATTTTATTATTAAAATAAAATTATATTAAGTAACAGAAAAGATTTTATAACTTGATAATTGTAATTTTTATTCTTCTATTATAAAATTCTTTTTAAACAATTCTGATAAATTTATTGGACAGAGTATGGTACTGCCACGCAGAGATTATGCTTCCAACGAGGTCCTGATGATACTGAGGAAAGATGTGCTTATACAGTGTGGAATTATAAAAAAGTGTACATGTGTCTATGCTACGGAGACCTTTGTAACGGAGTGATGAGAACAGGCGTTATTAGTAGGTTTTTAATAATGATAACTGTATGTTTAGTACGCTGGTTAGTTTGAGGACACAATAATGAATATCATGAATGAGCTAAAATGATTGAACATCTTGTGAGTATTTCATAAAACAAAAGTTTCTATAATAAGAATCTACTTTGATCAATATATTCTTATATATGTATAAAATAAAATGTGTTTTTTATAAAACATATTCTACAATAAGCGTCATAAGTAGTATATCTTATTATATATTTTACTTTATTAGATATATTTTATTTTATTCGTATTTTATTTATTTTTTTGTTTTAGTTTATCAATTTTTTAAATTTGTAATTCATTTTTCTATAATACAAAAATAGCAAAAAATTTAATGCAATAGTGTGATGAAACACTATATATTATTTCTTAAAAATTTAAAAGAGTGCTCTTAAACATATTATTTTTGTTTTCGTTTTTTTTGTCAAATTATATTTTATTTCTAATACATAGTATTTTATTTTAATATGTCACAAAAATATAATTATTTTTTATATAAAAATATTACATATTACAAATTAAGCTTATATATGATTTTTCCGAGAGCACAGTAATACTGAGTATAAATTTCAATTAAATCATTCTTAGTTTAATTGCTTCTGACACTTTGTCTGCGAAATGGAGACCTAGGATTTAAGCTGCCCAGAACTTGCCCATGTAAACCATTTAGTCTCCTTTCTTCCTGTTTTCGTAATAATGCTTTTGCATGTGGATAATCGTCAAAGAAAAGCTCACCCAGTCCATAGAGATATTTAACTGCCATCATTGCTTCACGACCAGTTAATAAATACGGGTCTTGTCCTAAATAAATTAAAAACATATTGTGATATTAAAAATAAAAAACTATGTAATTTTTTCTTATTATTTTCTTATTAATTTTTATTATTTTTTATTTCTTTTATCATTTTCTTATTATTCCTTTTTTGGTTTTATTCATAGTATAAAAGTAATTGAAAACATGTAATTAAAAACACATAGATCTTAACTAATAAAACGGATTTTGTCAGCCGAAATTGTCAACGGAAAAATACTTTTACCCAATTTGTAAAAATCAGGAAGACCACGTTGCACCTCATGCCAACTGTATCCAAGATCATTGATATCATTCGGTGGCAGGAAGACACCGACCGGCCACAGGGATTCGGCGTTTTCGGGATTTGTTATCGCCTGTCGTAAGTGATTTCGCTGTAGATTCGTTCTATAATTGTAATCTGTAAAAATATATTACGTAACGTAAATAATTTTTATATATATTCACACTGGAAATATTTTAAAAAATATATTATTTATACAGATTACTATTACTAAATAACTATATTAAAATAATTGCGCAAATGTGTGTGTATAAAAAATAAAATTACCGAGATCCTTAGAACGCTTTGCTGAGTTTCTTCGGCCGATCGAGATGAATGACTTTTGAGCCACCGTTCGATCCCCTGAAGAGGAACGCGAACGAGTTAAAATAACTTAATGCAATGTAAAGCATTATTGCGCAATTGATGCCTAACCGTCTGTTGTGATGCTGTGCTCGTGTACATTGGAGGGCGATACAAATTTCACATGCACATTGGCGAGTGGCAGGGAATTGACCGTCGACACCGCAAGTAACAGTAACATCATTTTCTGAAATTAAAATAGCAGTTTAGTTTTTAAATAGCAAAGCATATTATCAATCACATTTTGATAAATTATTTGAGTCGCAATAAATGTAAGAGAGAAGCAGTTATTTTTTCGACTATTTTGTTTCAAATACATATTATATATATTATAAAATAAATTATATATGTATTATATTTTTGCTAAAAATAATATCTGTAAAATATAGAGAATCAAGACTATTAGACTATAAGATCTAGTCGCAGAATATCCGACATGTCTCTAATTGGAGCTTTATGAAACGTGTTACACATGCATCTAAGATTTTTTGATTTAAAAATCTACGTCAGCAACCACAACTCAAAACTCGATACGCTGTGAATAATTTCATAGAAAATTTACTTGGTAAGAGTTATATACACTATATACACATTCAAAATAATATTGTATATTTTAAAGTATATATATATATATATATATATATGTATACATTATATATTTTAGTGGTTTTTCGTCAAAATTTCGTTATTATCTACATGTTGAAAATTGTGCTATTCTTAACGAGAAAGTCCGATGCAAGTGTTCCCATGTCCGTGATATGAATGTCAACGATAGATACATCTTTTTTTGATGAATCATCCGATGATGCAGAAAATAATCGTAAAAAATACTGTAGAAATGCGTGTCAAGGTGAGTAAGTTTCTAAAATTTATTTTATGCAGATGTACAGAATTTATAATCTTTCCTATAATGCGAGAAGAAATTACATAATATTATTAAATTACATAATATTATCTGTGAAAGCAATATATCTGTACGATTAATCTTCGAAATATTAATTATAAGAGAATCTTCTAAATATGTAAATTATTATTATATAAATATATATATATATATATATATATTGTATATATATATATATATATATATATATATATATATATACATACAAAAATAACATACATAAAAATAATAATTATTAGATCGTCATATACATATATAAAATAATCTATTTAAAAAGTTAGTTTTTACAGAGCAAATAAATATTTTTTTATTAATTATATTGTTATTTATAATAGTTATTATTACTTTTAATAGATATGTAATTTTTACCATAAGAAATATCAATCAATTTTATTTATCACGTATATATATAAAAAAGCAGAGTTTATTATATAATTTCATAATTATCTATTTTTAATCTATTGCTTTTTTCAGATTTTTCGTATGTGGGATCTCAAGAGAATCTACTCTAATATAAACTTGATGTAATCGGAATGCGTTTACATCATTTCGATGACCTGCTTGCGAAACATTGCCCTCCCCCTGCGAGTATACCAAAGACGCTTTTCCCACAAGGATTACCAGCAATATTGCACTTTGAAAGGCAACATTTTTAGCGTCTACAGAGAAAGAGAGAGAGAGTAGACATTATATCTCTGCATACCATCACTACTGTGTACTATTACAACAGCACAACTATAAGCGCGCCTACGCCCCGACAAAACGCGTGCACGCGTGTGTGCGTGTGAGCGATTCCACGAGGAGATTTGTTCTTTTATAGACGCACACACGTGCACGCTCGGCAGTGCGTGTCAAGCAACCCTTTCGTTTTCCTTTCCGTTCACCTTCACCTGGGAACATACTCGACTATTGAATCTGGCATTTGAAATTCAACATTGCAGAAATCTGGTATGCATATAAGTAATTATTGTCTTGATAAATAATTGTTGATCGAAAACCCAACAATATAGAGGATTCAAGATAAAATAAAAGATCGAATTTCGAAAGGAGAGATATTTTTTAAAATTTAATTACAATATAGTGAATAATAGAGAGAATAACGTTATGCAGAAAGCAATTAATTGATAAAATAAGAATAAATTAATTTCTCATAAAACTCTCAAAATTAAAATTAAAACTCAAAGTACTTGAGTTTATTTTTCTTTCTAAATTATATTGTAAATATATATATATATATATATATATATATATATATATATATAACTTTTTTGTATTTCTTTTCTATTCTTTTTTTATCTATTTGATAGATTATAATGATTTAAATTAGTCTGAGCTTTTGCAAATAAGAATATTAATGAGCAGAACATTAAATTATTTAAAAATTATATAATAATATTATTAATTTAGATTTTAGATCATATAGCATTGCAAAGATTATTAAAAGATTATTTAAAATTTTCATTTTTTTACAGATTAAATCTTATCAAAGATTTGGACTATTGTTAAACACTAAACACTCTGCCTATAGATGACTATATATTTCTTTGTCAAACATTATTTTCTACATATTTAAAATGTTAAAAATTGACATAAAATTGATACAAAGCCTGTAAGGATTACGACTAATTTATCATCCGTAAAAATGTTACAAGGTATTTATCATAACTTTTTCAATTTTAATATCAATTTCGACATCATTTTTGATATTTTTATAATAAAATCTCAAATTAAAGTTATATTAAAAGCAAAATAGTGAAATTGCACGGAGGAGAAACGACGAATATAACTATTATTATTAAATGCACAATATTCCTTATTAAACTTCACTCCACCCACCGTCATTGTGCGATTTCACGATCAATTGTTTAGCACAAATTAAAATTTTAATTGATAGACGATTTCACTGTGCACTCCTGTTCGATAGAATCACAATCGTCCTAAGGACTTTTTTCGCAAACGCTACTTCTAAGATTTAGCTAAATCTCGCGAGACGTCTCGGTCAGGAACTGATCCAGTTTTCAAACGCGGAGAACGTTCCGGCTGCCTGTATGCATGAATTTCAGCATCCCCCTTCTCACCATGTATATACATATAATACGTACCCCACCTGCGTAGCTTGACTTTTGCAGAGGCACCCAAGTAATAAGGACTCGTGGAGGATCACGGTGAGACTTTCATCTCGAGATCGCACGATCGAATTTAGCGCTTGCGAAATTTTCCCGGGAACGCATCGCATTTTTTATGTCTCTGAGAGTTTGCGCGAGATATTCGCGATTAAATAGATGATTGCATAGACTATTGCATATGTCGAGCATCAACTAAAATTATATTATATAAATAATTATTGTACAAGGCATTAAGGTTTGATTTCCATTTCATTATTAGAACAATTAAGACACAAAGTACGAACTTTGTCTATACATTGCATTTAATATTATTTAAGATAATTATAAATCATAATGATATATAGTCATATAATAATATATATTTATATACGTACATTTTATAGTCATATTAATATAATTATATATTTTTACGTATATTTTAATCAAAATGTGATATTAATAGTTTTTAAAAGCTAAAAAATTTGACATTTACGAATAAGAATTTTTAAATCATAATTTTTCAGTATTTTACGAGTCAGAAAATGTAGGTTTTTTATACTGGGGATGCCTAAATTTATGCATAAAGTTTTCTAGCCTCAAATGAAAGATAATTTCCATAAAATTCCTTACAATTTCTTTTCATTTAATTATCGCATCTCATCATTGTTTCTTCAAAAAGGGCGCGAAATCGAGTGCCCTCGCGTTCGCGAGGATTTAAACGTTCGAATCGGAACGCGCGCGCTTCGCGCCGCGACAAGATGGCCGCCTGCGGAGTTCCGGTGACTGCTGCGCGCTAGTCGCGAGAAGATTTCGCGGGTGGCCGAGTTTATGGGTAATATTTCCCAAGATTCTTTGTGATGTACTGGCGTTACGGGGGGCCGACGAAATTCAATTCACTGCGAGCGAGCGGACGATCCATCTATGGCTTTATCTCGCGTTATTTCGCCAGTATTTTCGTCATGTCGCGTCACGTCGCGACACATCGGCTCCTCCTCTCGGAAATGCTCCCGAGCACGAAGATGGCGAGTCTCGGGGAACGAGATGCGATTCGGTGTACGACGTATGATTTGTCTCCGCGCGCGCGGTTGCTACATGTTTTAACGTTTCTGTCTAAATGTCAATTTCGTGTAAACACATGTCAATGACAGCTACGTAATTGTCATAATACAGGTTAATCGCGAGGCGGGTATTACGCGACATTTCGTACAATTTATGCGGTAAAAACATTTGCGTAACTCGTTTAGCACGTGTCGAAGGGAGAATGAGATCGCGAGCAGGAATAAGATGAGATGTCTCTTTGTCCATCAACGTCTGTCAGCGAGAAATGTTGTCTGTTTACAGCTGCGGCATCGGCACAATCGTAGGAGATGTCGGCACAGAGTGCAGATACTCCAAACTGCACTGCGAGTCAGGAGGAGGAGGAGGAGGAGGAGATGATCTTGGATGAGTCTGAGGTACACACACTTTGAAATAGATAATATCGTGCAATGATTTTATATTGATCATTACACATGTATTGGTAATTATACTTTCTAATGCGTATGATTCTTTTTCAGAATAATCCCATGGATATTTTGGAATGCTTGTCAGTTATGATAAATGAGGGTCCTGAAAATGATGCGAGTCAGGTTCAAGAATTTTTGTTGGATGACCAGTTACTTGGTACAATGGTGACAGCAATTACATTGCCTGATGGAACTCAAGCTTTTGTCACAAATAATCTCAGTGACATTGGTTAGTAAGAATATATTGGGTCTGTGCATAAGTCCGTAGCAAAAATCGAATAAATTTCAAACGCAAAATTATCTTAAAAAGCGATCTTAATCAACTGTATATGTCCCATTCTGTTCGATGACTTTCTGCCATCTATCCACAAGCTTCATTATCTCTCGTTTGTAGAAGTCTTGAGATTTTTCTGCAAAGAAGTCTTCCAATTGCGAACGACATCTCACGGAATTTCGCTACGAACTTATGCACAGACCCAATAAATTACTTTTTTATATGCTATCCATGATAATACAAAAAAAGAAAAGTTTTTTTTAGAAAACATTTAAAGAAAACAACTATTTTGAAAATATATTTTCTTAATTGTAGCAGTTATATCAAACATTATATATTTATTATAGATCCAGATTTCAAGACTCAAACATTACAAACAACACTTGAGAATGGGAATACTATATTGTTGCGAGATTTGTCAGAATTTGGTGAAGGGAAGGCTCTTCAATTAGAATTAGATTCTGCTACATTTATACAAGATGAAGATGCTTCCAACGAAAATGTAGAAAATACATATTCACAAGTAGAATTTATTAATGGCACTGCATACATGGTAGCTAGTCATGTGGATGTTGATGAAAATTTATGGGAAATTCAAGATGGGAAGTTAAAGAAGAAAGATCCCAAGATTTTAGTTAATAAATTATCTGATGCAAAGATTAGATATCCTTGTCCTAGAGAGGGATGTTCAAAGGTTTATAGCACACCCCATCATCTCAAGGTAATTAATTTTTCAAAATTAATACTTATAATGCAGACAAAATTAAGTCAATCATTTAATCACAGAAATTTTATCCAGATGTCTTAATTTCTTTTTTATAGGTTCATGAGCGTTCTCATACTGGTCAAAGACCATATAGATGTACACATTCAAAGTGTAAGAAAAGCTTTTCAACAGGATATAGTCTGAAAGCACATTTGCGGACGCATACAGGCGAGAAACCGTATAAGTGCACGAATGGAACGTGTAATAAAAGTTTCAAAACATCAGGTGATCTATTAAAACATGTGAGAACTCATACAGGGGAACGTCCATTTGTATGTCCATTTGATGGTTGTGGTCGATCGTTTACTACAAGTAATATTAGAAAGGTACAAAATTTGTTGCCAATTAAAATATTTAATCATGGAATATTTGAATATTTATTAATTGACTAGTGCTATGTTTGTCAGGTTCATGTGAGAACACACACTGGTGAGCGACCATATAAATGTACTCAACCAAAATGTGGTAAAGCGTTTGCCAGTGCAACAAATTACAAAAACCATATACGGATACATTCGGGTGAAAAACCTTATGTTTGTTCTAAAGAAAACTGTGGTAGAAGATTTACTGAATATTCTAGTCTGTATAAACATCACCTTGTAAGCATTCTATTTCAGTTATTAATACAAATCTATTTATTATTAATTTGTAATTTATTAAAAGTATAGGTGCATTGATTAAATATATATTTATGTAAAAAAATTATATCTAAATATTTTGTGTTTTTTTAGGTGCATACACCACAACGACCATTTGAGTGCACATTGTGCTCTAGAAGATATCGGCAAAGTAGCACACTGGTGATGCATAAAAGAACAGCTCATGCATTGGTTGACAGTGATGATGGTGCTGATGTATTTTTGCAAGATTCTTTTGAACCTTCTAGTCAAACTAAAAATAAAAAGAAACCTGTGAAAGATACTGTAAGTATGATACAATATTTATGATTATATAATTTGGACATTATAATTATATAGCTTATAATTACAATTGATATAAATTAAATTTAGACACTTGGAAAAGATAAACAAATTCAGATTTCTAAAATGATTGATGATGCAAACGATAAAGAACCACAAATTTTATTGGTTAGCGATCCTTCACAAATTACTACACTGCAGGTTTGTATTAAATTTAATATCTCTAATAGATTTATTCTATATATAGATATTTACAATCATTAATAAAATTATTTCTACATCTAAAATTTTGCATACAGAAAATCGGTCTGGATGAAAATTTTGATGATCCTGGTATTGATACGACTTTTGAAGGATTGAATATAAAGATTGAAGACATAGAATTTGGTTGGAATTAATACCAAAAATGAAAAATATATATGATTATTTTTTGACATATATGTATGGATATCGTGAACATTAAATGTTAACGATTTTGTTAACATTCATGTACATATTTTTTTAAATATCAGAGCAAAATCAAATACATAAGCAAATACATAAATAAAAATAGTTTCAAACGGTATTCGACCGCATAAACAATGTGATAATAGCTGCGAGTTCAAATTTCATTTTCATATCAGTTTCATGATACTACAGAAATAAGATAATGTCAAGCATTTTATAATGGTGAATATAATAGTTAATATGATATAAACTGTTATAACAGTCATTAACCTAAGCAAAGATTGATCTGACATGATTTTGATGGATTCAAAATTTGATGGAAATATGAAAAGGATTTTAAGGAAATATGTGGTAATTCTCATTCATGTGTTGAATTTAATGATCTCAGTGAAATTATATTGGTTCGTACTTTAAAGATATAAGGTAAGATTATTAAAAATATATATAAAGAAGATCAATATTTACATTGTTATGTTTTTGAAGGCAGTGCCTTATTTGAAAATGTAAGCAAAAATGTATATATTTATTTATATTATATTCTTTCTATCTATTGTCTAACATGATATTTTTGTGATACATTATTCTAATTTTTTTAATAGTCATAAGATTAATTGAATTACACTTGTATTTTGTTATATTATCTTATTTATTTTTAATTAACACCAATTCAAATGTATAGAGAAATTCAACTTTATTATATTATTATTTTATAAAATAGAAAGCATTACAATATAAATTGAAGCAGAGATATGTGATGACATTAACAATAGATAGGGATATAATATTTATATAATATTTATACGATGCACAAATGTTCCCTAAAAATATCAAAAATAATATATGTATTATGTTTTGTATTATACATATATATATATATACATTTCTTTTTAAATTAAAAATTGCTTTTAGTACAAAATATATTTGCATAACATTTGAATGTGTTCTAACATAAATAAAAAGTTCGATAGTTTAAACTTCGAGAAAAATATATATAAAGTTGAATTGAAAAATATCTAAATTAATATTCAGAAGCTACATTAAAATAACGATAGATTACTCATATATTACATTCTTCAAATAAAATTTATATTTCTCTAATCAAATTCTCATGATTAAAAAGAAAACTGTTATTTACGTTTGTGTTGATTAAACAGATTCATTAATACAGCGAAAGAAACAAATCACGAAAGGCAAATAATTCAGATACACTTCAACGATTGAAAAGTAGTTTCTCTTGTATCAAAAACAAATTAAAGCAATTTTGTAATCTCTAATTATCTCTTCTTTTCCTTTACTCTTCTGTCTCTTCTTTTCCTTTACTCTTCTATCTCTAAATAACTTATTAAAAATTATGTAAAAAAACCTGTTTTTGAATTTTTTAAAATCTATATTGAAAATTTTTTCTCTATTTTTTATATTTTTATTGTGTGTTTTTACTGTTTAAAGATAATTTTGATGAATATTACAGAAGAACCTGCTTTCAATTCTCCCACCATTTCACGATCTTTCGTATAGTGCTGCTCTTGATTACGGATAGTCTCCACTCGACCAAGTACTCGACTACGCTGATCCATTAATCCCACAAATAACATTTAAATTTTTGATGACAACGCCGACAGCCAATGTTCTGTGTCTACAATTTTACATTGTCGTGTAAAAATGATTCAAAATTTTTCGGTTGCGACTTACAAAATGCAGCTAGTCAACTTAATCCAAATATGTGAAACAAGTTTAAACAGTATACAATGGATGAAACTGGTGAGTATCAAAAGTGATTAAACAAGTTGATTTAAAGATTAAAAAGAAGTAATATTTTATTTCTAATTGTTGATATTGAATTAAGGTGCAATATCTTTCAATTTTTACATACTTACGCGTTATCGAATTTTGAGCATTTACGTGTGTCCATTTGAATTTCGATATCACTGATATCACTAATCTTTTTTATTCTTATGAAAATTGTTATTATATTGATAATGGCAAATTTGGACGAAAAATATTATTTCCATTAATAGATTAATATTATAATACCATTTATAAATGAAATGTGTTTAAAACAGATTTATAAAATTTCATCTTTTATAATTATTTGCATTATATTAATAAGATTGAAATTGATTTCATATTACATAATGAATTTATACATATATAGATATATTTATATATATTAATATATAATATTTTATTAAAATGTATAATTTTTATATATAGCATAAATGAAAAATAATTCTATTCTACAATAAATTCAAAATATATCTATATCTTATTATTGAATCACAATAAAATAATATCAACTTTGTCAATAACAATTTCTGATGTAGACTTACATTAAAAAAAAAATAAAATGTAACCGATAATATTTTTTAAAAGTTATTAAATCCGGTAACCAAGTATCGATTTTAATGGAAAATTCAAGAAATGCGAAAAAATAATTGATAACATATCAGTATCAATCTTAACGTTATCGTTGAAGTGTTAAAACAGAAAAGAACATCAATTCTCTTAGCCAGTAATTACGATCTCTGTATAATTCGATTACAGCTATATAATTACGATTATTATTACGTAATGCTATCTTGCGATGTTTACTGTTTCACATTTTTCGATTAATTTAGATGATTTATATTGGACATATGTTTTTGCGTTAATTAATATTCTAAAATAACATTATTTATATTGAAGGAATACACATTATATTTGTAATATTGTTCATCTGAATATAAAGAAACGAACGTTATTTTTGGACATCAGACATTATTTAAAAAGTCACAGAAGTCTACTTTTAAATAAGTTTTTAAAATTGATAGCAGCATTGAGATTTTCTTCAAATTTAATTTTTTTATAGAATAATTTAATAATTTAATATTTTTTATTTTTACTATATTAAGTAAAAAATTTATCTTTTTCATAGTTTATGCATTTTATAATTTCCCTTTAAAATGATGTTAAGAAACAATATTAATTAATTTAATATTATAATAACGCTGACATTGTTTAATAACGTAATTATTGTAATTTTCGATAAATACTAACATTCGATCTTTTTCTAAAATGTAAAATTATTACAGTTTATTTGATTATGCGGTAGATAGAAAAGGCACGTGATTAATACTTCATATTTCTTCTCGACAAACTTCTCGACAACTATTTTACACATTAATTGTTAACTAATTACCACATGCGCATTAGTATCGGCATATTTTAACCGCAGCCGTGACGGACACGACGTGTGCAGTAAATGGAAGATAATAACAGTTGTTAAGTGCCCGTTAACAACCATAAAATTATTCGAGTTAAAACGCCGTCGTAAAGCCTCGTCTGTTCAACTAATCATTTAATGATTCATCATCAACCTGTTCACATCAAAGTGTGTCGTTTTATGCTTTAAAATTTATAAATTCCGCGTAAGATTCATACTCATTTTCGAATTACAATGAGATGATGCGATATAGTATTGTAGTTTTATTACAAAATAAGGTCTCCACATCTGAGAATTAAAGGCAAATAAGTTCAAAATATTTTGACGCAGTAGCTCTTTCGTAATAGCTCTTTAGATTAAAGTACAATGACAAAATCCAGACAAAGCTCCTAAAGTAACACAATTACTCAAGAGCAATATATGTAGCAAGGCAATAAATTTACATTAAAAAGTCCTACATATAACGAATATTACATAAAATACTTGTTCGCGTATTTCTCTATATTTGTTTAATTTATTTTAAAATAAATGTGCAACTTTATATTCTTGGTTTTTCAAATTTATATCTTGCTACATTTTTCTGTGTTTTTAAAATTATAAATTTGTTTTATTAAAAATTACTGCGAAGTTATTTCATTAAATATAAAATAATATGAAACAAATTGTTACAATTTTGCTTTGGCAATTGGCTAATTAGAGAGAATAATGGCATTTTATAGTGAATCATATTTTTCATCTTAAACGTACAAATATAAGTAATATCAACAAATTGCATTCGAGGAAAGAATAGTGTGAACTGGTCGTCATTTGTGCTGTTTCACGAATAAAGGAAACATACGTGCATGAAACGCGTCCGCAAATTTATCTCATCAATTAGATGATCGATAGTAGCGTGATGTATAGTCGTTAACATCGCCGAAGGTTCACGGCGTTTGACGTATTATTCTTGTTATTGCGGGTAGAAGACAAAGGGGCCCGATAAATTTAAAAATTTTCGAACGAAGCAAAATGCGAGGGATGAATTCGTTAAAAGTGAATACATTTTTTGTTAAAAATATTTATTTATTTTTTAATATGTTTCTTAATATTTACAGGTGGAATTTGGCTTTGAAATGTCGAATCTTTGCGATATCTTCACGCGAAAGGGCCCCGAATGATAAAGTTTCTTCGTTGCGAGCCCCTGACCTCTGCTCGCAACGAATGTGAATTTTCTCATGCGAGTACAAACAAGCGATGTCCACATTGACATTATTAGCAAATAGTGATCGACATGTTAAGACATGACAGTCGAAGTATGTTCTCGCACGTCATAAACTGTATTTATGGATCATGTTATAACAAAAGGATCAAGACAAATTGATCGTTCGACTATCGTCGCATTTTTTCTTTCATTATATTATACGTTAATTTCTCATGTTCTAAATTGATGCGAAACATTAATTCCTCCTTTAACTTGAAGTGGATGTATGCTTATTTTGTTACAATAATTTTAATTGATTTAATTTAGCAAGCTTTTATATTTGATTCTTAGCTAGAAGAATGTTGATATGGTTTTTATTTTGACAGTTTTTTGTTAAACAAAAAATAACTGTTAATCTTACAATAAGCACTTCTCTCATATGATCTCATATGACTCTCCGCTAATTCTAAAATACTTTGTATTATTTCGAGCTAATGCGAATTATGCGCTTATGCAAATTCATAAGCGATACGTTTAAACTTACACGAGTCACGAAACCAAATGGGAGATGTAAACTTGAGAAAGAGACACGCGCGGCGTTTTTTCACGCCGTAAATTATCCTCGCGAATGCAAAAATCGATCGCTATTACGATCCATGATCGGCAGGCAGGTCGGTGGGATATATGAAGTTCCCTGGTAGAGACCGAACGCATTGCACAACCAGACATTGCCGAAGGAAGGGTTTTGATAGCTCAACGTCAAAAGTGCACCAGATAGAAATTTTTTACTTCGGGTAAATGTGGCTTGCATGTTTATCTTCTAGGCTTTTAAATCGTACCTCATGCAATAACTAGAAACTTGCTCGATTAATCATTACGAATTTTTATAAAGCTGATGCATTTTATATTATTGCACTTTAGAGACTGGAATGATGTCTATCTATTTTCGATGCATTAATTAATTTTTGTGTAACGTTTAACGCACTATTTGTAGAAATTAAATTAATGCTGTAATATTTTTTCTCATGTGTGTAAATTTAAATGTTTACTTATGTTCTCAATTATGTATCACAAGCAAACTCATTTGATTTTTTGGTCACAGAGTTCTCTGGATACTTACAGCAAGTTGCAGCTACGGCACAATGTTCAGATCGACAGGAAGATCTCTTATGAATCGAAGATATCGGACCACAATGTGATAACATTGCCCTCGTGACAGTGGTAATCGATACGACGATCGGTACGGAGAAACCGTAAAAGAGAGCCGTTCTTCGCGGGAGAACCTTAGTGCGCTTGTGACATTTGTGGTGCAAGTGGTGTTAGCGTTACCTCCCCGCTTTTTCCCACCGGAAACTATGTCAAGAATATACTCCGCCACTTGGACGGAGACATCATGATTACCTGATCTGATGAATCGTCATCTCTTTGTGATTTTTTGATTCACACTAGATATTTAATATAATTCGCCGGCAGCATTCGAGAATGTCCAAGAAGCAATGGTTGGCCCTGCTAATGTTGTTCCTCACATACCTACTGCTTGGTGCCTCTATCTTCCACCATATCGAATATGGCTACGAGGAGGTCAAGATCGCGAATGCTAACAAGGAACGAAAAGAGATTAACCGTAAGAACGATAATAACAATCACTGTTCCTATATGTATCAATTATCTCACGCGAAGATCGCGCCGTTTTTAATCCATTGAGAATTCATGATTTCTGCACATTTAGATTTATTAACGAAATTGCATTAATGTATTATTTTGTTAGATATCGTAAATCAATATACGAATCGGCTTATCTAGACACATCTTTTATATTTTCCAATCAAATATCAATTTTACTTTAACGAAAATTCTGCGCGATCATTGTATTAATAATTTAATAATTTATATAATCATGAGAAATGACGAAAATTTCTCGAAAATTAAGTAAATAAAATCTTGCCTTTGTTTAAGTTTGAATAGAGTTTGCAATTGATAATTTTATAAATTAATGTAAAGTTAATAATAGATTGATAGATTTTCTCTCATAATTTTGATAATTTGAGGACTTAAAGAATATTTAATTAAAATATTTAAAAATAGTAACAAGCGTGAATTACCTTGACATCCTAGTTAAGGAGAAATAAATTTTAGGTTTGCGAAATACATTTTACGTGCATTCTATAATATATTATGCTCTATTATTATTCACTTGACTAATAGCGAAAATAAAATAGCATCTTGATTTCTGAAAATTACTTTAATCGATAAGTTTCTTCCATTAAAACGGAAAAATATTCTTGAGATTTTATTACCATTGAGATTTTTAAGTACACTTTTACAATCTAAATAAGATATCGAGTCAATAATAAAGATATCGAGTACTTGTCTAACGTATTCACCATCAATCAGCTGATTATTACGCGAGCACTTTGCGATGCACTTTGAGATTTCGGCGATAATAATGCAAATAACGTTTTAGCCACATGGTCATAGAAGACGAGTCTGGCATGTAAAACACTTGAAACTTCTGATATGCATTTATTAACAAAATATCTTATGCATCCAGCGTCTTAAAGTAAGACAGTTGTCATTGATCGAAGTTGCACTGATGCAGTCTTAATTAGTGTGACTATAAATCGTAAATTTTATTATAATATAAACAGATGAAAGTCATTTGTTTCTAAAGTAAGAAATTTAAATTGTATATCGAAGCAACTAGAACTTTATAGTCTTTTTAGTATATTGTTTTTCATATTGCAAAATTTCGGATATAAAATTTTATAAAAATCAAAAATAATAAAAAATGATTTATTTTAATAAATATTCGATCATAATGATAGATTCTTATATAAATATTCGATTATATTCTGAAATCACATTTTTCAAAATTTATATAAAATTTGTATTTTTGCAAAATTAAAGTTCTTAAATAATTAGATTCTTGAAAGAGTTAAATTTTATTAATCGCTGAATTTAAAAACAATTAATAAAGGAAAACATGTGGAGTCTTTTGTAATTGCAATCTCATAAATAGCCGGAAAATCGTGTCTGCTCGACCTTATTGAGTTTTGTATGCATGACTGTGTTCGGTATCATTGTTAACTCAAAAAGAGCATTATTTAAATAGCTACCGATCACAATGTTGCGCACTAAAGAATGGTCGTTAAGTTGACGGCCAGTGTCAGTGTCATCAGGGGGGTCGATTGATTACGATAATTGTCATCATCTCATTGACCGCTCCCGTCAAAATCGTTGCATTTGAACTAAATAAAACGGCGATATCCGTTTTCATAACGTTTGCCCTTCCTCGGATTTCTGTAAGTGTATATTTTATGATGAAATACACGTAAACACGCACAGACATGACTACAAAATTACTTTTTTAAATTTTAATTTAAATTTTTTCTATAACATGTTATACGCTTATTTATGTTCTATTAGTCTTGATGCAGCGACATTTACATACCGATTGCACTTACGTACGCGAAAAAGGTCCAGGCAAGATTTGTAATGGCCATAAAAAACGACAAATATCAGCTGATAAGATAGCACGTGTAACAATTGTCTCGAAAAAGACTTCGTTCATAAAGGATGGCGAAAGAGGGATTATCTTTCAGTTAAAGATTTTAAGATCATCCAATGTGAATTTACTTCTTAAACATGCATACAATTCTTTTCAGAATTACTTCGACACCATTACAAACCCAGTAGTGAGCTGGATAATATTTTCATGAAACTCAGCGAATACTGCGGCAAATCAGTAAATGATTCGCAGGATATTGGCCATTATCAATGGGACTTCTATAATAGCTTCTACTTCGCTTATACGGTTGTTAGCACTATCGGTACGTATCGGTCAAAGTATTCAGATTAAACATGTAACGCAAATATAATCTTAATTTTAAATATGTGGTCGTATCGTATGTGGATGAATATAGACTTAACTCTTTGTTTGAAACATGTTATACATTTACAGTTACAAAATCTATTGTTTACATTAATTTACATTCATATATAATACTCTCGAGCCACACAAAGACCTAAAAAATGTTTCTAAAAGAAAAAAATATTTGAAAAATTAAAACATTTTTTAAATGTCTTATTTAAAAAAATAATTTTTCAAATTGTTATGTTGTCTAAATTTTTTTTTTAATTAGAATAATATGTGTAATTTTATTACAATAAATTTTTTTAATGCTTGAATTATTGCGATTGTTTTATCTTTTCTTTTTATGTATTGTTATTTTATATTCTTTATTTTTTCGAAATTGTAAATTTATAATTTTCTGCGCAGGATATGGTAATCTGGCACCCACACATACGCTTAGCCGCATCCTGATGATCTTCTACGGTCTAGTGGGCATCCCGATGAACGGGATTCTGCTGACACAGTTGGGAGAGTTTTTCAGTCATGTGTTTATCAAGGCTCATCAAAAGTACAAGTCCTACAAGCATGGCCAGTCATCATCCGATTATTCTCTAAGAAATCGATGTCACTTGAGACGCGAAAGGTGGGCCTGGCCGCGCAAATTCTCATGTACCTGACACCCGGCTTCATCATGTTCATCTTTTTCCCGGCGATGCTATTCTCATATTACGAGGGCTGGCACTATGATGAATCGGTTTATTATGCCTTCGTCACGCTGACGACCATCGGTTTTGGCGATCTCGTGGCGGGTAATTATTCTATCTTATCATTTCCCGGACATGCGCGCAATATGATTAATTTATTATCATCAATACTAAGATTTGGTTTGTAATCTTGTGAATTGCAGAATTACAAATTCTTAAGACACTTCTCAGAAACGTAATATCCTCTGTACGTTTTATGAATGGTATATCGTTTATATATAGTCCTATCACATTCATAATACGTCCAAACCATACAGTATAACGACAAAATTATAGATGATATGCAAGATTAATATTTAATAAGATTAATATTTTTTGCGATTAAAGAAATATTCCATCTTATTTACATATTACACAACAAAGAGAGAGAGGGAAAGAGAAAACAAGAAAAAGATGTAAAAAATGTTAAGTTAGGTATTCTGAAATTTGAGGAAATTAAAATTAATGTTTAATTTATTTTTGATAAGAAACTAGAGAGATATATTTTTATTACATTAAACGAAACCTTGGTTCTCAATAACAAGTAATATAAAATTCTGAATTATAAACATCGATTTGATTTGGTTTGATTTAATGATACCAGACCACTTGAGAATATAACTTTTGATAAATTTCGTCAGCTATTTTTGATTAACATTTTTGATTAACATTATTTATACAGTACATACTTGTAATCTCTATATCTCTCTCTTTCTTTCTCTCTTATCACATGTATCAATCAATATAATCTGAACTTACCTGTTCCGCCTTAAAAGATAAATGTTTTCAATCGTTACATGCTCACGTGGGAAACAGATCTTAATATGTAAGTAGTTCTGAACCCCGCCGTAAATAAAAAAATAGAATTGTTATATATGCTTACTTATAATAATAATAACTAATTAAAATAATAATAAAGTGTAAAATATAAAAAATCATAACATAATATTTATATAAAATGTATATAATAATGTATATGTATATAGTATACGTAATTAGAAAATATATATATATATTAACGACTCAAATGAAAATTATTCAAAGCTAATATATATTTTTACTTTAATAATCTTTTGTGAAATTAAAAACTAATAAAAATTAATTGAACAAATTAAAATAAACTACGTAATTTTTTCATTTTATGGAGTAAAAGATGAATAGAGAAAAGATATATTTCACTACTCTCTGCTTCAATTTCGTAGGTCAGAATCGTACGACGACGACGGAGAATGATCCATTCTTCATTATATATCAGATATTCTTGATTTGTTGGATCTCTTTTGGGTTGGGCTACATCGTCATGATAATGACGTTCATCTCTCGCGGTATGCGCAGTAAAAAAATCACGAGGCTCGAACATAAACTAGCGATGAATCTCAAGCACACACAGAGCAAGATTTGGAACGAGTTTAACAAAGAGGTGAACTACCTGCGCCGCGTTTTCAACGAGTTACAGCTCTCTAAGGTCAAAGTAAGTGACCTCGTTGGCTCTGATGATCAGATATTCTTAAGCAACCGCATATATTTTTGTTTATCGCAAAGATGTTTTTATTTGTACACATTCTCTTTTAAAAAAATATTCTTATTTTTTACCATTTTATATTATTTTTAAATATATATTTCAGATCTTTATATAAACTCGTTTTCTTTATAAACTTGTGAAATTCTTTTTCAAGTCTATGCTAAAATAGATGTTTGAGAAATAAGAATGAATATCACTACTATTCCTTAAGTACAATTTTTTTATTTGTACTTAATTTTCTACAAATATTTTTAATAATTAATGTGATAAATAGAAAAATATAATCAAAAATTTATTTTTTATGTTTCTACATATTAATTAACTATGCACTGTTTATTTAATATTGATTACTTTCAACGCTGTTATTTTTGTTATCAGAGAGTATATGTTGACGAGTTCGATTATGAAGTACCTCCAACGAAATTCTCACGCAGCAACAGCTTCCCAGATCTCCGAAATTTGACGATTGGTGGATATGTAGACAACTCTATACCACATCCACGACGACGAGCTAACAGCGAAGTGGTGCCAGCGGTATGCGATTAATTTTCTAAACAATTTGCGCCCATAACATATTTTTATATTATATGCTTCAGACGTAATATATTACAATCTCCTTTTTAAATACTATATTTCAAATAATTAACGTTATTCATATAGGGTCAACTGATACGCGTGGTATCCGAAACAGATCTTCAAAGGATAGACAAGACCGCAACATTTGCCACACACGCCATAGTGCAACCAGCGGAATTATTAGCACGTTTAGTAAACATTCTCGGTTATATCCCTCCACGGGATGATTTCGACTGGGATCAGACCGAGGATCAATTAAAACAGACCGACGCGCAGAAGGAGAATGAGATGCAACAGAGCAAACCAGTTGATCAGAGCCTGACCAGCAACGTTACTCAATGGACAATCGGCGGTGAAAGATTTCCATTCGCCAAACCTCGATCTAGAGCAACTAGCGAAGTGCGACTTTATCCCAAAGACTATGCGAAAGACGATTTTGTTCAACAGAACAACGAATGGACTTGGTCCGGTCCAGCAGCCTCGACGAAACTGCAGGAACTGATGAATACTCGTGACACAGTTACCTCGCTACCTTCGAATAATAGTAATAAGCCATACAAGAAATTCCCATCATTTGCTTTGCCAATTACCGCGACCAAAAACTTCTTCCCCAGATGGAAGAAACAATTTATGAACAAAAGATCATCGGATGTGAGTCCTAGTACAGAGAAAGTTATTGAAAGAATACACGACAGCAATCAGCAAAATAATTCGATTGGTCCGATCGGTCCATTACCTTCATACTTAGATGAAAGACGCGATTCAATATCAAAAACGCCGAATTACTATACACATACTGGCGGCAACCTGTCGAGTTATTTAGAAAACAATAGTTTGTTGGAAGAAACGAGTTTGGCAGATTTCCTTAGAGCGTTGACTGCTCTTCACGCAAGAGTAGGAACAGTTCCCGATGAATCCGTTGTTAAACCCAAGAGAAAATTAGGAACAGCCTGTCTGACTCCGCCAAAATTACCTAGTCTGTTTACCCTGTTTTCGCCGAACACGCCCGGTTCGGATTCAGCAACTCAGAGTAATCAAAATACTGTCACGGAAGCGCAATCGTATCAATCGAGTAGAAGAGTTTCTCTCAAAACGTCTGAAAACAGTTATTCCGGCTCTAACACACCTACGTCCTATATGAGGAAGGAAAGCAATGTCGTGAAGCCTAGGAGATTCTCTTTGAGACCGGTAAAAATCCCAGGAAGTTCTCTCACGCCGCCTGATTATACATCACCACGCTCATCGGTAAGTTTATGCCTTAAGTTTTTATAAAATATATCTTAAAACAAATTTTGAAATTTTTATAATTATTAAATTTCTCGAAGACAATTCTAAAAGAATTTTAATTTTTGCGTAAAAATAAACATAAATTTTAATAAGACTTAATTTTTTAGCTACGACTTTCTCAGAGAATGGACAATCGAAACCTCCAAGAACCTTATATCTCAACGGAACCCTTCATTTCCGTATCACCGAAGGAACCGCTTGTAAGCATGGAGGGACCACCAGGAATTTCGTCACCGATCAAACAGCCGTCCGATAATCGACGTTTCTCCATAAGACCCGCTCAACTCAGCACGCAACTGAATGCAACGAACGTATCTACGCCATTACATACCCCAAAACCATTGCCAAGATGGAAAGCGGGTATGCTCCAGCGACAAATTAGTCAAATGAATTTGCGTCGTCGCGTTAGAGCGTTCAGCCTTAGCGATGTTTACTCTGACAGACACGAGAAAGGCACCAATCCTCCGAGTCCTCTCGCTATGGGCACCAATAACAAATTCGTGGATGTTAGTAAATTGAGCAATCCGAATCAGAAGACGGTGACAATCATGTCACCGGCAGAGGAGATGAATATGACTTTGAAAAATAAGCTTCAAGATCCTATGATTGCTCCTAAAAATTTGAAAGATGAGCAAATTTCATTAGTTAAATCTTTCTCCGTCAAGATTCCCGATGAGTCATCCGCGGCGAACGAATCCAGAATTTCAAACATATTTGAAGATAGAAGGTATTCTCAAGGAAATGGCAATTTTACATCAGTTTACGAACCGGTTTACAAATCGAGATCTTCTGATAAGAAATTGATAAATGATGCACTGGATAAGACAATTCAAAGAGAAATGCAGGAAAGGGATATCACGGAGGCCACTTCGCTTAAAACAGAAAAGCAAAATGATATGCATATGTGCATAATTAATAATTTGAATGAGCCTCAGGAAATGAAGTTTTCGACGAATAGTGAAAATTTTCCAGAGTCAAGAAGGGAGAAGCCTAGTGTGTTGATAGATTTTTACAAACCAGTGCTACAAGCACCGATAGAGAAGCCTGCAATCAATCCGTTCGAGCAATACAGAGTCATAACAAAATCTGGTCAAACGGAAGATGTAGACTTGACTGAAATTAAAATTGAAAAACCACAAGAGAAATGAAAACGAAGCAATTAGATTATGTGGAGACTCTAAAAATTAAAAGTAGAGAAATTTAAAGTCAATTTTTGTTATTGAAAGTATTATAGGACTAATAATCTAAGACAAAAATAATATTTATAGGTGTAATTAATATTTTTGTTAAAATAGACTCCATATTACGTATCTAAGAAATGATATTAATGTTATATTTTATATTAGTTGTTGACAACTTTCTATTATAGCACTTAACAAATTCATATTTTACTTTAAAAGGCTGCATAGTTTAATATAATATATGAACATAAGAGAATTGTGCACGAAAGAGAATAATTTTATACTGACGTATTTTACACTGACGTATTTTACATTGACGTATCGATTAAAGGACAACTTCTGGAAAAGTTGCAACTTTATAAAAAAATCGATGAATTTTTTAAAGAAAAAGAGATTAACTTTATCATGCATAGTGTAAATGTAAAAAAATATTCTCCTAAAGATTAATCAATTTAATTTTTTTAGAGAAATAAAGAGATTATACATTTTATGAAATTAGATATAATATTAAATAATGATAATTATTAAAAACAAATTAATTTATTATATGTAAATTATTAATTTTAGATTTTAAACTCTACAAAATATCGAAGACTCTGTGATATAATGAATATAGCATCTTCAATATTTAATATGAATTAATAAAAATAATTACTTAGAAAATAAAATTACTTAGAAGAAATAGATATCAAATAATTATTACAAGAAAAAAATATCATATCTAAACATGACTGAAATATTAGAAAAAAATGTTTCTTATTGAATCTGGAGTCTGTTAAAATTTGTTATATTAAATGATCGAATTAATATTTCGTATCGCAATTCAAACATTGTCAGTATGGTCTTGTGACCTGCATATTTATCGCAGTCACTCGAAATCATATTTATTTCACTAAATCTTGAAACGTTTTTGCCTGTAATAAAGATAGGAACGCGCATGTTTTATGAAATGCGTAATGTTTTTATTGACAAGTTTTTGCTTGAATAAATTATAAAGATATTTGGTCTTTCAAACGATAGCTCGGAAGAGCTATAAATTATGATTTATTATCATAAAATCTGGAAAAATTTGGTTGACAGATTATCCATGCGGAAATATATTATTCACGTGACATTCATATGACGAATGCAGAATGTTGTCACATTTTCTTATGCATTCGCTTGTACAGTTTCACAATTATAGCATCTATATCGGACAAGGAGCTTATCACTCGACAGAGTAACGATCCGTCATGTAAAATAATATACACAGATTTCAGTGAAATATAATAAATAAAATTTTATCAGTGTGCGAGTGAAAATAAAACTAAAATGCAACATAAATATTTTGTTGTATTGTTGATTTCTTCTCCCGATAAGAACACGTATATGAAGAAATCATGATCAGTGTGTTATATATATATATATACTATAATGTTTTCAACAGTTTTCGTATTTCCTCGACGAGATTGCTACGTGAAACGCGAATCTCTTCCCGCATCGAGACGACTCTCAACGTAACTTCACCCTTCGCTAGTTCACTTTCTCCGATAATTATTGCCAATGGAATCCTGTTTTCCTCGCAATGTTGTAATTGAGCCAAGAGCTTCGCGTCTTCTTGTAGGATTGCTCCGCTTTCACTCCGGCCTCCCACAAATCCACTAATATTTTCATTCTTTCTCGTGTAAATTTTTCTGTGCGCTCGCCACAAACACTTCGATTCGGTTGTGCGCGTTTTTAGGCCTTTGTTAGCCAATCTTGCTTCTAAAACACTGAATATCCGCTCCACTCCCAAAGATACAACGACGCAAGATACATTTTTATTCTTACTGTCGAACATTCCTACTAAATTATCGTAACGGCCACGGCCACCGCCTGCTACACTACCTACGCCAATGTCATCTCCTGTAAAAAAATTATATCCAGTTAATATTTTGCTGAAATGTACTACTTTGCGATATGCAAATGTTTTACATAATACAAAAAGATTTTAGATAAGATTATAGATCTTTTTAAATAACTTTTTTATATAATATACGTACCACACAATATAGCTTCGTAAATAACACCCGTGTAGTAATCGAGTCCTCTCGCAAGACTCAAATCAAACTTAACTTTGTCCAAAATTTTGTAGATACCGCAATACTTCAACAATAATTCCATGGAATCTAAACCTTGCACAGCAGCAGATTGTCTCATTAATTCTTTGTCCTTTCTCAATTCGGCTATCAGTTCCACTCCACCCGCTTGAGAGACGTAATTGCCAATTTTATCGGCAATATTCTTGTTCAATCCCTTCTCTTCGATCATTTCTTTCTTTACTTCCTCCCAAGGACTTTTATCCAATTTATCTACGGCGGAACAGATACTGCGGAATTTACTTTGTGGAACACCACACGCAGCAAAGATACCTCCAGCAAAGATCTGTGATTCAACTTAATCAAGTATGGTCCCAGATCTAGTATCTGCAACGCTTCGGATACAACCCGAATACATTCTGCATCCGCTAACATCGGATCATATGGCCGGCGATATCGAAATCCTAAAAAAGATATACTAACATTAATTAAAATAAGCACCATATAAGTATATGAGTTTTTGAATTATTTTAACATGTAAGCTTACACATTGATAAAATTCTCTATATCTGCCTTTTGTTGTAGCTGGATTATCTCTTCTATAGACCTTAGCAATATGATACCTTTTAATGGAGGATATTTTGTTCATGGCCAGATACCTCGCAAAAGGAACTGTTAAATCATATCTAAGTGCGAGGATCTCGCCTCCTGATCTTTCAAATCATAAATGAGCTTGGATCTTCACCGTATTTGCCTGTCAAGACATCCTGCGTAACAAATAAAATAGTATCGATCAAATATGGAACTAATATAATCAAAACATCATGATTATCACTGATAGTAATCTTCACCTTTAACTCAAATACAGGCGTATCTATGGTCTCTGCGCCGTGACGCTGAATACTGATATTATTTTTTCCAATACTCCCAATCGGAGGGCCATTTGCTCCGGATTATAATCCTCGTGCCTTTAGGCGGTTTGAGGATGAGTTTGTGAGAGCAGCCATTCTCCTCTCCCAATTGCGCTTTTAGATCCAATAACTTGGCGACTTCCTCCGCTATCTACAAAACATACAAACAAATGCGCTATTAATATATGGAATGTAAACAGCTCTCTCTGACAGGGTACAATAGCCGAAAATGTCCCACCTGTGGCGTAGTCGACATGTTGCGATTGCATTTCCATATGACGGAGAAAGAATTGTTGTATATCAGGCGTAACATCATGAACAGATGAGGGAATACAAGGCAACCAGAAGAATGAAAGAGAAGAAAAGCCTCCTCAATGTTGATTTATCAAACTAGTTCAAACAGCAGAGATAATATCAGTAAGCAAGCTAGCAAGGGGTTGCCATTAATTATTGCCATTTATTAACAAGAATATTATTTTTAATTTTTTTCCTCATTAAATAATTGTTTATATTATGTAAATTTTGAGATGTTATTTGAATTAAATTTAAAAACAAATTTTGTAGAAACTTTTTAAAATGTATCCATCATATCATTCAAAATCATGGAATCATGAATATTTCGGCTAAAAAAATCAGATATTCATTTGATACACTGTTGCAATAATTTATGACAGCTCTGCTTGCAAGCAACCGACTGTCTCACCTTTTTATCTAGCATATCTTTGGTAATATAGCAAGTAATCTTTAGTCGCTCAGTTTTTTCTGCAAGGGAAGTGAGCGGTGCTTCCACAGGCAGGAAATGCTAGACGCTCTTCTTGGGTGAAACTTTTCATATTAACGTGCCATCTGTTTAGATAAGGCCACTTTGCAAGCTCATCATTAAGAATGACATACAATTTGCCGAATAATTGGGTGTCTTTAGATGTTGGACACCAACCACACACATAGCTGACATCCGCAAAATCATTGTTTAAGCTGTCTAACTCAACATTTATATCAGACTGTTCTCTGTATCCCTGAGAAATGAGACTCTTGCTCAAAAGAAGGATATACATTGATAATACACACCAATATATATTGATAATACATGAAGAAAATATAATTTATTCTTTACACCTAATAAAACCTACTAATTAAAATTCATATCTTATTGCAAGAGTTTATTGCATCATTCTATTATCATGAATAATAAATCTGTTTCCACTTTTGTAATTTTTTTAATAAAAAAAAATTGATTAATTGCTTTATATATATTATAGTATATTACAGGATAGATGTACGAAAAAAGAAAACAGAGAAAATATATGAAATAAAATACCTAATAATCATGAATGAAAAGCATGAACCAAGCATGAAAAGAAAGCAAGTGTAAAAACGTGTACAAAGTACAAAAAAGTTAAACGTTCTCGAGTACAACGTTATCGAACGTCGTATTCGTGGAAGAGAGTGAAGGGGATATGATTGTAGATTGTAACAAAAAGCAGAGCCTAAAGAAAAAGAAGTGAAAGGCGGTACATCTGTCACGAACATGACGAAACGTCATCGAGATTTTTGTTTGGAAGAGAAGGAAAAAAAAAAGAGGTACAAATGCGTACTTGCGTTTTATCGGCCTGCGCAACTTTTAATTGTCGTACTATCTCGCCCTGTTCTTTCACACGATCAGCAAGTTTCCCTTGTTTTTCGTCAGCCATCGCTAGCACCATGCGGTCTCTCAAGGTCCAATTCCGTGCGTTTCATTCGTCGACACGTTACTTTCTGGCCTCTGGCTCGTACGAACGAAACGTCATTGCGACGCGAAACATTCCCTCCTCTCATTACCCACTCCTCACTCTCCCTTCCCGCGAATTCCTTCCAAAAAATGACATAAAGTATCGATAAAAAATATATAATTTTATTTTATTTTTTTTTAATTTGACAGAAATAAAATTAAATAAAATAATACATATATTAGACAATGGCGCGCACACAAAGCGCAAGTATAATTTGTTTAGTATTTATTCATTTAGTATTTTATTATTTTGCGAAGAGATAGTGCAGTAATATGTATCTTTTAATGTCTGAAAATTCGTCTGAGTTAATAGGAAAATATATTTTGCGAAGAGGTAGTAGGTAGTAGTACAGCAAAATATGTCTAAAACACGTCCGAAAAATCATTTCAGTTAACAGGAGAATATATTTGCAAAGAAGTCACTATTAGGAGAATATATTTTCGAAGAAGTCGTTATTAGGAGAATATATTTGCGAAGAGTTATTTCAATTTCGGCAATGACGGTCGGTAAATTATTATGGTAACTTACCAACACAGATAATTTTACCGACTGTTATTATTGATATACCTCTTCGCAATATATTCTCCTAATAGCGACTTCTTTGCAAAATATATTCTCCTGTTAACTGAAATAATTTTTCGGACGTGTTTTAGACATATTTTGCTGTACTACTACCTACTACCTCTTCGCAAAATATATTTTCCTATTAACTCAGACGAATTTTCAGACATTAAAAGACACATATTACTGCACTATCTCTTCGCAAAAATTAAAATACTAAAATATAAATACTAAACAAATTATACTTGCGCTTTGCGTGCACGCCATTGTCTAATATATGTAATTATTTTATTTAATTTTTTTCTGTCAAATTAAAAAAAAAAATAACAAAATTATATAATTTTTTTAATTATTCTCCTAATTAACTCGGACGATGTTTCGAGCATTTAAAAGACGCATATTTAATTTTCATATTTTAAAGTGATTGAATATAATTATTTTCTAATTTTACAGACTTAAAAAATAAAAAGAGAGTGCAAATTTTTAAAAATTTTAGATTATTTTATCTCATATACTACACGGTTGTTTCATATCGCTATGATAAGTCTATCTATATTTATATTGTGATTTGAACTTTATAAATTTAAAAAATCTTAGAAATAAATATAATAAGAAAGAGATAATTTTTTTCATATATATTATAAACGCGCATTGTGAAATAAAATATAAATATTTTTATCTACATAATTATATATATTTATTAATATAAATACTTTATATTTCTCGTTTCTTTTAGAGATAAGTAATAATTTTTCATCGATTTATAATAATGTATGCATCAATATGATATAAATTATTACAAATTCACGTTCTTTTTCTTGTCATCATAAGTTATATTACATCTGATATATAATCCGATATGGTCTAGTGGCTAGGATCCTGGCTCTCACCCAGGAGGCTCGGGTTCGATTCCCGGTATCGGAATTTTTTTTAATATTTTAATTTTTTACATTGTAAAAATAATTAAATTCTGATAAAAATTATAATTTAATTATGGATAATAAAAAATTAATAACAATATATAGAGAGGCAAAATAAAACCTCTGCGATGGCGGGAATCGAACCCGGATCAACTGCTTGGAAGGCAACTATGCTGACCATTACACCACCATCGCAGATGTCAAAACGTATCTTCGATAGAAATATGAGCTATATAGTTTGGTATAAATAATTGGGAAACATAAATTGTAAAATGACGAAAAAAATTCTGTTAAATATTTTCGTTTATACTTCTAAACATTGACCCTTCATATTTTTATATATATTTTTGATTTTTATATTTCTCCAACTTATTCTTTATACATATGTGCATCTCTCTTTTACATTTACTACCTGAGCTAAAAACATTTCTTAGCAATTTGACTTTCAAAAAATGTTTTAATTTTATTTAATTGTAAGCGGCTGTGAATTATTTCTTTTTCTTTTACATAAAATAAAATAAAAATATTATATCACGTTTTGTCCATAATTGAGCTGTATTATTCGAATTTGATTGGTGCTTCAGAATTGATCCACCAATCGCTTTCAAGTAACATATTGTAATGTAATTATTCTTTCTTTGTATATTTGTTAGTCTATGATTGACTGACTTGATTTTCGGCATATTTTCGATAACGAAATGCCGTGCATCTAGCCTAAATATCAGTAAATATAAACAAATGTGACAGAAAAGATTTATAAAAGATCGTGAATGCTAGTGGATTGAATTATTTCTCTTCTGCGTGAGTTTAAGTACGTCTACAAAGTTCTAAAATTGCTCAAAAATAATTACATTGAAATACATATTATTCGACATTATCTGTTTGTATTTGCTTGTTTTGTAATACATATTTAATAGAAAAGCATTATTTCAATCAATTCTGTACACTTTTACAATAAGAAAAATGCAATTTAAATAAATCAATTGAATATTATTTGATGCTCTTTATTGATACATTTGTAAATTCAGTAATTTTTCAATATGCTATTAATATTTTTGTATATTATCGTACAATTATCTTTACATTATAATTATTTTCTTAAATTTATCGTGTTATTGAATTTCTATTTAATTCACTTTGTTCAAATTACAGCATAATTGAATTGTCAAAATGGCATTACGCACTTATGGAGACAAACCCATAAGTTTCCAAGTAGAAGAAAATGGAGAGTACTATTGCATTGGGTCGGAAGTCGGCAATTACCTGCGTCTTTTCCGCGGGTCTTTGTATAAACGATATCCTGGCATGTTCAGGAGGTCCATAACTAACGATGAACGTAAAAAATTAGTAGAGCTTGGATTAAGTCAACATGTTCTGGCATCCAGTGTCTCATTGTTGAGAGCCAGCGAGGTAGAAGATATTATTGAGGGTAACGATGATAAATACAAAGCTGTGTCTGTCCATTCGACTGAACCACCAGCACCCAGGGAAGGTAAATCCAAAAAGTCAATGGCATGGGTGCCTAGTTTACCAAACAGTTCACATCTAGATGCAGTTCCTCAAGCTACTCCAATAAATCGCAACAGAGTACATAATAAAAAGTTAGAACATTTCCATTATGGTAAGAAATTATACAATGAAACAATATAAAATTCTATATTACATAGCAATTATAAACATCACACATTTTATTTCTGGTACAGTTTTGACGATACAGATCCATCAGCAAACTTAGAAAATGCAGCACAACAGGAAATGCTTGTTCCAATTCGTTTAGACATGGAAATTGAAGGTCAAAAATTAAGGGACACTTTTACTTGGAATAAAAATGGTATGTATCTATAGCTCCAATAACAAAAAAAACTTTGACAAATTATATTTTTTTATTTCACAGAAAGTCTCATAACACCCGAACAGTTCGCTGAAGTACTATGTGATGATTTGGACTTAAATCCATTAACGTTTGTCCCAGCAATGCACAAGCGATAAGACAACAAATAGAAGCATTCCCACAGGAGACAATTTTGGAAGATCAATGCGATCAACGAGTGATAATCAAGCTAAACATACATGTAGGCAATACATCGTTAGTAGATCAAGTAGAATGGGATATGTCTGAAAAAGAGAACAATCCAGAGAAATTTGCAATGAAGCTTTGCGCGGAACTCGGCCTCGGCGGAGAGTTTGTCACCGCCATCGCTTACAGGTGAAATAATGAATGTTTTCTCATTCTACAATTACAGAATTATATTTATTTTATGCATAATGACATCATGCAGCTATGCACAATGTGAGCTGCTTATTCTATTATTTAAATTAGTAATATTTAATTTAAATTGAAAATATATAGAATTAACATTGAAACAAATATGTTAATTATTTTACTTTTCTCATATTTTATGCATCTATGTATATTGTAGTGTACGTGGACAATTGTCATGGCATCAGAGAACGTATGCATTTTCCGAAGCGCCGCTTCCAACCGTGGAAGTCCCTTTCAGACCTCCGTCAGAGGCTGATCAATGGGCACCATTCTTGGAAACTTTAACGGACGCGGAAATGGAGAAGAAGATTCGCGATCAAGATCGAAATACTCGGTAATTTAATTGTTCTGCAGTATTAGAATTCGATACTGTATGATAAATGCAGACATATCATTCAATCGCTTATTTTTTTTCCAGGCGTATGCGACGTTTAGCAAACACGACACCTGGCTGGTAGACTGCAGTTAGAAAAAAAAATACCATCCACATTTTTTAATGAATACTATTTCCATGTTTTGGTATATCCTCTTGATATTTAAGATAAGTAACAGTATAATTTTTATTTCAATACCATCCACATCGTAGAATATGAAATATATGGAAACAATTATTTAAAAAGAATAAGAGATACTTGGTTGCATCTGACGAGATGTAACAATATCATAGTCAATGGTTTGTGTGTGTGTGTATGCTGCTCGTGGAATATATCCTTTATTATATACAAATTCATCAAAGTTTAAATACATATTTAAAAGAAGGGTATTAAATTTATCTAAATTTTTTATTTGGAATTTATTATTTATATAAATTTATTCGATTTAAAAAAATTTATTTTTTTAATTTTGTTAGATAAGTATATAATTCTATGTGACTTTTTAATATATAATTTACTGTTATTGACATGTGTTATATAACACTTTAATCAAGATCTCTGATATGATGTCTCTATAATGATACACACAATTTTTTTACAATAATCAACTTTGATAAGAAGTATAATGATTAAAATTACTTTATAAAAAAAATATATAATTGACAAATAAGTTTTAAATGATGCATATTTAAAATATTTGTTATGCTTTATATTAGAAAATTTATCATAATTACAACTGTTGTTTTATTTATTTTTTTTGTCAGTTTGTCAATCGTACAATGAGATAACAGATCACGTGATTTTATATTCATTCATGAGCAAACTATCTCATTAATCATGCGCATCACCCATGTTAATTAAATGTGAAAAAAAATTGTGTCATGATAAAATTTTACTTCAAAGTCGATAAATTTATATGCATTATTCCGTAATTATCTGAATGTAAATTACTTCATTATAATATTTCGCGTATGCAGTTTTATTTAGATTAAAATATAAACACGCACATTCTCCCTTCCAAAAATTCGGATAAAAGTAGAATCGATGACGAAGCAGATGATATGTATATTTTTAGCTCATGCTGGATTACACTGGATTATCGACTTTCAATGAATAATATTTCTTAAATTTTAATTCACTCGTTCTTCTATATTGATTTTTATGTATATGTATAATTTTAACACGTCATATTTTTGTTTTCTTACGTATATTGAACAAATATCGATTTGAAATAATTTAGCCAATTATTTATAACAGAAATTGTCGACATAGATATATTATGGCTTTATTATATTTTATTTTCAAAATCTCTGTTAAAAATACCGACACGGTATAATCGAGTTTTTTTTCCATTAAACATTTTTATTTCCATGTTTCTATTTTCTTACGTATTGAACAAATATCGATTTGAAATAATTTAATTAATTGTTTATAACAGAAACTATCGATATAGATATATCATGGCTTTATTACATTTTATTTTCAAAATTTCTGTAAACAAAAATATCTACACGGTCAGTCGACACATTTTTTTTCCATTAAACATTTTTTTCCGCTTTCTTCATTAAAGCGTAAGTATTTATTTTAAGCATGAAGAGAGAAAGCGTAAACAAGCGCGTAATTCAAACCCTTCAACCACTTGTTCGTCCCGTGATAAGCATGTAGGAATACAGAACAGCGGCGAGGCAAGGCAAAAATGCAAGAGGCAAGACGAGGCATGAGGCAATAACGTGACGGACGACGTCGTCGTTTGCGAACGCGAAGGGGGAAAAAATCAGAGGGGGAAACCGGTGCGTTTCACGGCTCATCGGGAGCAACGCATACATGAGTGTCAATCGGTCGGTGTCCAGCTCCAGCTGCGTAGGAGGAGGACGAGCGGCGGCAGCGCGAGGACGAAGACGTTTCGATACCGCGGCGCGCACCGAAGATGGACTCGATGACGAGGCAGCAGCAGCAGGGATCACTGGCGAACCGCTGGTGCCGCGGCCCGCCACCGTTTCCACGCAGACCCTGGACGAGCGAGACCGGCATCGCCGCCGCGGCCACCGCCTCGGGCAACCTGGGCCTCAAGGGGGTCATAGCCGGTACGAATTACTCTTTCTCTTTTTTTCTTTTTTCTCCCACAGTGAATATCCATGACCCTTTGTCGACCTTCCTCTCCACCCCCCCTCCTTCGTCGACCTTTGACACCTGTCAAGATCCTTCACCGATCGCGGAGACCTTTTTTCGAAGTCAGCGCACTCTGGCAAATCGTACGATGCTACGAGAGATTGGGCGATTGCGATCTTGCGAAATTGTATACATATGTATACATATGTATGTGTACATGCATTCCTCTCGTATATACTTTTTCAAGTTTTTAAATATGCTGGAGAAGTGGATTGTGTGTGTGGATTATGTTCACTTCTTTCCTCTTGATGATTTCCAGCTCAATGTAGATAATTTGAATATTAATGATTACAGTCTTGCATTTTTTTATTGTTTTTATTTTTTTTTAATGACTATTTTTTCTTGGACTATTTGCAGTCTAGTCTTTCCTCGACAAAAGATTTCAATAATTACTTAACACACACTACTACACTATTTGTTTCTAATGCTATGAATATTTAAAAATGTACAATTTATTTTTTAGGTGGTATTACTGGTGGCATAGAAATTTGCATCACATATCCTACGGAATATGTAAAGACACAGCTGCAACTGGATGGAAAAGCTGGTGCTGGCAAAGAATACACAGGAATAGCTGATTGCGTAACCAAGACTATTAAGACTCGTGGATTTTTCGGCCTGTATAGAGGTTATCCGTCCTGCTCTATGGTTCTATACCAAAATCGGCAGTGCGATTTGGTGCTTTCGAATCAGTGAAGAATCAGTTGGTGGATATAGATGGAAAACTCAATCCACAAAGAAGACTCCTGGCAGGTCTTTGTGCTGGAGTATGCGAAGCTATTTTTGCAGTTACTCCAATGGAAACGATTAAAGTTAAATTTATCAACGATCAACGTTCGGCGAATCCAAGATTCAAGGGATTTTTCCATGGAGTGCGGTTAATTATAAAGGAACATGGTAAGAAAATTACTTTAAGAGAGAATAAAAGTAATTTAAATCCTCAAACTTATATATATATATATTTCAAGAATATATATATATATATATATATATATATATATAATTTATTTTAAATATATTCTTCAACAAGATTTGTTTTAAATTTAACTTTTCTATGAATCTATTTTTGTTAAATTATTTTATTTAGTTTTTCTATATTCTTTTATTTAAATAAATTTTAATGTATTAAATTACAATTTATTTATACATTTACTTGAAAGAAAAATGTTATAGAACTGTTTCAGCAATTCAAGTATCATTACAGTTTAATCTCCATTTAAGAATTGCATAATTGGGTCACATTACAACATACGTTTATACAGTCTTATACGTCTTATCATAGTACATTGTAAAATATTTCAGTTTTTCTATATAATAATAGATAGAAATGAATATATATATATAATATATTTATTGTATATATTTTTATAATGTAATGTATAAATAAAGTTATGTAATTCTTAAATGGAGATTAAATTGTAATGATGCTTGAATTCTGAAACAATTCTATATATATATATATATATATATATATATACATTGTTATTAAAAAAAAGTTTAATGAAGAATATATTAAGTAATACATTAATTATGTAATTTTATGTTTAATTATTGTATGAACAGTATTATATTAACAATAATACATGATCTACTTTTGATATACATATATATAGGTTTTAAAGGAGTATATCAGGGTGTAGGACCTACAATCTTAAAACAAGGATCCAATCAAGCTATCCGTTTTTTTGTGATGGAAACATTAAAAGACTGGTACAAAGGAGGTGACAATACCAAAAGTGTTCCTAAAGTAGTCGTTGGTGCATTTGGTGCAATTGCTGGTGCAGCATCTGTTTTTGGAAATACACCTGTTGATGTTATAAAAACTAGGATGCAGGTATATATTACACATATGTATTTACATTTATATTAAAAATCATATATATATGTAATTTCATTAAATCAATATTTTTTTATTATTTTATTTAATTTCTGTTATAGATTTGATTATTCTAAATTTGTAATTTATCTTTGTGTAGGGATTGGAAGCTTCAAAGTACAAGAGTAGTATGGATTGCGTAGTTCAAGTGTGGAAGAAAGAGGGTCCAATGGCATTTTACAAAGGAACCATTCCACGATTAGGCAGAGTATGTTTAGACGTTGCTATAACATTCATGATATATGATTCCTTCATGGAACTTTTCAACAAAGTATGGCCTTAGATCTGTCGCATTTTTGTGTATGTGTACACATACACATGATACATTCAAATTTTACAAATACGTTGCTTTTACATTGACATAATTTTTATAAACATATATGACATATATATGTTTTTTGTTAGTTTATGTATATTTATTTTAAGATATATATGAAAGCTTTCCTTGAGCTTTTAATGATAGTGTTGTGTCAAAAATTAGAAAAACGTAAATATCACATAAATGTTCTATTTAATTGATTTTAAATCGGTTTTTATAACATAGAGAATAATTTTGCACAATAGTGATGTTGCTACCTCCAACTTTAGCATTTATAATGTACAGTGCACAAAATCATTATTTTAACTGTAAAGGCTTTGTATTTTGTTGGATTTATATTTTATTCGTAAATTATTTTAATTATAAAATATTCTAATAATATTCTGCAACAACATGCATTCCTAAAATCACGTTCCGAGTTAAAAATATGAGAATATCATTTTTATAAATTCCTAAAGTATAGAAATAATCTATATATAATATATTTATATGTCACATCATATATATATGCCAATAATAGATATATGTACATTTATATATACAGTGTTGATAATAAGATATATTTATGTACAATTTTGTATAGAGAGAAAAATAGCTCATTTAATAATTGAACAAGGAAAAAACCAACGATCTTAATTTTGTATAATTTCTCGTCTGTCAATGAGAGGATATCAGTGTTGCAGAAATTAAGATAAGAAAATGTATATTAATAAAAAAAAATGTAATCTAATAGTTTGTATGTAGTCATTTCTTGACATATAATTTTGTCTCTAATAACTAGAATAAGTTAATATACAAATATGGTAGTGTTTATTTTGCATGAAAGAATATTAAATTAACGTTTTAAATTACAGTTTTATTTAGAGATTGCCAGAATCTGATTTCAATGATATTTACTTTGTCTCTCTAACAAATTTTTTTTAAGTATAAATTGGCATCATTCCAAAACTACAAAAATAGTTTCGAAAACTACTGGCATAATCTAAGAACGAGCGACTTTATAAAGCGTATGTTTTTGAAATGACTCAATTTCTGACTTTGATTTCTGATAAATATAATTCTCATCAATATATCATTTATTTTTATTAATATAAAAATAAATGATATATTAATTAAAAATAAATGATTTATTAATATAAAAATAAACGCTATGATGAAAGATTATAATTGATTCGATATATGTTATTCAAAATGTTGAGATGTTTTACTTTGATTTTAGGCGGATATTTTTATATAGAAGCTTGAGATTATAACTTTCCCTCTCATTATGTAGAAGAAAGTCCTTCATCATTTATACATCATTTTTATATACAGGATATTCCGGTCATAACGGTTTCTCCCTGGTTAATGTGAAAGCGATCAAAAGACGCCCAGTTGTTCTGAAGTATCTCTGGAGTATAATTTGAATAATTGATGGATCTAGATATATAAAATTCACGAGTGACGAAGACGGGCCCCAATATATTCGGGGCGCGAAATGCATTTAGCATTAGCGGCTGCTGCTGTTGGGACTCATCATATCAGGACTCATCATGGGGCCCCGGTATCTCGGCGCGCGTGGCCCGCCTCTTTACATATGTATATATGTATGTGCACGCGGACCCCGTGTGCCGATAGTGTTGCAGAGCAAGTGGGGAAACACGACCTCGCAGCCGGGGCCCACTACTGGGATACGATGAGGAAGATGAAGAGAGAAGGATGTAGCAGTGTGGAAGGAGCAAACAGCCGAGAAGGCAGCAGTGCCGGCCCCGCTTTGGGCCCAACGGGGGGACCTGGGGTCACATTCCAAGATGGCTGTGCCTGAGGAATGCAGTGGGTGCCCCCTAAGACGCCTGCCTCCCTCCTTTTTTATTAATCGGTCCCATTTGCTCGTTCTAGCGAAAAGAAACCTCCTTTATTACCGTTCATGGTAGAGTGAAATAATGTAACGTGCTAAGGGTTTGTTTGCAAAATATACAAACGACGAGTCGACGTCAAGGAAAGGCGCCAAGATAAGTCCCAACGTGAGGAAGAGAGAGAGAGAGAGAGAGAGAAAAAAGTGTCGCACATTCAAAATCTGGGGTCTGTTTTTCAAGCCAACTCGCCGTCTCGCAGATGATGCCCATGCTAGAGGATGCTACTAGCTCGTCTTAAGCAATGTCTCATAGGGATATCTCTGAGGTAATGACCACATTTCTATTGCAATGCAATTTTAAGCGATCTCGGGTCAGTATCTCATTCTTGTCTTATATATTTCTTATTATAGAATGTTTTGATTATTTTCTGTGGACTCGAATTGATCTGATTTATACAAATCTTTAAAAAATCAACACATTGTTAAATTACTTGTATTATAATTTGTATTTATATATAAATATATTTTATAATTATATATATATATATATATATTATTTATTTCTTATCTCATAATGTCATAATAAATAAGAAATTGTTTGTATAAAAATTAATATTATCTCTTTCACTTTTCAGTTTTATTTGAACAATTTTTTATTTCTTATTTTAATTTCTTAAATATATTTTCTCTCATATAGATATATGTGTTTATATTACTAATTTTATGTTATATATGGTTATTATTTTATCACTGCTCTTATCATATAGTTAAAAATAATTTTTAGAATGACCCTTTTTTTATGTTTTTTTAATATGTGATTTTTGTATACTGATATCTTTTTGCTTAATATAATTTTATTTGCTAATAAAAGAAGGGAAAATTGCTTAACATAAAATTTATTATTTCATTCTACTCAGGTGGATCCCGAAGGTACGTCGGCCTTGGCCGCTGGATCCAGGGCACTATTCTTAGAAACAGTACGCAGGAGTAATGCAGCATGCCAGAATGGAGATTATGCTCTTGCTGCAACATTGTATACGGAAGCCCTCGCCTTGGATCCTCTCAGTCATGTATTATATTCAAACAGATCAGCTGCAAGACTTAAAATGGGATTATTTGCTGCCGCGTTGCAGGATGCTGTCAGAGCTACTGAACTAAGTCCACAATGGCCAAAGGTATACATTATTTTTCCTTTCTTCTGTTATAAGTTATCCTTTTTTACACATCTATAATAATTACTTTGCAATTAGGCGTACTATCGACAAGGAGTAGCCCTGCAATGCCTAGGACGTCACGGAGAGGCTCTCGTTGCCTTCAGCACAGGATTAGCTCATGACGCGTCCAATCATCAATTATTATCCGGCTTAGTTGAAGCATCTTTAAAATCTCCACTGCGACCGACTTTGGAGCCGACATTTCAACAGTTGCGTGCAATGAAGCTTGATGAATCCCCATTCGTCGTCATATCCGTGGTCGGTCAAGAGTTGCTTGGAGCTGGACAATACAGGGCAGCCGCTGGCGTGCTCGAGGCTGCTCTGACAATTGGTTCGTGTAGCTTGAAACTGAGAGGATCTGTATTTTCCGCTCTCTCTAGCGCCTACTGGGCGTTGAACTCTTTAGACAAGGCCATAAATTACATGCAACAAGATTTGGGTAAGCAAAAGTAACAATAAAATAGCGTAAGTAAAATAAGGTTAATTCTCTTTTTTACAAAAATCAAATAAGACTGTTTAAAAACTTTCAGGCGTGGCACGCTCTCTAGGAGATACGCAGGGCGAGTGCAGAGCCCATGGAAATCTGGGCTCGGCTTATTTCAGCAAGGGTAGCTTCAAGGAGGCTTTAACCGCTCATAGATATCAACTTGTTCTGGCTATGAAGTGTAAGGATACGCAGGCTGCAGCTTCGGCCTTGACCAGTTTGGGACACGTATACACGGCGATCGGCGATTTACCGAATGCTCTAGCCTCTCACAAGCAGTGCGTACAATTGGTGAAACAGATGGGCGATCGACTACAGGAGGCTCGCGAGATTGGCAATGTCGGAGCGGTCTACTTGGCGATGGGTGAATTCGAAAGCGCTGTCGATTGTCACACTCAGCATCTGAGGATAGCCAGACGACTGGGTGATCGTGTGGAGGAGGCGAGGGCTTTCAGTAATTTAGGATCGTCTCATCATTATCGTAGAAATTTCGGACAAGCGATGACTTATCACGAAAATGTTCTGAGAATAGCGCAGGAACTCGGCGACAGAGCTATAGAGACCAGAGCGTACGCAGGATTGGGTCATGCTGCCAGATGTGCAGGTGACAATAATAATAATAATATTATTATTTATAGCTTTTTTATTTATTTATATTGTAATATATTATTATATAATTTTTCGTGTATATATTTTTTAGAATACTAATTTCTATTTATGCATATAAAAAATATAATTTTTTTAATATATACAGGCGATCTGGGGCAAGCTAAGCTTTGGCATCAGAGACAGCTCGACGTCGCGTTGGTCACGAAAGATAAAGTGGCTGAAGGACGAGCCTGCAGCAACCTGGGCATAGTATACCAATTGCTTGGCGAGCATGATGCCGCTTTAAAATTGCATCAGGCACACTTAGGAATCGCGAGATCATTAGGAGATAAAGCCGGTATGGGAAGAGCCTATGGTAACATCGGTAATGCTTATAACGCTTTAGGATATTACGAACAAGCCATCAAGTATCATAAGCAAGAGTTGACGATTAGCAAAGAGGTAAGATATTTCAAAGTAAATGTACGTATCCATATATCCATATATCCATCGTTACAAAATTATCCATTAAATTTATTGTTTGATTTATTTCAGGTTAACGACCGTAGCTCGGAAGCTAGCACACATGGAAACTTGGCGGTCGCGTATCAAGCTGTGCAAGGTCACGAGGCGGCATTGAGACATTACCGAGCTCACTTGGCCATAGCGCGCGAATTGAAGGACACGGCTGGCGAAGCGTGCGCACTATTAAATCTTGCTAATTGCCTTTCCTCGCGCGGCAAATTCGAGGAGGCAGTGCCGTATTACGAGCATTATCTGATGCTGTCACAAGAATTGCACGACGTGGAGGGAGAAGCTAAAGCGTGCCACTTTCTAGGATACGCTCACTATTGTCTGGGAAATCATCGAGAAGCAGTGAGATATTACGATCAGGATTTAGCGCTAGCGAAGGACTTGCAGGATAAATCTGGAATGGGAAGAGCTTACTGTAATCTAGGTTTGGCTCATTTGGCTCTGGAAAACTTGGATACTGCTCTGGAATGCCAGAAATATTATTTGGGTAAGAGCTTGTGTGAATATATTCTATAACTTCTCAATAAATTTTTCTATTAAAAGTTAAAATTCATTGAACAGTAATTAATCATTAATTACTTGATGTTTTATCAGCTATCGCGCATATGACCAAGCATCTGGCCGGCAAATTTCGCGCTCTGGGAAATATGGGCGACTGTTTATTGCGTATGGGAGAAGTCGAGGAAGCTATCAAGATGCATCAACGTCAATTGAACCTGGCACGTCAAGCCGCCGATCGCGGCCTGGAAGCAGCTGCCTATGGCGCACTGGGAATCGCTCATAGAGCTACAAAGAACTTGGATAAGGCGCTCGGATTTCACACGCAAGAATTAACTCTGAGACAAGAGTCTAGCGACTTACGCGGCGAATGCAGGGCACACGGCAATCTGGGTGCAGTGCACATGGCACTAGGACAGTACACTCACGCGGTTAAATGTTATCAAGAGCAGCTGGAGAGAGCAAAGGAACTGGCGGATTCCGCAGTTGAAGCTCAAGCATTAGGTAATCTAAGCGAGTTTGAGATAAACATTTAAATTTTCTCTCATAAAGTAAATTTAACAATAATAAATAATAATATGTAACGCATTATGTTAGAATTGTATAGTTATAATATATTATAATTCTCTTCGTGTGCAAAGCTAAATCGATATGAAATAAAATCTTTTTTTTTAATTAAAACTTAGTTTTTAAAAATTTAGTTTTGAAGATTGAAAGATTAAAATATTATTTCACTTTTTATTTCAGGAAATTTGGGTATAGCTAGACTTAATATGGCACATTACGAGGATGCCATTGGTTATTTCGAGCAACAATTGGCAACTTTGGAGCCGCTAATAACTGGCACGGCTTTGCTCGATAAAACTCGAGCACTCGGAAACTTGGGAGATTGTTACGAGGCCTTGGGTGATCTGGAAGAAGCTATCAAATGCCACGAGCAACAACTGGCAGCCGCAACAAAATTGAAAAGTATAAGAGATCAGGAGAGAGCGTATAGAGGATTGGGAAGAGCTCGCGAGGCTACTGGAAACTTACAGGAAGCTTTGGTGTGCTTTGAAAAGAGATTAGTGGCCGCTCACGAAGTAGATAGTCCTGAAGCGAGAGGTGCTGCTTATGGAGATCTAGGTAAATCAATGTAAAACTTAGATAATATAATTTTCTTAAATTAAAAAAAAAATAAATTATACAGAAATATTCTTAATTTCTATGCAAATTTTTTTTGATTATTTGTATAACTGATTCAAACATTTAATTTGTAGGTAGAGTACACGCCGCATTGGGTAATCATGAGCAAGCCGTCAGTTGTTTATCTCATCAATTGGCTCTCGCTCGCGGATTAGGCGACAAAGCGGCCGAAGCCGAAGCTGCCAGCGGCTTAGGAGCGGTACATCTTTTGATGGACGATCCGAATTCCGCGTTACGTCATCATCAATTGGAGCTGTCGATTGCCGAGGGTCTGGATGCCGCCGGATTGCAAGCTCGCGCTTGCGCCAATTTGGGACTGACTCAGGAGACTTTAGGGCAGTACGAAGAAGCTATAAGATTACAGGAACAATCATTGAGTTTGGCGGCCGCGGCGGGGGATCAACCAGCTCGAGCGGCGGCTTTTACGAGTTTGGGGCGACTTCATCATCTATGTGGGGATCTGCCTCGCGCTCTGAGCTATCTGCAATCCGGTTTGTCCCTGTCCGAGGGCCTAGGCAGAAGAGAAGAGGTCGCAAGATTGCGACACAGACTTGGTCTCGTGCATTGGGAAGCCGGAGAAGCCAGCATTTCCGTGGAACACTTAGAGAAAGCCGCGAATTTGTTAGAATCATTAGACGGAACTTCGGTATCTCTTACTTGTGGGCAACTCAATCGAATCGAATTATTGTCAGAGACGTATAGAATGTTACAAAAAGTACTCATCAGTCTAAATCGAGCGGAAGAGGCTCTGAATTGGGCGGAAAGATCCAGACGTTCTAAGAGTAATTCTCTGGACGACACGGCTCATTATTCGGAAATTATTGATCGACAGCGCGGAGTTATTTTATACTACAGGTACGAGCTTTTGCATATAAATATAATATAAGCAATTTTAATATAAGCAAAATATATTACCTAATAGCATTTAACATTTTTTGAAAGATTTTTTTATTGTATGAGTTTCTCAAAAAATGAAAATGATTTCAGTGAGATGGGATGCGAACTACACGCATGGTGCCTGGCACCAGGGCGCGGATTGTTACGATTCCATTCCGCAACTTTGGATGACGGAGGTCTAGAGAAAAAAGTTCTTCAAGCTCGCGAAGCGCTCCTGGACGAGAGCAATGAACTCATCGAAGAATCTACCAAGATCCCATCGAGGGGTCATCACTTGAATGCCAGTTCTTATAGTTTGAGCAGCCTCTTCAGCGTCGGCTCCGTGAGCTCTCGCGCTGGAAGCGCCCGTTGGGGACGAGGCGCGAAAGGACCTACGTGGCAGGCACCATTGCCGATACAAATGCTTTACGATCTTCTTCTTGCTCCGTTCGAGGATCTATTACCACCACCGCGAAAGGAGCTAATCATGGTGGTGGAAAAATCGCTGTACTTGACGCCATTCCCGGCCTTGCAATCCAATCCGGGCGAAGATTATCTGTGCGAGAGATTTTCCTTGCTGGTAGTACCATCCCTTGCAGCTCTCAGAAAAAGATCTAAGACACCTGTATTGGAAGGTGGTGCTACTGTGGCCGCGCTGGTTGTCGGAAATCCCGTTCTACCGGAAGACGTTCGAGAAGAGTATGGTTGGCCAGAAAGTGTCGCTTCCACTGAAACCGAATCGGAGATAGTCGCCGAATTGTTGGAAGCCCGTGCGATGACTGGTTAGTATCAGTTATCGTTACACGAAGTTAATATAAAATGGTTTTCTAATTTTATGAAAAATATGAAAACAAATTTCATTCTTATTGCTTATTATAGGACTCGAAGCTACCAAATCGGCGGTTCTACGATCTCTATCAGATGCGGAGTGCGTTCATTTGACGGTGCCGGTCTTCTGGAACACCGGCAGCTTGGCGTTTTCGCCCGATCAGTGCGAGGAGCCGTCCGAGAGACCAGAATATCTCATAAGCCAGATGGATTTGCTCAGATTGAAAATGTCCGCTCGTCTAGTGGTCGTATCCAGGGGTCATGGTTGGAATAACATAGAGTGCACAAACGCTACGTCGGACGGTATACAGAATCTCGCCAAGACATTGTTAAACGCGGGTGCGCAATGCGTGCTGATAGGAATGTGGGCGGTACCACCAACTGCGGGTAGTATCCTGCTGCGAGCGTTCTATAGCGCGATGCTGCAAGGTGCGAGAGCGTCGCGTGCACTAGCCGAGGCGATGCAGACCGTCCAGCATACTAGACACTTCGCTCATCCCGCTAACTGGGCCGGTTGGCTACTCATCGGCGGAGACGCGAGATTATCCAATAAGGTATGTATGAATTCATTGACTTTGTCTTCAGTCTATAAAATAACAGTCTAAAAAATATTTATCAATGTCTCCTTAGACTATGATGTTTTATATTTCATGATTTTAATTGAGACATTTGACAACTTCATCATCTCTATTATTTCGTCAGGTTGCACTCATGGGCCAGGCACTGGCAGAATTATTGCGCGGTGGTCCTGAGCATAGCAGAGACGCGCTGCGAGTGACGCTTCATCTGGTAGAAAAATCGCTGCAGAGAATTCATCGTGGGCAAAAGAACGCAATGTACACGACTCAGCGCAGTATCGAGAATAAAGTGGGCTCAGCTACTGGTTGGCGAGAACTTCTAATGTCTGTGGGATTTAGATTCGAGCCGGCCGGCAACGGAATACCATCCTCTGTGTTCTTCCCGCAAAGTGATCCCGAAGAACGACTGACGAGATGCAGCGCCAGCTTGCAAGCTCTACTGGGTTTAGGTCAATCGTCGTTGCATGCTTTAGCTAGACTCTTACAGGTACTGATTTATTTCAATTCTATTTAAAAAATTGTGTTTTGTATATCACATTTTAAACAATAATTCCAATTGTCAAAAATGTTTTACAGGCACCAGAAGCTGCAGAAGATGTCATCGCTGCCATGAGAAGAGCCAGTAATGCTACGGAAGGACAAGAAGTTATTTTGCCTGTATACGTTTGGAGAGCATCGGGATCGCATGAACTATTCGCTAGCTTAGGCTTCGACTTAATGGAAGTCGGGCAATCAGAAGTGACATTAAGGACAGGCAAACAAGCCTCGCGTAGAGCTGTCCAGTTTGCTCTTCAAGCTCTTCTTGCATTGTTTGGTAAATTAAAAAGTTTATATTGATGCAATATATTAACAGCACATAAATAGAAAAATTTTATATAGTTATAGTATATATATATATATATATATATATATATATATAATATTTACATTTACAATAAAAGAAATTTTAATTTAAAAATATAAATTAATTTATTTGTTTAAATGTGTTATAGATACACAAGAAGCGCCAAAAAGTCTTAGCTTAGATTCGAGCAGTTCAATGGAAAGTTTAACTTCCGTGGCCCATACCGAGAAAAATATCGAACGACCTCGACTAGGGGGAGCGTTTACAAGTTACGTACGACATCGTGGTGAACCAGACGGAAAAACCATGGAACCGCCAAATGTTCTGATACCAACGTCGCGACAACTGTGTCCAAATGGTGGAGGTATGTATAAATATTTAAAACTACAAAGAGAGAGAGAGAGAGAGTACATTCACTTTCTATTCGTTCGATGTTATTAAATATTTAAAAGAAATTTACAATCTGAGAAGAATTCCATAGAAAAATAATCGACATTTTTTGTTGATTTAGGTGAATCAGATGTAGCATTCACACCTAGTCCTCCTGTGGCGCTCAACTTAAATCATCAGACGCGAATTCGGAATCTCTATCCCGATCAAAACCCAGTAAGACCCGGCTCGAGCTCGAGCAGTTCGGTGACAGATTGGGATAACGGCCACGCAACTGTATTGAGACGTCAGCCCTTACCGCCGTTGCCGGCCACCATGCTGGAAAGATTGAGCGTGAGAACGGAAGTCGGGACGAATTCGTCGCGAAAACCACGGCATTCCGCAACGAATGGCGAGGATATCTGCAATCCGCAGACTGACGCTACGCAATCTACGGAATCACATCCGCAAAACTTGCGAAACTTGGCCACCTCCCTGACGACGCTGACACGCGAGCTGACGCCCACCATTTCTGAGGTGTATCACGAGCGAAATCTGGGATTAGGTCTGGCGCCATCCTTGTCGAAGTTGCTGGAGGAGGTGGGCACCGTGTCTACCGAGAACGAGGAGTCGCAATCGGCGAAAGCGATGGCTCACAATCAGACGCAAAACTGGATACAGAGTGAGCCGGAACTCTGCCGCAGGGACGAGGCCGATGGCAGATCTATCGCCGAGTCGCAATGCAGCGCAGCCAGTTCGAATAAAATACCTCGGAAGGCTCCCGCGCCGCCGGTATAGATTATTTATATTTATAAATTAAAACGTAATTATGCGGAGAGAATATAGTACTGGGTACCAAAGAATGGGGGACGCACACATCGGAGAACCGATTACTGCCGCTGGCAGTAAACGATCAACGAAGAGCGTATTTAATTTGTATCTGCCAATATTTCTTTATATTCAAACTAAAACATTCGTAGAAAAACACTAATTATTTCGTAAATGTTTTAACATACATTACATGCATTTTTACGTGTTTGTTTTTGCGTACGCATTGAACCTCGCGAAAAACACGAGCTTTATTACGTACGAGGATATAATCTCGCTAATAATATATGCTCAAGTTTAATTTTAATTGTAATCCGTCCAAACGATATAATTATTAATGTTTTTAATTATTATCTAGAGCAAAAAGATCGTATATGGAGTTTGTATGTTGATCATCTAAAAAATCCGTTTCCATATATTTTCAACATGTATGACTGACATGGTTGACCTATGATGGCTTTAGCTGCATCAACATCCAAGCTCTAATTTGACTATCGTGTTTCTTACAATATTATGCATTGTAATTGTATGCAGAGAACGCGACAGTTTATTTAAATAGATTTACTCTATATAATTAAATCAACAACTTATCTATATTTGTATTTTAAAATATACATGCATAAGTGTGTACTATATTAATCTTAAGAGATATTTGAGATAGAATGAAATATTTGGAAAGATTGTCAAGAGAAAAATTTATTTTAGCGAAAATATCTTATTTAAAAAAATATTGATTAAAAATTCTATTTTTTGCAAAACAAGATAATAAAAATCACGTAATATTAGTTTTCTCAATATGTGGATATTAAAAATTTAAGATATCAATGTTTAATTACATTTATAATTTTTGTGCATATAGTAACTGGAAAATTTTAATGACAGACTGATAATTTAAATAATAGATAATGTGATGATATTAAAAATAAATGATATAACATCACAAAATTTATAATAAAAAAGATTGCGATTTTTATTTGATGATTTTATAAGTAAAAATAGTTCAAAACAATTTTAAATGTCCAGTTACTTGATCAATTAGTTTTGCTGGACCCGGTCCGACCCCGCATACCGTTTTACTTCCTGCTGCTATTTGCGTGTGTCCCGCATCTTGTACAATGTTAGATAACAAACCTACAGCTTTAGCTTGCTTCGCAATTTCCACAAGAGCAGCTTCATTATCCACCTAAAAATCAGAGTATCTTCTTTTTTATAATCATGTATGAAAGGTGTATGTGAAAACATATTTATTTTTTTCAACTGTGTATATTTAAATATATTTATTAAATGTCAAGTGATATTCTTTTTTTATTAAAACCTCAATCTATCATGTTGTGGCTATTATATATTTAATTTAATATATGGAATTGATATGAGGAGGAATATAAATTTATATTTCATAAAAATATTTTTTTCCTTTCTTTGTTTTTTTCCTTTAACCTCAATCATTAGTATCCATTATCAATTTAAATACAATACCTTAAGAGTGATCTTAGCTTGGCCAGATTCTTCCCAGGCTTTCAAATTTTTGGATGCTTTCTAGCAGCTTTGTATGCTGCGACAGCAGCGTGAGAACATTGTGCTGCCACTTTTCCCTTTCCCATTTTCAAATCTGTTCTGATTACTAGAATCAACTTGAAATTATCATACTTGTCTGTGTATACCTAGATACAAGAAATACAATTGTAAGCATTGGGAATTGTTAAAGTTAAATATTTTTTTAAGCAATTGAAAATAAGATAAATTGACAGTTTTACCACATGATTATCCATTTCACCAGAATCTTCAGAAAATTGATGACTTCTTCTACTTGTCATAACCATTAATTTATATAAACAATAACCGAAGAGAGTTGCGGCTATAAAAGCAACTTTTGGATCTGTAGCATGTGCTACAATTGTCTCAGTGACATCATACATGATTGACTTTGTTAATATCTGATAAGATAAAATATAAATATATATAAATATTAATAAATATTATAGTTAAAAAAATATTAAAAATATTAAATTATTTAAAAAAGTATTAAATATTAAATATTAAAAATATTGAGTGATCATCGCTTGTTTAAATATAATTTAGAGAAACTATTAAATTTCATATATTAAACAAATAAAATAATGCTGTAGCGTATTGTAAAGTGTAAAGTATCAGAGATAACCTATCAGAACAGTGTAATTCATGCAAATTTCTAATCTATTTTATGAATTGTTTTGTTTCATGTAATATTTAATATGGGTTTGGATGTGTATTAATAATAAAAAAAACATTACTTACACTAAAATATTTTAAGTTAATATATTCCTTTTAGTACATATATGCATTCTGATTTCCTCTCACATGACGCTTCTTTTCGTTCTCGTAAATATATATCTTCGGTCGGTAGTGCAGTTTACAAGTAGTGATGTACTCTTAGAGCATAGAGATATCTCTATATCACAGATTATTTTTTCTTTTTTTGTTTCTTATAAAAGCAAAGTCAATAATTAAATAAAAAGAAATGAGATAAATTAAAATATTAAAACTTACTGTAACTCGTTTTTTATAAATAATTGGTATACAATTCATAAGTGCAACAACGTAGATGACTTTGATGAGAAATAAAATTTTAATTATGATCTATCTCTATAAGCTGTTAATTTGATAAATTAAAAAAATTTTTTAATAAATTTTCAGGTATTGATAGAGCTTATTAAATAAATATGGGTTAATAAAAGGTGACACAATTTATGGCCTTTGTCGTAAATTTTTAAAACAAGGTTCTTCTGAATAAAGAATTAAATAAATAGATATGCGATAAATTAACACACTTGTATTTAAGATGCCGTGTTATATTTCACTATCTCATACAATATTTCGTAATTGTATATGTACATATTCCAATAAAAATTAATGAATTGTAGAATAGAACTTAACGTGTTTATAGTTGTAGACTGATATACAAAAATATATCGCATTATTAATTATTAAAATGTATATATCAATATCGACCATTTACAGCAAAATTAATTAAACTTATCAATATTGATATATCATATCTTAATAATTAGTTATTGAAATATATATCACTATCGATCAGTTTAATTAATTTTGTTCTAAATTATCTTAACATCATTGTAAAGCTCTTTATAATCACATTAAATTATCATAAAAAGAATTTTAATTTATTTTGCGCGCATTGAAGTAGAATGTAACACGTCATTTTTTTAATATCAATAATTATTCTAACAAAGAAAAATCGCGAGCACCAATGTGAGTTTGTATTCACAATTAAAAACAATAATATACATCATTCGATCAACTAATATAATAAAAAAATTTACACATTTGTGAAAACTTTTCACGTATTTTGTTCTCTATTTTCGCTTTTAATGAAAAAAATTCTTTCTAGATTATATTAAATTCTTTCTAGAGTATTACTCGAGTAACGCGCGAGAACATTTATCTTATAATTAGACAAATTGGCTGCATCAGTGAAACAAGATGCGATATAGATACAAATATTTGTACATAAACACTATGCAATTGGTCCAATCGTAATTAAACCAATGACACATATATTCTATATACTTAGTATTCTCTATATAAATTAGATATCATATTGTTGCACGTTTTTTCATTCAATAATTAGAACATCTTGCGCGTGTGCGATTTTATTTTATGTATTTTCTTTTTCTCGTCGCTTTCAATATTATCCATGTAGAACATTTTTTTTTTACTACATTTAGGCAATATTTTGCATTTTGTAATAAAAAATATTAATTAAATTGAAAAAAAAAACGTCTTTTTTCTATAAATTAAATAAACACACACAAGCAATTAGATGTTCTAACATTAATATTACAAAATTTGGCATATAATTTTTAAGTATCACCTTTGGAAGGGAAGCACAATTTTTTAAAAACTCAGAAATTTTTATAAACGTACGAAATTCAATGCGCAAATTTATACTGCAGAGAAAATTTTTGAGTAGATTAACATATTTGTATCTTGCTAAAAATTGTTTCAGATTATAGATATTTAGATATAGTAGCGCTCATTTTTTATGTATAACATTCTGCAAAATTCATTCATTCTTGCAATTTTATGTACAAGAATTTTTGTAATTGGCTTTATATTACTTTCGCTACTTGTTTGCATCTGTTTTATTTTATAATAACTCTGAGACAATTTTAATAAAGAGAGGCTTCATCTGCGGATATAACTGGTTCTTCATCGCTCCAGTCGCTGACTGCTAATGCTGCTGATCCGTGAAAACTTTGCGATCTCGCTACATGGCTAAAATTAAATATAAATATATGTAACATAGATATACATTAAATTATAAAATAAGCAAGTAAAAAACGCAAATATCTCATTTTATTTACACATTATCTGCTCAAGAAAACTTAATTAATACATATTTATATCATACATTATTATAGTTAAAAATTATTTGATTAATATTAGATAAACAAAAATTATTAAATAAATAGTTATATACAGTCAATTATAACATTTCTTCTATAAAATTTTTCAATTATTTACTGTGTAATTAGTGTTATAAAAAGTAAGACACTAAATAAGCAATAAAAAAGTGCAAATGCAATATATTAAAATAGATAAACTAATACAGGACCAAGACACACATAATATCTTCTTTCCATTATTTTAAAAATATCTCAATTTAACAGAAATTCTAAGTTAGTGCAATACAAAAAACAAGCATTTGTGTCAATAAGTGTTTCATATTTTTAAGAAGCAAAAATATCTATTAAAGAGATACCTCTTGAGAAAATATATAGCATAAAATGCTTAAACAATTTTATGCTATACCACTTGTTTATTTTGCCACACTATTTTTAGATTATCAATCGCTATTGGTCCTAACAACAGTAAAATGATTATCTTTTCAATTAGTTGAAAGATAAAGTAATCCAAATAATATGAAAGCTTAAAATACATTATTATGATGACTTATAAACTTGTTTAAAAATATGTATTTTCTTTTATGCAAAGTAAAATCAATTTATTACAACTTACCTCGGTGATAAATTTGTATTGATATTTTTCTTTGCCAAGCCTGCTCTTCTCCGTCCTTCCATCGCCGCTTTCATGGGATCATAGCTCTTGCGACGTTTCCAATTTTGCATTTCGACCTCTCGTACATTTGGCGTCGGCGGCTTTTTTGGTTCCTTTGGTTTACTCTTAGGCACCTGCATATACACATTCATTATATACATACATATATAATACACACACATCATATTTCTATTAAACATATGGAAGAGAAAGATATATATATACACACAGACACACATATATATATATATATATATATATATATTAAACTTACCATACTCAAAACTCTACTAATTCGCGCGCCAGGTCGTCCAGATTCTGTTCTAACGCTAGAAAAGGACTCAGATTTGCTGCGTGTGTCGTGCAATACATTTTTTGCTCTGCTCGCATTGGAAGACACAGGTTTTATTCGTTGCGGATCCAATTTTGTTCTACTACGCAAACTGAAAGAAACAATACATATACATAAAGGAATATTATCAAAATGCAATGTATGATGTACGCGCATACATACCTAAATTCTTTATTATATTTAGTATTGGAGATAGGAGAATGTGTCATAGCATGTCGTTCGTCGCTGCTCTCGGTGTCGCTCGGATGACGCAATCCTTTCGATATATTCTGGCGCAGGCTGTGACTTGTGTCTTCATCGCTCTCATTATCGGAGTCCAGCGGAGGACGATACCCCGTCATGCGAGCCGACATTGCAGATACAACGTTCTGAGTGGTTTGCAGATAAGATGAGGTTTCCAAGTCACTATCGCTTTCCTAAATTCGAGAATTTAGATTTTACAACTGTGCTTAAAATATGTATATTTTATACAATTGTTTGCAGAATTTATGCAAAAGCAAACAAAATGATCGCAAAAGCTAAAGCTTATTAACGAGAAACTTTAATGAATTCTTAAGTATGATTTCAATGCATATTTACTTCAAGTTGCGGGCTGCTAGGTGGTGGTACTTGATTATCCTCATAGTGATAATCTAATTCATTATCCGACCAATCGTTCGCTAATGAAAGAGCACCTCCTGTACCATGAAAACTTGCGGATCTCAGTACGGAATTATCATGGCTAGAAAATATGCATACGTATACATATATGTATAAATGCAATTGTTAAGCAAACACTTTATATTTATTAGAACCTCACTTGTTAGAGCCATCTTCGGTACTATGATGTTTCTTCGTGTTGTCCATTAGTTTTTTTCTTCCTTCGGCTGCTGCTTTCATGGGATCATAACTTTTCCGTCTCTTCCAATTTTGGAATTCTACTTCCTTGGATGTGAGAGTAGAATTACTTCGTCCAGATTTTTTATGATCTTTACTCGGTTTTTGATTTTGGCTATTAGAAGGCTGCAAAAAAATGAAAATTAGTATTAAAATATCTTATAAGTGAAATATAATTATATACATAGACATGTGATGCTTACATGTGTAGACTTCGGAGCTCTCATACTATATCTTCCGGTATCAGTCCTAGACGGTGCTCTGAATTTTGTTGGTTCTGCTTTTTTCGATGATTCCTTATTGTGCGCTCCGACACTGTTTGTGCGAATACGATGATAATGCGTCTGTTGCTTATTCGCAGGGGCTGTAGTCTTCACTTCCGACTGCGCTCTTCTGCGTCTTTCCTCGGGGGTTGTATTCGGCGTTGTGTCGGATTCGCAATTCAATCTGTATAAGAAATACATTTAACTTAATTATTTATGTACAAGATGAAAAGCAGAAGTACTGGAACATCATATTTTTCGATGTTTGATCAATTTAGTTTATATAACACACACCTTGCTCTTCTTATGCTGAAAGCCCTGTTTAACTTGATTCCAGATGAAATTGATGTCAAAGGAGATTTTCTTTGTTGTTCACCAGTTTCACTACTACTGTCGGAGGCAACGGTAAATTTTCCTCTCGATGATATTCTATCAATGTCGTTATTAAAACTGCTGCGACGCGACACAAAATTCTGCGACCTCATGTTTCTAATACTCGCGTTACTCGATGATCTCTGTATATTGAGATGTCGTTGAAATTCTGGACTGTTTTGTAACATATTAGGCGCTTTAATAGATATGTCCTTATCAAAATAACTAGTTCTTTCATGATAATTCGTAGTGCTGTTCGATTTTCTCAGCATGTATGGACTGTAAAAACAAATCAACATGCATAGAATATATTATTTTTTAATATAATATTTAAAAATTAATGCTCTATAGAAATAAAATGTACCTATTTTCAACACATGTAAAATATCCTATATTTTTCGCTTCTGATGACTTTGTCAAGTACTTAGATCTTTCTAAAGTAGGAGAATTAAGGACTTTCGTTGCTGCAACCTTACGACTCACAATTGGACTATTGGTCAATTTTGGCGTAGATGGTCTGAAACGATTTAAGACAGGACTATTTGTGTGTTTAAAATCATCTTCTTTATATTTCATGCTATTCTTTCTGGACGTATTAGATTCCGTTGTATCGGAAGCATATTCTTTCCTGTATTAGAGAGAAGAAAAATTTCTTATAGTGCAGAAGAAAACTCGCTAATTTCATCTATATTTATAGTCATCAAAATTTATATTGCTGGTAGCATATATTATTGTATATAAGGCACACACACACAATAGGAATATAATATAAAATAAATCAATCACCTATCTAGAGAGCTGCTTCTTCTCTCCAAGTGAAGAGTCGACAAGATTTGGGACGGGCTGTTCGATAATTCTACATTAGTGTCAGCAGTCTTCGATTTGGCTGAACTTAGATATTTTCGGATGCTGCGTCTATTTTCGTTGCTATTTACTCGTCGAAACAACGAATCGGACAAACTACTGCGTCTACCTACGGTACTATGTACAGGTGTACGCTGTGAGCTGTGAGGCGGCGTATTATAACTATTGCTGGTATCGTCATCGGATTCACCGCCGGAATCTATAATTTGATGTTGATTTGAAACTAAACCGATCCTTTCTTTTATTCGTATATACGAATCCATGTCCACATTACTGTCGGATTGTTCCTGTATGTAAAATAAAACAAATCATACACGCGGCATATTTTTATGTTCATATATATATGCACACACGAAAATCCATTAATTTATAACAGATATATTATCTTTTAAAATTGTGTAATGCATACATAACGATTACGTAATCCTCTTTGAGATCTAGCATGAATCGGCGATGGTATCTTGGTGGACTTAGAGGCGGCGTACGACCTGTCAAACCGCCTATTATCGGAGGAAGCGAATTGTGCTCCGCTACTTGAGTGGCCCATTCTGATATCCAAGCATTATTATCGCGAGAAACACTCATCTGTAAAATAAGATTGTGTAAACATCTATGCAAAAAAAATTTATGCAAAAAGAAATATACAGGCTATTTGACATAAAGCATCACATCAAAAATATAGAAATAAAGTTTGTTATTTGGAGACAATTTTTTCTCACTTTATGTCAGACACCCTGTAGATGTTATATTTACCTTGAAACTGTGAACGTACGCCTCGTTACTTTCGTCTTCCGTTAAAACACCGACACTGAAAACTTTGTCGATATCCATTCTCGCTTTCTCCTCATCGGTATAATCTTTATGAATCGTGTATGTCCCAGCCTCGCTCACTGCACCGTCAGAACTGGCGTCGACATTGCTGACATTGAATACATCCAGATTGGTATCCGCGGTATCATCCGTGTTTAGATTCATCGCGTAGCTGACGCTCGATAAAGCAGTCTCTCTCTCGTTTGTGTTTCTTATATTAAAATCATCAGTAATATAATTCATATTAGATACTTTATTATCTTCGAAATTATTTGCTTGCTCGCACTCGTGAGAGATATACTCGATATTTTTCGTGTACAGTTTCTCATTTTCATCGTCGTCGTAATTGCTAATTTGAACGCGACTTAAATCATTTATCGTTGCGGATCTCTGAGATGTCCAATATTCGTTCTCGTTAGATTCGAGTTCTAAAGAGAGACTGTGAGGTGACCATTTGTTGCGTCGCACTTCACCATCAGTGGATTTCGTTAAATATTGCTTATTCTGATGATCTACGTTTTCATTACCGAATGTCTTTGTGCTAGAATGTGCTCTCGAGGGATTCCTCACACCTAAAAAACACACATGTAGTTTAGATCTTAATAAATATTAAATAAATTGTAAAGAATAATGACATTTTATCATTTATTAATATGTATTTGCTCTTCTTCTTTTACAGTTCGGCCTTTAATATTTATAATTCAGAGATAGTATATATATATATATATATATATATATATATATATATATATATAGTACATATATATAAAAATGAAATAATATATATAATTTAAACATAATGTTATTATAAAAGCGACGATAAAATTTTCGATATTACGCCCATTTCTAAAATAAAATCACACAAATCCCAATATAAAAAGTTATGACATCAAAGTCATTAATATGTCAGCAGGCTACATCACTCAGTATAGGTAGAAAGTACTTGTAAGGAATATTAAGAAGCTTGAAGAACATGACTTCATCATGACTCATCCATCACAGATCTTAAGGACAAGATTTGGACTGAAGTCTTTTAGACTATTCACAGAATATAAATTTAATAATAAATTTTGTAAATTAATTTTTAATTTATGTACAATGGTATATATTTCTTTCTTATTTATTGTCATTCTTTTTAAATTTAAACACATTAGTTGTGACATTAATTAATTTTATCTTTGAAAGAAAAAAAAGAAATGATAATTTACCTAATTGTTTAAGTCTTTCTGATAATTGGTCAGTTTTTCGCTTTGTATCATCCTCACTACTGAAGTAACCCTCCGAATGAGTGCTAGGAACTTTCTGCTTTTGTCCCAAGTTTGGAGATAGTATATTGCTCGGCTTCTTTGATTTTACTTCTACCTAAAATAGCATTATAATATACATGAATATCAATATCCTTTAATAAAAGATTCAACATTATGTTTAATACAAAGATATTAAAACACAATAAAGACAAAAACAGATACAAGCCAGCGCAGAAAATAGAGATCACAATGTTTTATTGAGTTATAATTTGTAAAATTACTAATTTTACTGTAACATATTATAAAGAGAGCCAATTAAAAAATTTGTACAAGAGTCATGGTTGTGTGTGTATTGCATTAAGATATATAAAATATATTTTATATATCTTAATACGTAAGATATGTATAAAATATATCTTGCAAGACATAAAAGAAATGGAAGAATTTTAAATACCTTGGACGTAGAGAGGTTTCGCCTGTGCCTGGCGTTATATCTCTCGAACAGATTTTGATACCTAGCCGTGTCCACTTCTTTGTTATTACCGAAATCGATGGTGAAGGCTAACGGAGTCAGAGATGCATTGGGACGATCCTCTGTTCCTCTCGACGAGTCGACCTCGCGATCCGCGATCGGGTTGGCTCGCGACGTATTCGCAGCAACGATGCCCTCGCGTATGTTCACGTAACCGCTGTCGGAAGCACGAGGTTCGTCGTTCGTCGTACGCGATGACTCCTCGTTGTCGTTCCTTAGGTCGTCAGCGCGCGACGACGACGATTCGCCGATCCCCGAATTAAGGAGATCGGTGTCAGCCGAAGGGAGGCCGGTGTCAGCCTCCCTGGACCTCGTCTCCGTCACATCCGCGTTCGTTTCCATCTAACATGCCAGTCGTAAACATCCGTGAATGTGTATGAGTAGGCACGCGATCACACGCGGATATCACATCCGCTTCTTCCTCGGGTCGTCGAGAAGCCACTCCTACGAGTGCATCGTACGACAGGTCCCGAGACGCGATATAGCATACACGAGATTCCTTTGACAGATCGACACAGGTGCATCTATTGTACTATGCGTACGCCATCGACTGCCATCGCTGTCAGCTGTCATTGACGGCATATGTCAACATCCATTGCTGGCAACTGACCAACATTAAAATTACTGCAAATTGCATTCTTGTAAAAAAAGAAAAATACTAAATAAATTAATTAGACAATCAATTTTTTATGTACTTTTTTTAAAAAAATTATTTATGTTGCTTAAAAGAAATTTCTACGTAAAACGAGACATTTATATTCTGACATTGGAGAGAAAGAGAGATAAAGAGAAAGTGAAAGTGAAATTATAGAATGCAAAAAATGCGAACAATACCCTTATATAAGCTTTAAAATTTGCACTAATTATAAATATGTTAATTGAATTCATATGTTTAATATTATCTTCCTTTTCTATCTCTTACGTAAATAAAACTTGTCACATTAATAAAAATTATTTATCAGTGTCTTAATAAATAAATGTATTAAATTAATAAATCTATCAATTAATAAATCTATCAAATATATATAATAAATTAATTAATAAATTATTATGTATTAATTATAACAAATGTATATTAATGAATAAATAATGAATAAATTTTATTCGCAAATTTTATAGGTTTATATCAAGCGAATTCTTCCGATGAGATTGCAAATTTAAAGCAGTAAATTAATAAATAAAACTATTGAATTGAACTTTCAATCTTCTCTCGGACGCGTATATATATATTATTAAAACCACGTTCATAAGCCTAATTATGCAGCATTATTGCGCATGCGTGTGAGGATCATTTAAAATTCGTTCACATGGCGACGTGAAAGCATTTGAAAGAAGGTTAGGAGTATAGTTCGAGCATGTTATCCAAATCGTAAACTACACAACAAAAGAAAAATAAAAGGGTTTTCTAAGGTACATCACATAAATTTTATTATTTAGAAACATCAAGACCAAATTTTTAATTAATTTATATAATTACATATGTTACTTAATTTATTATTATATTTGTTTAGCACACAAATAACCTCTCAATTATATAAATATTTCTTTTTAAATATTTAAATTTAAATGTTTATTATAACTTCTTATTTAATCATAATTTGATAATGGAAATATTTATATCTAACTATTAGAATGAGAAAATTCAATAAATAAAAAATTTAATAAACAAAGTTGAATAATTTTAGTTGAGCATGGCAAAGTACAGTGAGCATAACAGTGATTCTAATGAGGAAGTAGAAGAGAAAGAAATGGAGCTGGACGATAGTAAGATTGAATCTCCTATAATGAATCAAGAAAAGAAAAGACAGAAAGTGACTGATGAATTAACTGAAGTGGTGCCGAAAAAGAAATTTAAAAATAATCTTTATAAGCAGCCAACAGCTGATGAACTCAATCAACTTAGGGAAACTGAGAATTTATTTCATTCCAATTTGTTCCGGCTACAAATCGAAGAGGTTCTCAATGAAGTAAAGCTTAAAACTAAATATAAAACGCTATTTGAAATTTGGTTCAAGAAGTTGAAAGTCTCAATTGAATCTATTGAAGAGACTGAAGAAATTCTGGTTAATAACATGACTTAATTATGTTATTTATGTATAATATAATGCAAAATAAAATAATTTGTTATATATTGATTTTTCAGCTTGGAAATAATAATTTGGGCGATAAATTAGGCGTTCATATTCCTATGCCGCATGTACCAGAAGAAAGTAGATGTGTTTTCAAATTTTTAAAACCATCTAACATTAGTGTGATTGGATCTTATAATTCAGAATGTATTCTCGGGCCTACCATTACCGTCGATGTAATGGTGGAAATGCCAGCTGAATTATTCCGCAAACAAGATTATCAGAATTACATATATTTCAGAAAAAAAGCAACATATCTGGCATTTATAACATCAGTCATAGGAAGCGAACTTGCAGAAAGCAAGAAATTTATTGGCAATGACTTAAGACCTTCCTTGAAAATTCAGCCTACTGGAAAATTGAATAAGAAGATAGATGTAATAATACATGTATCTGCACAGGAAACTAGTTTTAAACTGAATAGATTTTTACCAGAAAAGAATAGTGTTAGACCAGCATGGTATTTTGATAAAAATATTTTGGAGGATGGTAAGTCTGTACAAAATTATTTATCGTGCAATTTTATATTGCAAAAATATAATCTTTTATTGTATCTTATCCACAGCATATCTACCGCCAACTCCGCATTATAATTCTTTAATACTGTGCGATTTAGTAATGCTAAGAATAAATTCTGAAGTTGCTCAAATAATAAAAGAGTATCCCAATTTAAGAGATGGTATAATTTTGCTTAAGATATGGTTGCGCCAACGCGAATTAGACAAGGGATACGACGGCTTTACAGGTCACATTGTCACAATGTTTGTGATCTATCTGTTGCGCATCAGAAAGCTCAATACATTTATGAGTAATTATCAGATTGTGCGAAATGTCTGGATTTGTTTAGGTATCTTGAAAAATTATTAATTAAACATCTTTTATATCTTGTTCTGTTCGAGATATTAATTATATTTATTTTACATAGTACATGGAAATTGGTGCAAGGATGGAATTACCATGTCCGAGGATAAAGACAATCAGAAACAAGTTTCCCATTATCAAAACTTTTACGACTGTGTATTTCTTGATAATACTGGCTATCACAATTTTGCGGCGAATCTATCGAAGGATACTTTCTCATTGATACAGAGGGAAGCAGAGCTTTGCCTAAATCATTTAGATAATATACATGTGGACAGTTTTCAAGCACTTTTTATGCGACGTGTATCATTTCATAGAGCATTTGATCAAATTTTATGGTAATTTCTATATATATATATATATATAACGAAAATATATATAAAATATTTTTATAAGGGAGAAAATCTATTTTAATAATTTATTATTTTCATGTAGTTTCGAGAACAGGACAGTTTCAGAAAAAATTTATGAAAAATCCAGCATTGATGACAAAATTAATTATGGACCTAATAAGCGTAGTCAAGTGATTAAGTTACTTGTTGAAATTTTGAAGAAAGGTCTAGGACATCGAATTAATCGATTGTGCATATTACCTAGTGTATCTAAGGAATGGGAATGCACTCATGATATGCCGGATGATACTGGAATGCTTATTATTGGATTAGAATTAAATCCTGAAATATGTTTTGGCATTGTAGATAAAGGACCTGAAGCTAATTTAGCAGAAGTAAGCAAAAATAATAATGTCTTAAATAACAAAATAATAAAATAGTGTTACAATAATCGTTGTTGTAAAAATAATAATCTGTTAATGTCTTTATTGCTTTATTGATTAATATTTTATGTAATTAATATTAATTACATTATATAATATTATTATATGTGGCAAGCACAAGATACAATTTGTTTGGTCATTGCTTTGCAGGCCGCTGACTTTAGAAATTTTTGGGGCGTTAAATCTGAATTACGTAGATTTAAAGATGGTTCTATTCGTGAGGCTGTGGTTTGGTCCAAAGGCAAGTCTCTGTCGCACAAGAGAACAATATGCAAAAAAATAATAGCGTTCTTGTTAAAAACGAAGTTTAATATCCTCAAAGATCAATATTTGCATATTGCAGATCAAGTAGAAGATTTGCTGAAGTTGCACAAGGTAATTTCACAATGAAAAGGTTCATATTTAAACATTCATATATAATTAATATGTAATTCACACACACACATGATTTGTATTACTTTCTAGTACAAAATAACACATTTTGTATACGGCACTGGTGAGGAAGCTACACTTAAAGTTCTACAGGCTTTAATGTTTTGGAGAAGAATTTGATGTCGCTTAATGATATGCCTTTGACGATCAACGGTGTTCAAGGTTCAAGCCCGGTTTTCCGATATACAGAAGTCTTTCCGCCACTTGCCACTGTTCATCGGAGCATTGATGATGTCACTGAAGAAGACAAAAATTGTTTAGTTCTTTCTAAGAAAATCACGAAATGTCCCGCATATGTTCACGCGCTCGACGCAACGTTACAGTTGTCAATCAGTGGAAAGTGGCCCGAAGAATTGGAAGCTATTAGAAAAACGAAAGCGGCATTTCACATACAAATCGCGGAATGCCTTAGAAAGCAGTATCAATTAAAAGCACAGGCCAATCCTTCATACATAAATGTGTACCAGGTTAGTATAATAATGATAAATATGATAAATTATTGTTATAGTTTTGTAATATACATTATAATAATTGTAGGATAAATGAATACTGTGAAATATCTCATGTTTACGTTTTCCTTATGAATATAAAAAATTTCTTTTATATTATTAGGACGGATTCGTTTTCGATTAAGAGTGGCGCATCAAAAGGAAATCGCTTTAGTGAAGCAAGTCAAGGAAGATGGAGTAATTAAATACAAAGACAATGAAGAATCAATCGAATTGGAAAATAAATTATTCAATTTACCAAAACTGAGTAGTGCTTTGCATGGGTAAGAGTTGATGAATTTAATCGTTATTGAGATAATTTGTAATGAATATATATAAAATTAGAACATTTTTTATCTTTCTGAAAATAGAGCTAAATTTTTGGTTCAGATTTAACTTAAAATCTATGATATCAAATATGTTTAACAATTTACTGAAAATTGATATGTTTATAATAATTTCTACAATAAGTAGTCTGCATAATAAATATAACAAATATAATAAACACACTGGGCAACATATATTTTCAATTTTCATTTTTATAGATTGCATTCTCAACAACCATCGTTTGGTCCCGCTTGTTGTTTAGCAAAACGATGGCTATCAGCACATTTGTTGGATGATACTCACATACCGGAAGTTGTAATTGAATTGCTTATGGCGTCGATATATCTAATGCCAGAGCCTTATAAACCAGCTCAAATGCCACAAGTGGCATTTCTACGATTTTTGGAAGTTATTGCAAGAGCTTATTGGAATATTGATCCTGTCATCGTTAATTTCAATGGCGAAATGACCAGTGAGTTCTAATATCTTCATATATTTCTAATTTTTCACTGTAATCATAAATATTTTTGCACTATATCAGCATTGAATGATTACTTAATTGAAATAATGAATTGGATTAATGTATTCAAATATGTAAAAAAATTATGCGAACAAAATTTCTTTTATTCCAAATTTATATATGTTATTGTTTCTAGATGTATTACGTAAGAAAATATATATATTAATATATTATATTAAATTTTCCAGATGAAGAAACCTCTGCTGTACAAACATTATTTAATACAACTCGTGCTTCGTTGCCACCTTTATTCATATCTACTCCTTATGATCAGCAGAAATCCTTGTGGACAAAGAAAGCACCATCTCAATTAATTTTAAATCGCATAAGTGTGCTCGCAAAAGAATCATTAAAACTATTCGACGATATGTTGTTCAATAATATGGTGCTGGATATAAAATCTATATTTCGTCCTTCGTTAAAAGAATACGATTGTTTATTATATCTGAAGTCAAATATGAATCCCAGAAAATTGCAGGCAGTTGATGTACCCAATAACATGGAAATGGTAGATCTACATCCATACAAAGCACATACACTTCAAAAAATTCCAATCACGGACTTTGATCCTGTGCAATGTTTCTTGAAAGATCTAAGAGTTAGTATTTTAGACAATTATTAATCAGTTACTAATAAGTATTGTATTGTTAAATGATGTGGATGCGTACATCCATGCTTCTAAAAAAACTCTAATTATCTCATTGCCATTTCAATTACGATATCTAAATATTTTTTTGTATAACATATTTTATTTATTTTTTCAGGATGGTTACGGTGACTATGCTTTATTCTTTCATGACACTTTTGGTGGTGCAGTAATCGGAGTTCTGTTGAAACCCGCTATTCTCGAGCAGAAGGATTTTAAAGTAGCAGATGTTAATTGTAAAAAATTAAACATCGATGGCAAACTTGTTTTAAATATATCGGCAATGATCGAAGACTTTTATATTTTGGGAAGAAGTATTATACACACTATCGATGTGCCGAGTAAAAGATTTTCTTTAATAAGATCATAATTGATTACATAAGGACATTTAAACTCGAAAATTTATTTCGAAGTTTGTAAAATGTATGATCTACTGTAAATATAGAAAATAAATGTTTTATTACAAAGAAAGAAAAGATATGTATATATAAAGCACTAAAAAAATGCTCCTTACATATAAAACTCTTTACATTTTAATTATTTTTATATTAAAAAATGAAAGTTAAAATTTATTGAGATTATTTATTAATAAATTAAAAGAATTTAATTATATATTCGTTTTCATGAAAAATCATACTACATAGATTCAAAAAGTAACTAATACAAGTAATTGTTAAATTACTGCTCATTAAAATATAAAGTGTTTTTTTATAAATGAAATTTGTAACATTATCGTTACAATAAAAAGAAAAAACCATAAGATGACAAATTGTAATCACAGTCTGTGATTACATAATGCGCGTGACATTTGCTTCTTTATATCTAAAAATCTAAATATGTTTTGTCAATGTAAAATTTATTGATAAATTTTCATGTCATTTTTAATTTAAGATTATAAATTTTTCTTAAAAGTATCATTTAACATTTAACTTGTAAAAATTATTAGCATTATTTAATCTAAAACAAGTTATATTAAGTTATAAAATTATTATTATAAGAATTATTTTAAAATTTATAAATATTTTTTATTATTTATTAATTTATTATAATAAATTAATATAATAATTAATAATGATTAATATAATAATAATTAATTATTATTTAATTTATTATAATAATAATTTAATATAATAATATTTAAAATGTATTTATGTGTATTAATTTACGCTCGAAAATTCATCTGAGTTAACAGGAGAATATATTTGCGAAGAGGTAAGTAGGTAGTAATACGACAAAATACGTCTAAATATGTCCGAAAATTTATTTGAGTTAACAGGAGAATATATTTTGCGAAGAGGTAAATAGGTAGTAGTACGGCAAAATGTCTAAAATATGTCCGAAAAATGATTTGAGTTAACAGGAGAATATGTTTTGCAAAGAGGTCTCTATTAGGAGAATATATTTTCAAAGAGGTTAAGTCGGTATAATGATGTCGGTAATTACCGACGGTGATGGTAACTTACCAACGTTGATAATTTACCGACCGTCGTTTTCGAAATCGAAATTCCTCTTTGTAAATATATTCCTAATAGCGACCTCTTCGCAAGTATATTTTCCTAATAACGACCTCTTTGCAGTATATGTTATCCTGTTAACTCAAATAAATTTTCGGACATATTTTCGACGTATTTTGCCGTATTACTACCTACTTACCTCTTCGCAAAATATATTCTCCTGTTAACTCAGATGAATTTTCGAGCGTAAATTAATACACATAGTTAGATACATTTGAAATATTATTATATTAAATTATTATTATAATAAATTAAATAATAATTAATTATTATATTAATCATTAGTAATTATATATTAAATTATTATTATAATAAATTAATAAATAATAAAAAATATTTATAAATTTTAAATAATTCTTATAATAATAATTTTAACTTAATTATAAATAATTTAATATAAATTTATTAAATTAAATTTAATATTTTTAAATTATTTATAATTTCAATTTTTTATATTATTAGATATAAATTTGTTTAATTATTTTTTATATATTTTTATAATATATTAGAAGATGCTTCCGTAGCGGCGACTACTGTCGCCGTAGGATATTTAATTAAGTTGCTTGAAATTTTTCAACATTTTAACAATATTAGATAAATAATATTGTTTAAAATTCTCCAATTAAAATTAATTAATTTTTTTATATTTACTTATATTTAATTGTAAAAGCTTTTGAATCTGAATATGGATAAATAAATAAATGAATGAATAAATGAGTGAATATCATAAATAAATGAATAAATAAATGAATAAATAAATGAGTTTCTATAAATGTAACTGAAAATATATATGATAAAAATGATTTGTACATTACTTTTTATTATTATTCTCTATTAACTCAGACGATTTTTCGAGCATATTAAAGGACACATACTATGCTCATGCTGCTTATCTCTGCAAAATATGATTAACTAAATCTAATTAGCATTCGTGGAAAAAAACAACAATAAATAAACTTCATGTACATATATCGACTTTATTAAGAAAGGGATAATAATAAAGGATAATGTTCAACTCAGAGGCTTTTATATAAATAAATAATAATTTCTTATAGATTTAATAATTAAATCTTAACTTAATTAAATTAAATTTTAATTTATCAACAAGAATAGATAATATAACAAAAATGTGTTTTGGAGATATATATATATATATATATATATATACTCGTATGATATATTAAATTATATATAATATGCAATGTTACATCTAAAACACATTTTTATCATATCTATTCTCGTTGACAAATAAAACTACAAAGAGATTATTTATTATTTATTATTATGAAAAACCTCTGAGTTGGATAGCGTCATTTATTATTATGTCACAATAAGAAAAATTAGCTATTCGTCATCTTATACCTTCCTTTATATTTTACGCCGTAAAATTTACGGTAACAATTAAATAATATGTATCTGTTACATATAACTTATCAATAACCACAAAAAGAATATATATAGAACATTTTTATATAAACCCGATTTTTTTATCAAGCGTTGAATCACAAAACAATCTAATTAAAATAAAATCATATCGTATGAGCGGATGCATCTTTGTTTTGCAGCCTTCAATCCGCAAGGCCAATGTTAAGCAACATCAAATGTAAACATATGCTGCTGGAATATATTCTCATTAATCTTGTCGCATATTTTCTAAAAAATATGTAATGTCATCTTTTTTACTTCAATTAATAAATTAAGATGATAAATGATAAATTAATAAATATCAGAGAACATACGAACAATCAAAAATAATAAAGCTCTATGTTAATAAAATAATAAAATAAACATATTATCAAGTCATAACATTAATATCGTAATAATTCGATCTCTTCTTTCTTTACATTTATGCAATATTTAATATTCAATATTCGTTATGAATATACTTTCATTAATAAATAACAGATAGAGAGTAAGATATCAAAAATGTGACATTCATGATTAATAATATTGTTGATAGGATAAAACGCTTATCACATGTCAAATAATCAATATGTAGTAGAAAATTATAATTGAGTAACATGTTTTTTTTTATTTAAATAGGTAAATTATATTATTAGCTACTATTTTATATTTCATATAATAATAAAATAACTATAAGTAGTTGCTTTTACATATATGGAATTTTGTAATTATATATTTATTTTATACTTTAATGTGTGTTTGAAATAAAAGCATAAATTTGATAAAATTTATTTTATAAAAAATATTTTTAGTTGTACGCATTTGCATTTTTAATTATAAGAAAATGGAAAAAGATTGACAGAGAGACTAAACTTCTAAAATATTCTATGAAATAAACTCACGATTTATGATGAATCAAAAGTGAGAAATTTCTAAAAAATAGATACAATATAATTATCTTTGTAAATTATGCCCCAAGGATGGATTTAGTTAAAATTTAACAAAAACAGTGCATACACAAATGCACACTATAATTAAGTCATTTGTCATTTGAACATACTTTCTACAATTGCTATAGTGTAAATTCTCGAGTAATAAATTACATAACTACAATGTTTAAATATATGTATAAACAATTTATGAAAACAATACTACGCAGATATAGATGATTTAAAATCGAATATTTGGAATATCAGATCGCTATGTAATCTATCTAGTAGTGATTTGATATCTGATTTTCAATTATCAATTCGATACTTATATAATTAGCATACTTAATACAACTGATACAAAATATCAGAAAAATGCAATACTTATTTTTGCATATATATATATATATATATATATATATATATATATGTATATATGCAAGTATATATAAAGCGATACGAACGGCACCGCTGATTCAGTTGTCACCAGGAATGGTGTGCAAGATGCAACTACTACAACGAAGTGCATTTTGTTTTAATCAAATAACAAAAAGATGTCTGATTTAATATATAGTGCAAAAAGATGCATCTGATTTAGAATTATATAAGTGCAATATATCCTCTTGCACATCTTCTACTGACATTCCTTATAGGTTTAAAAAGTTTATTATTATATATATATATATATATATATATATATAACATTTACTCAATAATATCTATTGCACTTGTTTCAGCGATGCGTTCTTCCATAATATTATTGCTATTCGCTATCGGTTCTTTAGTTTGCGGTGATGATGTGGAAGAAGCCAACGACTTAATTACAGGAACAGTCATTCCAATAAAAAATGGCGTTCTTCAAGTAAATGTAACTAATCGCATCATAATTCTTAATCTTACGAAAAATGGTGAGTCACAAGTCACAAAGGTGATCATATGTATAAGTCTTCATCTTCTTCATATTATTTTACTAAATTCTAAATCTATTTCATCTATTTTTACAAAATCTTTTTCCTATCAAGCTTATATATGTTTAATATTACTTATAATTATTTTTTAAATTTTTATAAAGAATTCTAATAAAGAAAAATTATATCTATAAATGCAATATTTTTTTCCAGACGAACACATGATAAATGTTCTTCATACAAACACTCCATCGCAAACGCTGTCGAGTCCCTTTGTGATTCAGAAGAATTGCGGTGATACTAACAGGCTTTGCGTAACAAGTAACAATATTACGCACACTATCATTGATGCTAGTAGAGACGTTGAGATCATCAATATTACTCGCATGGTAGCTGATCCCGCTGCCGAGCTCATCGATTGTTATCAGTATACCGAGGATACGCAATGGTTCGGTGGTCCGGAGGATCGCTATCAGCACTGGCCCGTGCAGCACATGTACTACGAGGAAGAACCATATTTGCCGACACATCCTGAAAACATGGCAATAACTGAGCGTTACTGGTTATCTAGCAAAGGAGTTTACATCTACGTGAATGAAACGAATCCGCTGTTTCTAGATCAGAACAATTATCGAGACAATTCTATATGCCTGATCGCAAAGAACAAGGCGCCCTATCGACATCGTGATAGCGTCCAGCTCAACTATGAGTTAGGTGTCTTTCTGAATCCGAAAGAGGCTCATCAGCACGTGGTGAACACTCATTTGGGTAAACCGACGGGTCATCCTGACGAGAGAATGATTCAATATCCTGTATGGTCTACCTGGGCTAGATACAAGGCTAACGTAACTGAGGAAAGAGTAGAGGCTTACGCTGACGAGATTGTTGCTAATCAATTCAGCAACAGTCAAATCGAAATTGATGACAATTGGGAAACTTGTTACGGTTCCGCGGAATTTAATCCGACTAAATTTCCCGATATCACCGCTCTAACGCAGCGATTGAAACAGAAAGGCTTCCGTGTCACTTTATGGATACATCCCTTCATCAACCTAGGCTGCGAACCCGCATACTCTACTGCGTTGAACAACTCGTATTTCGTTAAAAATCTTGACGGAAATGTTCGAATGTCATGGTGGCAAGGTAAAATCGCTAATCGATTTAAAGAAGACATTCCTTATTAAACGTTGTAATCTTTCCCTTTTCTTTTCGTAGCATTCTTTTAAACATTCAATATTAAATGACTAAATAATTGATCTTGATATTTAGTATTAAATATATTGTATCAAAATTAATGAAAACTAATGACGTAAATATATTCAGATTATTCCAATTTTAATTACCCGAATATATATATATATATATATATACTATTTTTCTTCAGGTGCAAATGCTGCCACAATTGATTTTACGAATCCAGAAGCGGTAAGTTGGTGGGTAGCACGGTTGAAGCATTTGCAGACTCTCGGTATCGACAGCTTCAAATTTGATGCCGGCGAAGTGTCCTGGTTACCGCAGATAGCAACGTTGAACGGCCCACTAGATCTTCAGCCTGGAATATTTACAAAAGATTATGTCGAGGCACTAGCCACTAATTTTAACGATTATATCGAAGTGCGAGTAGGATGGCGTAGTCAGGAATTACCAACATTTGTTCGCATGATTGATAAAGACACCAGATGGACGTGGAACAATGGTCTGCCCACGTTAATCACGACGCTGCTACAGATGAATCTTAACGGTTACGTCCACGTTCTACCGGATATGATCGGTGGCAATGGCTACCTGGATAACTCCCTTAACGGCACGGAATATCCGCCCAAAGAACTCTTCATCAGATGGCTGCAAGCCAACGTCTTCATGCCATCGTTGCAATATTCCTTCGTGCCATGGGATTACGATGATGAAGTAAATAATCTGAAAAATTATATTTGAGATATAGATGAAATGCTAAGAAAGATTAAAAATTATAAATTAAATATAATTTAAATTTTGTAATAAAACATTATTTTGACGTAATAATACTTATCTCTATTTTATCAGACTATCGCAATCTGCAAGAAATATACCGACTTGCATGCTAATCAAATATCAGAGATTCTAAATGCCATGCAGCAGGCTATCACCAACGGTACGCCAGTAAATCCACCTATCTGGTGGATTGATCCAACCAATAAGGAAGCTCATAAAATTAATGACGGTAAATTCACAAGATTGTATTGGATATAGGATATTCCAAAATTAATAATTTTCTATATATCATTTGTACATTTCTTTCTCAAGTCACTATCTTCTATATGATCTTCATGTACAAGAATATACTATATATTTATATAGAAGAAAGATAGTGACTTGAGAAGGAAATTGACACGATTGTAAATAATGTATAATTAAATTTTTCTATTTAATTGGATTTCAGAATATCTCCTTGGAGAAACTATATTGGTTGCTCCGGTAACTGAAGAAGGTGCCATTAGTCGCGATGTCTATCTTCCTGCGGGAACATGGTTCGATCAGAATCTAAGAATGACCATCGATGGACCACAATGGCTCAGAAACTATCCTGCTCCTCTAGACACACTTCCATACTTCAAAAAAATTCAATAATGATGCCAACAAGAGTTAAATTTTTATAGATAATCTTGTTCTCCTAGACTTACTTCTGTACTTCCAAAAATAACAGTAATGATGCAAAAAAGAATTTATATTTTGTATATAAAAATTTGATTAATTATACAATTATGAAGTAATAAAATTTAATGCAAAAATATTGTCATTATTGCTATGAAAATTAATACCATCTTGACTGAATATTGATAAAGAATTATTAATACATCTTCAATCTCAAATTATTATTTTCTATCTTGAAATACATAGTGTAAACTTTAGAGTAAATAAACACACAATCGTAAAAACTTTAATATTTGAAAAGATATAGAAACAATTTATGGAAACTATTGCAGAGATATCGATGACTAAAAATTAGATATTAGATTGCTATGTAATTTATCTAATAATGATTTGATATCCGATTTTTAATTATCGATTTGATTACTTTATACATCTAAAAAATATTTGTAGAATGCAATATCTGTTATTGCATTTGGCATATATATATAAGCTGATATAAACAGCATTGCTTAGCATTTAGTTTTTACTAGGAATAGTGTAATATATAACGTATTGATGCAATCACTGGAACGGAGCGGTAAATATATGTATATTCTTTGAATCAAAATTAAATAAATAAAAATGTATCTAAAAGATGTATGAGCAAGATGTCATTTTTCACATCTCCAAATATATTTCTTTATACGTTTTTAAAAAATATTTATATTACACTAAGGAATAAAGAGTAATATTTACTCAAAATAATAGTTGCATTTGTTTTAGCGATGCGTTCTTCCATAATATTGTTATTGTTATTCGCTTTCGGCACTTTAACTTTCGGCGAATATGTAGAGGAAGTCGACAATTTAAAAAGAGGAATAATTATTCCCATAAAAAATGGCGTTCTTGAAATAATCATAAACAATAATAACATGGTTCTCAATCTTACGAAAAATGGTGAGTCACAATATATAATATACAATGTAAGAATATACATACACACTGACTTTTTATCTTCTTCGTGTTATTTCATTAAATGAATTTTTAAGTTTATTCCTTTCAATCTCATAATATCTGTTCAATATTTCTTTCAGATGGCGAGACCATGATAAACATTCTTCGTACAAAGACTCCACCGCAAACATCGAGTCCCTTCGTGCTCGAGTCAAATTGCGGTGGTACTGATAGATTTTGCGTAAAAAGTGGAGATGTTTACCACACTACCATTTCTGCTAGTAGAAATCATGAGATCATCAGAATTGTTCGCGTGATAAATAATCCCGCGGGTGAACTCATTGATTGTTATCAGTTTACCGAAGGTACGCAATGGTTCGGTGGTCCGCAGCATCGCTATCAGCACTGGCCTGTACAACACATGTACTACGAAGAAGAACCATATTTGCCGACACATCCTGAAAACATGGCTCTATCCGAGCGTTATTGGCTATCTAGCAAAGGAGTTTATATCTACGTGGACGAGACAAATCCACTATTTCTAGATCAGAACAATTACCGGGACAATTCTATATGCTTGATCGCAAAGAACAAGGCGCCCTATCGACGTAATATCATCCAGCTCAATTATGAGCTAGGTGTCTTTTTGAATCCGAAAGAAGCTCATCAGCACATGGTGAAAACTCATTTGGGTAAACCGATAGGTCGTCCTGACGAGAGGATGATTCGACATCCTATATGGTCTACCTGGGCTAAATACAAGGCTAACATAACTGAGAAAATTGTGGAGTCTTACGCTGATGAGATTATCGCTAATAAATTTCAAAACAGTCAAATCGAAATTGATGACAATTGGGAAACTTGTTATGGATCTGCCGTATTTGATCCGGTCAAGTTTCCTAATGTCAGTGCTCTGGTACAGAGATTGAAGAAGAAAGGCTTCCGTGTCACTTTATGGATACATCCATTCATCAATCATGGCTGCGAACCTGCATATTCTGATGCATTAACCAGCTTGTATTTCGTTAAAAATCTTGACGGACGTGTTCAGATGTCGTGGTGGAAAGGTAAAATCGCTAATCGATTTAAAAAAGACAACCTTGTTAAACGCTCTAATCTTTAGTCTTTTAAAGTTTTAGTATTGCAAGACTAAATAATTTAGTTGTAAAATATATTGCATCAAAATTAACGAAACTTATGACGTGAATACATTTAGAAAATTATTCTAAATTTGATTACTGAAATAAATGTTTTTTCTTCAGGTGCAGATTCTGCCACGATTGATTTCACAAATCCGAAAGCGGTAAGCTGGTGGGTGGCGCGGTTGAAACGCCTGCAGAATCTCGGTATCGACAGCTTTAAATTTGACGCCGGAGAAGTGTCCTGGTTACCGCAGATACCGACGTTATCTGGCTCACTTGATATGCAGCCCGGAATATTTACAAAAGATTATGTCCAAGCGCTAGCCGTTAATTTTAACGACTATATCGAGGTGCGAGTAGGATGGCGTAGTCAGGAATTACCAATATTTGTTCGCATGATCGATAAAGACTCCAGATGGACGTGGAACAATGGTCTGCCCACGTTAATCACGACGCTGCTACAGATGAATCTCAACGGTTACGTCCACGTTCTACCGGACATGATCGGTGGTAATGGCTATGTGGACGGTGGCTCTATAGACGAAACGGAATATCCGCCCAAAGAAATCTTCATCAGATGGCTGCAAGCCAACGTTTTCATGCCATCGTTGCAATATTCCTTCGTACCATGGGATTTCGATAATGAAGTAAATAATCTGAAATATTATGTTTGAGATATAGATGAAATGCTGAGAGAGATTGAAAAATATATATTAAAAGAATGTAATTTAATTTTTTTTTAAACATTCTAACATAAAAACACTTATTTTTATTTTATCAGACTATCGCTATCTGCAAGAAATATACCGATTTGCATGCTAAGCAGACGCCAGAGATTCTAAACGCCATGCAGCAAGCTATCACCAAAGGCACGCCTGTAAATCCACCTATCTGGTGGGTCGATCCGACCAATAAAGAAGCTCACAAAATTAATGACGGTAAATTCATAAGATTGTATTGTATAGGATTTTCTAGAATTGATAATATGAGTCACTTCTCTTCTTTTTTTCTTATCTATGAAAATTTATTCACATAGAAGAAAGATGACTTGATAAGGACTGAAATATACAAATGACATGATCTGTAAATAATGCATAATTAAACTTTACTATTTAATTGGATTACAGAATATCTTCTTGGAGAAACTATACTAGTTGCTCCGGTAATTGAAGAAGGTGCTATCAGTCGCGATATCTATTTTCCCGCGGGAATATGGCTTGATCTAAATCGAGAAACGATCATCAGAGGACCGAAATGGCTCAGAAACTATCCTGCTCCTCTAGACACTCTTCCATATTTTTTAAAATATCAGTAATGATGTCAAAGACAATTAAAATTTTGTTTATAAACATTATTTACTTGTTTAAATGTACAATTAAAAACTAATAAAACTTAATGCGAAAAAATCTAGTTATTTCTATGAGAACAAATAATAACGTGACTAATTATGATAAAAAAATATTATTATATATCTTGTATGTATATAATATTAGTATTTTTTACTTCGAGATATATGGTATTAAAATTTTTACTTTAAGTTGCATTGAAATACATATCCACAAATTCACATACCAGCATCAAAGTTTTTACTTTAAATTTCCTCTTACAATTAGTTATTTTAATTTTATCATATTTAATGATTTATGATATATATTATGCTTTATAAAATTTTTTATCAAAAAATATATCTTGTGAGTTCTATATATATATATATATATATATATATATATATATATATATATTTGAAATTAATTTTATATGATAATTTTAAATTAATATTATATGTTCTTTGTGATTATGATATCAGAAATATGAAAGTAATGAGAAAACAAATTCGAAATTTTTACTAATTATATTCGAATAATAAATCTTATCACATATTAAAATATGAACAATATTACAAAAGATATGAAACAGTGACTAATATAATTTATGTAATTAAAAATACATATTGTGCAATTATTCGCAATTGCAATCTACTCTTATAGTGATTATTTGATATATGATAAGCATTTTTTATCATATCAGCAATGTTATTAATCAAGAATCTCAAATTTTTTGATAAGTTTATTATCTATTACCTATATCTATTATTTATCTGTAAAAATATGTCCATAACCCAGATAGAAATATTCTGTTGAAATTGCAATAAAATTCATTAAGAATGCAAATAAAAATTATTGAATAATTACTAAATCTATTTCATAAAAGTATCATCAATAGAAATGGCTGAGAGAAACTTTCCTAGACATACTCTTTCGTACTTCAAAAAATATTAATAATAATGCTAAAGAGAATTAAAATCTCATATAAAAATATTTATTTGTATAAATATATATAAATTGTTTCGTACTATGTACAATCATAGATTTTTATTCGGAGATCGTATGTATATGTCCCCCCCTCTCCCCCCATAACATAGAAATATATTAATCAAAAATTAAGCCAATAAATAAATTAGTTACCTGTTTACTAATAAGAATTGTATTTCTGTATTAAGTTTTTTAATCACTATATCGTCAGCCGCGTAACTTCCGGTTTTTAAAAGAGAATCACGTTCCTCTCTCAGTATCTGCAATCGATCATTATACTCTTCTGATTTATCGGATCCACTTTTATTACCGTTACAAAAAATCTTGGAGTAAACATCGTTGGGTCTTGCATATATTCGATTGTAGTCGTCTTTCGAAACAAAAGATTGTTTCGGCTTAATCACATCAATCTCCTTCTGAAGTTCTTTTAGCAACATTTGATCGTTATTTAAAGCTCTTGTGTCTAAAGATAAAATTTCGGCTAGACTGAAAAATTATATTTTATCGAATTATTATAAGTATCAAAATACATAAAGGAAAATTCCGTTTCTATTACATTATATTTAAATGACATTAATTTTTTTTATAAAGAATTAATTTTCTGAGATATTTAATATTGATAATAATTGCAGTCATGAAAAATTATGTTTTTTCATATTTTTGTTTCAATTTGATTATGAATTTGTCTAAGATTCTATCATGAACGTTTTTGATTGAAACAGCTTGTAAAATAAGATCAATTGTAAGTAAAGTAAAACATACTCCACATTTTTCAGCTCTTCCTTACTGTTCTTGATTTGAACTTGCATGGCATGTTGATGTTCTACTTTCATTTTGTGTATCTCACGAACCGCTTTTCCCCACTGTTCTTTAAAAAATGATTTTCCTTTCTGGGCGTTGTCCAATTTTTCCTCAAGAATTTTTAATTCTTGCAACAAAGACGCTGTTTGATCTTTAGTTAAAGATGCCTTTTGATACATTTGTAGTTCATCTGCCTGTTTACTTGTTGATGATTTTAAAGTTTCATTTTCGAACAATAATATTTCTACTTGCGCTTCTAGAGCAGTTTTCTTTTCTTCTAATTTAATGATCTGCAGCATTAGATAAATTGTAATTTAATATTGTTTGCAATCTCAAAAGCTTTTGTAAAAAGATAAAAAAACGCATTCCAAATATATAAGAAAGTATCCAAACTTGTATATTGTAAAATAAAAAATAAAAAATATTAAATAACTGTTAGAAAATTAAAATCTTCAAAAACAGATATAAAATTTAAAATTAGTCATCCAATTGAACAATTCTATCGACATTATATATATAATAAAGTTTCATTACATTTATTATCATATTAGTGCTTGAGATATTTTATTTGAAAATATATGATTAATAAGAAAATTTTAGATGAACAGAAGCTACAGAGCTCAACAATAGGTAAAAAAAATAAATTTTTAGTTAGTTGTATCACTGTTACTTGGTCAAATCACTAACAAATAAGTGATGATACTATCTTATGATGACATTTCTAAAGTATGTAAAAGCAGAAGCAGAGCAAAAGTGTATAAAACTGAAATATATATACAAACCTTTGACGTAAGATCACTTTGCATCACCTCTAAAGTATTCTTAAGTTCTTGTAACTTGTTTTCATATCTCCATTGTAAATCTTCGTTTGCTTTAATTAATCTGGTCTCGTTTTCCAGACTTTTTAATCTGCGCATTCTTAAATCTTCAGTAGCATTGTTCAAACTGTTGGCTAATATCTTGCATTGCTCGACACTACAAGCGAGTTTCGATTCTAGATTCTCTCTCTGTTTTCGCCATTCCTCGCTCAACATGTTCAGATGTCGTTCTTCCTTTTTCTTGAGCTAATACATATTGCACATAACATTTTATTAAACAAACAACATTTTATTGCACATATCATTTTATTAAATATCATTATCATTTTATTACTTACTTCGGTTTTAAACATTTCCTTTTGTCGTTCTTTCCAAGTTTCCAGTTCATCTACTATTTTATATGCTAAACTATCATCCAATATTGGTGGGCCTAAATTTTTACCTTTAAAAAGATAAAAATATATCACATTACTATCTTCAGAGCAACAGTACAGCATTAAAATAAGCATTAAACAATTATCAAAGACTAATAAGCCACATACAAATGACAATGTGTTAGTTTCAAGAAAGAGTCTTGTTTAAAACTGATTAGTTATGTACAAAGCACACGTTTTCTTATAATATCAGAAATGTAAGTAAATCTCAATTCAAAATTTTATTTATTAATAAATCCCTCATTCTTCTCTTTTTCTTACTTGCTTCTTTAGGAACTTTCAATAAGAATTAATTTTTTCTCAACACTGACACATTAAAAATAGTCTGGCTCTTATTAGTCCATTGGAATTTAAATATGATTTAAACAATTATACAATATAAAAACGAATATTAAGAAAAAGTTTAGTGATTTAACATATAAATTATTTACCAATAGTTTCTTTCTTTAATATAAAATGTGGTCCACGATTCTCTAGTTTAAGTACAATGTCTACTTCACCAATTTTACATTTTTGATCTGCATTGTACAGAGATAATTTATATTGACATTCAGGCTGAAAAAGATGTCCATTTTAATTTTAAACATTTTATCAAATTTTCTTCGTAAATATAATATTAATACTACCTTATCCTGATAAAATAAGGGTTTTAAATCAAGTGTCGATAGTGATAATGGTTCAGCTCCTTCGTTTGCATCATACATACTGATCTTTGGTGGAAAAGATTGTAATAATTGTTTTATTTCATTTGGCGTAGATATAAAGTGAAATTGACATCCGATTTCTTGTAATTTAACTTTTTCGCCAGATAAAACTGGCATTGTCGCATGTACCATCGACGTGATCTCAGCTTTTGGATGATGAAATCTAGAACAGATTATATATCGAATAAAATCATAAAAGAGATAATTTATTTTTATTTTAAAATATTCAATTTATTGAAAAAACATTTAATCAAACGTACCGAAATTCAATTTGACGTCCAGATAATTTTGTAGATTGTATTAATGTTATTGCCGCAAGTGAAATATGTAAGCAATAGCAATGATAAGATCCTACAGATATAGAATCTTTATTAAGGCAAGGTATTGCATTACACGAACGTGAATATATATTTTTATCCATTTGGTGTTTTATGCATTGACAATCAGATTGATCATTTATATTTTTACACTCTGTTGCATTAAACAACTTCATTTCACGTGGTGTATTCTTCAAACTAATTTTTCCAAAATCGCCACTAGGATTCCTGTGAGACTCTATCTCTGGGCATCTCTAAAATTTGAAATTTTTAATCTTATATGAAATATTATATACATATATTCATATATAAATGTTATATATATTAATGTAAAGCGATATTTTGTAGATAGATGTCAATATTAATCCATATAATCATTGTAGGATAAAAATATTATTGACGAAATAGATAAGTATTTCTATATTCTACCTGACCAACATTATTCATATTTTCTTCATTATGATATTGAATACGAGATATCACAGAATTGTCAGGATTTATTAATGTATCAGGATTATGCACAATATCCATTTTATTTTCAATATATTGCAATTTAAGTTGTAAATCGAGATAAGATTTTTGATGTTGATTTTCAATGGGTTTCTCAGTTGCATTTAGTTTAGTTAGAAAACATCGTTCATGTAGGATAATACTCGCGTTTGCATTGTATTTCAGAAATTCTTGCAGATTATCCATGGGTACTAATGATTGCAAATTAACTAATGATTCAGCTATTATATTATTTTCATGTTTCAGAAATATTAACAAATTTGGTTTCAATTGTAGATAATGCTTTAATACACTCAAAGAACTTCGTATTCTCATTATCACTTTTTCATGAAAAATATTAGATCTTTTGTACTCTATGTTGAATGCTTTCAGTTCTACATCATTTTCTAAAACTCGATATACAAAATGCACAACACCATGATTGCTTAAATGTTCAGGTAATAACAGATGTAAATTTTCTGTACATATGGCTGTGATACTTAATAAAAATAATTCATAACAGATATTCAAGGGACCCACTTGAATCAATTGTTCGTTGAGATGCAAATAAGGTATTATTTTATCACTTTGCAGAATAATATTATTGTCTATCATCGAATTGCTTATCTGTGAGACGATACAATTTGAAAATATCTGATATATACTAATGTAATTTTAATTGCAAGCCAATAATGGTTTATTAGAAGATTAATATTTTACTGTTAATTAAATTTAGAATATATTAATCTTATGAAAATATAATATTAAACTTTACCTCCACCATTGAGTTTAAATCTGTATTTTTTCGATTTTCAACTCTTAATGTAAGAAGTAATTCAGGTTTTTGTACTTTAAGATCATTTCTTAATCCCAACAACTTGTGCCAATTTGCTTTTGGGCTTAAATCTCCATGTTTAAATATTATGTGAGCAGAACGTATACTTAACAAAACATATCCAATTCTCTCTTTGGCCTTGTTCTCTTTAAAAACAAAGCATTCTAATTTCAATGCAGCTTGTCCTGATCGCATTCTGTAAATATAAAATAAAATACATTGTTATATTTTATTCAGTCTTAGGATTAATAGTAACTTTATAAAGTAGAATATTTACTTCCTTAATGCAGTTTTATTGGTCTCCCAAATTAAGTCAGTTGCATATTGTGGATTTGAACTTGGTTCTATCCTGTCAGTTTCTAGAGAATGTCCATTTAAGGTTCCAATCAATAATGTTGGTTGTAAAACTTGTTCAAAACCCTTTCCTACAATATGTATGTACGAAAAATTTGATACATGATTGTAATAACTACAATAATTCTTATACAAAATTCTTCTTTTGGATTTAAAATTTATATATCAATCTTTTGTTTATAAAAATAGTTTCCATGCTTGTTTATATAATATTAACATAATTCATATAAATTGTACAGTTCTGTTTATAGTGTATAAATTGATAACTTTTTCTTTCTTGAGACTGCTGTATTTTTATCATTATTTGCAATATAAGTATAACAATAAATCAATAATAAATACATAGATTTCAGAAATTGAAATTGCTTATAATGCTCAGAATAATAACTGGGATACCTATGTAAAGAGACATACCTTCTTTTATGCTCAAAATAATTTGCACGTCAGATTCAACCGCTTCTATCATATTTCGTTACGTTTCTTAAAATATTGCATATAAAATATAACAAATCCCCGGGGCAAAGATATATATATTGCTATACAAATATTTAGGACACTCCGAAATTCAAATCCGCTGCCATGGAAACGGATCTATGTAAACACGAAGCAAAACTTCATAGACGAGAGCATTGACGAGGTACTGTTACCTCGAGAGTCCATCTATTTCAGTGACAACTGCAGCTAAAATTGTAAACAATTCTAGCAAATATCCAAAGATTCAGATAACCAATCAAACCACTAGAAATATTTGATCGACCAATCAGATCAAATGAATTATATTCCCAGCTGGTCACTCGAATGTTCTAGTAATAAATTGGGATCTAGTAACTTTGGATTTGTAAGAAGACATATGTATTTGTTTTCAGATTCAAAAACAGAAATAGACGGTGAGCTGTCAAAATGGAGCTTGACAAGTTGGAGCAATCTGTAAAGAGTCTAAATGCGGTGCTCAACAAGTTTCCGATCGGCGCGATTACGTTGGACGATTTTAAACCCGTTGAGGAGAAGATCCAGACGACCAGGAGGTCTCTAATGCATTTAAATGCCAGGTTATTAATGCTCCAAGCAAAGTATAAACGTATGTCGTTGATGCTGTACAATGCATGAATTTCGCGCTGAAATCTTTGAAATCGTTGTATTTGTAGAGTACACAGACCCTGGACGAAGGCGAAAAGAAGAAGACATCGGGAATGTACTGCAGAGTGTTATAAGTAACACACTTATAAATGATAAGGCTATCAAATTATGTCTTCATAGTACCACTATTCTTTCATTGCTCAGTAATAAAGAAGGTGATGTCAAAGATCAAAAGTAAGAAGTACTTATATGTCATTATTTATAAATATACCAATATTAAATATATAAAGTTAAGATGCAATAAAATTTCAATTTTGTTTGTTCCAGAAAACTTTGTACCTGTTTGAAAAAAGTATTCACTGTCAATCAGAGTATTATGTCCATTCAAGAAACTATTAAGAAAGAGTCTCAAGTACAATTAAATCTAAAAATAGAATGTCAAAAGGCGTTGTTTGATTATAAGAGTTTTTTGAAAGAACAGGAGCAGATACGAAGTGAGAGATTACAGAAAATGTATCCTGAAATTTTAGAGTGAGTAAAGTTGCAAATGTCACAATTTATCTCATTGTGTATTGAAAATTGTCAACTCTAAAATCTTTTTCAGAAATAAAAACAGAATGGAAAGAACTTTACGGAAGATAAATATAATGAAGAAACTTATTCGAAATTTTATAGCAGCAAGCAGTCATATCGTAATAAAACGGCCAATATTATTAAAGATGATGGAGAAGCATAGAGAACTAATAAATATCGAAACAATACTCAAAATGTCCCAAAATGAAGATGCAGCTGTATAATAGAGAGAAATATAGAGAATAAAAGAAATCTCAAAGAGAAAATACGCAAGAATTCATTATGAACTTTTTTCTCTTTTCTTACTTGCTAAGCGCAATAGACACAACACATATTTACAAGAATAAGCTTCCACGCAAATCTCAATGTCTTTTTCCCCCTTTTTTTAAGTTCTTCTATTAAAACGCCTTGTCAGACGTTTTGTATTAATTGTTAAATAAAGCATAATAGATATTGTATATAAATTAAAAATTAGGATAGTAATCAGAGCTTACGTATATATAGTAAAATTTTCACTATAGGGGGAGAGAGATGTACACATTCATGTCTTTAAAATCTGTATAGTAGAGAGACTTTCGCGTATATGATTTTATATATATATATTATATATATATATAAAATTTACGTATTATACATATATAATATTAACCATCGCGTGCAGTAAAATGCAAATGTAAGACAATCAATTTTTCTTTTTTTTTCTTTTTTTCGTGGTCCGGTGTGTATATCATTCAGTCTCGTTATATATATTTCATTCATTTCTTATGTAGACCACTCTCCTCTTGTTCACAATCATATATATATATATATATATGCATGCATGCGTACACACACATACTTTTTGACAGTCAAAGTAGTACTAAAACAATTTAATTACTATATACACAAGATAGATCAGTCCAAGACGAGTGGAAAGAAAACGAATCCACTTGAAGGAAGCTGCATCAAATTTTATCAAAAGATGTAATATTTATGAATTAGGATTTTACTTATGTTACCCAAAATTGAAGGGAAACAATCTTGTAGAATGTATGTAATATTTCTATTAAAAAATGGCATTTCTACAAATAATGTAATTTCCAGGATTGAGAAGAAACATATCTTTGTTACTTGTAACGCTATTACAGTTACTGGTTATTGCTGGTGTAATTACTTTTTTTTTAATAATAATGGCATTATATGAATAAGTTTTACTTTTATCATCTTAACGAACCTATATATATATATATATATATATAGATTCGTTAAGATGATAAAAGTAAAACTTTTATATATATATATATATATTCCATGTAATTTTTATGCAAAATAAAATTGATTAAGAATGTTGAAATGCGGCATAAAAACTATTGCAAGCTTTTCTTAATATCTCGTTTTCCTTTAATTAGTCATACATATTTAGTTAAACAGATAATTCGGCGATTGATCAAGAATTCGAAATTGAAAATTATATAACACATTGTGTCAGTATTTTAAAATTATATAAGATTAATAATGAAAAAGAATTTTTACATATTCTATTAAGAAAAAGTTAATAAGAAATTTTTTTGACTTATATTTATAGCATTTAAAAATAAAAAAAATAATTTTTGCAACATTTTTTATTCAAAATTAATTATTATCAAATTGTTACACTTTATATCAAATAAGCAATATTACTATTAAAATGATATCGTTTTTGTTTTATTTTCATACAAAATGTTTAAAAATATAAATTTTAACTCGATCTTATATCAAGATTAAAAAAAGTATCAGAAATTATAATGATTCATTATTGTTTGTGTAGCGATAACAGTAACGAGTTACTTTTCAAAATTTATAATCAGTAACAATAATCAGTTATTTTTTAGAAAAAGGTACAATAACATGATATAATAAGTTACTTTTATAAAGTAACTCGGTATCGTCCTTTTCTCAATCCTAATAATTTCATTAGCTTCCTCCTTTCTCCTAAAGAACCATCCATTTTTCAATATTATTTTGATTACATAATAATAAGAAAATTATCACGATAAGGATATTAGTCTCACACTGGTAATAATATTGTACTGAAAAAATTATGTTTGTTATAATGTTGTAACTCTACATATAGACACAAATTGAAGTAAAGATACGCTTTGCATTGTACATTAATTTTCTTATTTCGATTTTTCACTGTTTCTCCTCGTGTGTTTCTTACACATTGCATGCAAATATGATGACGCACGCACGCACGCACGCACGCACGATCGACTTTAGTCTGATTTAATATTTCCTGCCTCATAAATAAAAATTCACGTACTCTATAATAAAATACTAAACATACATGCACGCATACACACAGCACAGGTGTACGATAATACCAAATGCACGTAAGCTGCCAATTTCATAAAAACGGCAATTTATTATGATCTATTATGATTAGCAATTATAGCAATTTTATTCTTCAACAATTCATCCAGTAAAACAATACGAACATATAGTAAGTCAAAAATGCATATGCATATAAGCCTCACTATGCGCGTCATTTGACTTTCTCCAGACGAGAGAGAGACTATATATATAGTGCTTATATGATTATAACTTAATTTCACGTGTTTCATTGAGACGGTGGTTCTTCAACACTGTCATAATTCGACGATATCAACGTATCTTAACGATCACAACACACGAGGGAAAACGCGTTATCTAAACTCTTTTCTCCAAGTTACACTTTACAACAAGATATTTTAGTAGTTACGCAACTTCATTTCCATAGATACGCACGATTACGATATTGATATACGGGATGTTGAAAAAAAAGGGTAAAATATTTTAAAGAGATTTAGTACGCCCAAGAAACAAGTTGAAGTCTTAATAAACATGGATCCGCAAATAAACTATTTTTGAGATATTTTTATTTATATAATTTTTGTTTTAAATTTTTATTTTTTATTACTTTATTCATGTAAACATCGGTAAATTAAATTAAGTTATAAAGTAAGTTAAATTATGATATTGTAAATATCTCAAAAGCGACTCATTTGCGGATCCATGTTTATTAAGATTTTTTAAATTATTTTCTATACTAAATCCCCTTAAAATATTTTATCTTTTCCTTCAATACCCTGTATCAATATATTATCGTCGTTTGAGCCGATGAGCCGGGGAATGAAAGACACGAGGATACATTGATCCTGGTCCACATAATCTATTCGTACCATTTACAAATATACAAAAAAAGGAAAAAAAAAAGATATCTCGAGCGAAGATGGTCATTTTACATTACAACAAGCCATAATTCCATTCCTAATCGCTCCTCTCTCCGTGCAAGGTAACAACCTAGGGAGAAACGGAAAGGTTCGCGTGTGTGTCTGTGTACCGTTTACAATGTCCGAGGAGACGAGGATCTCTTTTACTCACAACCATACTTAACCAGCAGTCAGTCGTGTTATATTAATAAAAATCGTATGACTTCGCCCGCGCGCGCGCTTTGAAAAATCGGCTAAAAAACTACGGGCTAAACGTCTTGCGCAACAGGATATTTGTTATTATAATTAACGCCAGCAACGCGGATTCCCCGGTGTGGCAGGACAGTGATATAAATATCGGAGACACTCTCTCCCTCTGTCGCGGAGGACTTCTCCTCGGCGATCGGATATTACAATTATACGTGGCGCTCGCTATTCGATTGCGTACACGATTCAGCGTTTTATGTACAATAATATGGTAGTTTTACAACTTACGCGAAACTACGAATCAGCCTCGTCGAAGAAAAGAAAAAGCGCTCTGAAGTAACGTCTCTTCTTGAACGACTCGTTCTCTTTCCACGCACGCGAATCATATACACATGCGGATATCATCAATCATTCATCGGATCACTCACTCTCCGCTGATATCGACGGTTTTATCAATCGCGGCTAGCTCACAAAAAAGGAACGGTACCCTCGGTGCGTTCTCGATAGTGGGAAGATACAGAGATAATGAGAGGGAGAGAGAGAAAGAGAGAGGAAATTCACAGAGTATAATCTAGAGATTCTGATCTCTATCTTTTTAAGCGTATCACTTTTCAAGACTGTCCGACAGAAGCGGTTCTCTCCCTCTCTTTAGTTTTTTTCCATTCGCTTTATGTATCGTACGAGAGCACATGTATTACAATAAATACGGCTCGAGCACGCAACAGCTCCGTAAGTACATGGGTTTCTGTCATCGGACGCATTTGTCGGCGGGTATGTAACATGGATACAAAGTAACATGTACGCAAACGCGTTTTACACAATATATACGGCGCGTACATCTCTCGGGTGAGTGGTACGAAGTCATCGGCCAGACTAGAATAAGTGTGGACCTTTGGACGTAACACAGTTTATTTCGTACTCGCCACTTCCGCGCGAGTTTTTCCTTCGACCCGCCACTTATCACGTTCCTGCAAAGAAAAACAGATTTGTGTTACTTACAGAAATAAAAATAATTCCGACGAGAGAAATTCGGAAGAAATAAATTCGCAGACTTGTTCTTTTACAGAGAAAAGAAGTTTAGCATTGAAGTGTTTGCATATATTACTTGAATACTGATCCCAATACTTATTGTATTTAAACATCACGTTTTGAAATATGTTACAATTTATGAAATTCTTATCCAGAAGTGAATTAAACAGAATTTTCAAAGTTGAATTGAAATTATATATAGTTCAAACATCCTTACTTGTTTGTTTAATCGATACAGCTGACGGGATCCTTTTGCTCTTCCAGGAGTATATATATTCCAGTATAAATTTTCGTCTTATTTATCTCTTGGTCGCTTAAATATTTCAATGTTGCGAGCCATTAACAGAAAATCACACGTCTCACTCCGTATGCATCCCCTGCAAATGCTTCGCAACGTAACACTCTTCTTGTCATATTATATGGGGAGAATAGATTAAATATGTTCGCAGCAGAGAGCTCTCGTTACAGTGAATCTTTACGTTATTGTATACTATTCGATAATTTTGCGCCTTTGTTCAGATTAATTTGTTTCAGATGGAAATCACGTTATAACATCCAGATTTTACTACCAATTTCGACGACGGTAAGTCTTCAAAAAATCAAAACAGAATCTGAAGCATACATATGGTTCTCTTTTTTTTAATAATCTCATAAACGTGCACGGAAATAAGAACTATCCTCGAATGTCACACTGTCTTCCCAGAGGATGATCTATATCGTAATAAATGCTTTTTTTATTTCTCCTTTTCCGCTTTCCTTCTTTCTTGAATCGGTACACACTGATGGAAAATAAATCGACTGCCACGAGTATCACATAATTTCAACTTGTCTTTCGTACATATTAATTTATGTGTCTATTAATGAACTTTCATCATTATATACGCTATAAAGTCTACCGACAGAAAAACCTTATTTCATCGATATGTTATGTAAAATGTAATTTTAATTGTTCATTGCGCAAAATAAGTCACTCTCTTGTATGATAATTTTATTTTAGAAGGCATGAAACCGAAATTGTTGATATTTTGAAAATATGCGGATTTTTTGTCTCGTTGTATTTAAAATTATAAGTATGTGCAGGCGAATGGGACATTATTTTTAAAAAATGTTAGTCGTATAGCGTGAAACGTTTTTAATGTATATCACAATCCGTGCAACGGATAATAGAACCAATGATGACATATGGTAGAATTACATCCTTGTGTAGAAAAACCAGGCAGTGTAAGTGTTAAATTATTTCGATAATTAATGCGTATTCGAATAATTTGAACTTTGTACATATTTAGTATTATCTTGATAATACTTATCAATAATACTTTAATACTGCTCTATTCTTTCATATTTTTTACAATATACAAATCAAAATTAAAATTACAAATCTTTACTAGATACAAAATCATATAACATTAAATATTCCAATATATATTAAAATTATTTCTTGATGGAATTAAAAATAGAAAAATAAATTCGAAATCAAAAAATATGTAATATAAAATCAGACATGCAAATTGTTGCTTTGTATAACAGGTATGTACTATACATTCTTGCGAATAATAGAGATGCAAAAGCGAGAAACAAGAGCACTAATTCACGAATATTCTAATCCCAATCCCGGAAACGCGTCCTTTTTCAGTTTCATGCCTTTCAGAAGATTATGATCAGACTTCGCGACAATCGGAATCTCTCAATTATATCAATAGATCCGGAATAATACATTACGCTCGTTTATCCTGTGGGACTGTGAATATACAATGAGATCTGTGATAATTTCAATTCGTTATAATTCACTATATATATATATATATATATATATATATATATATATATATATATATATGCAATCGCTAACCTGGCCGTCCATCGTACAACGCGGCGTTATCAAAAAGCGTCCCCGTAATACAAGAAGAGAGTCGTAGGCACAAACAAGTTCTCTCAACATCGGTACGTCAATTCCTTCTACGTGATCCTTCATTCATTGGTTCACCGGTACCGATGACCGGCCGATGACGACCATTCTCAGTCAATAGCAACATGTCAATATGTTGATGATATCGATAACAATGTATAATTGATAAACGCGAGTGCGGACAATAGAAATGATGATGATAAAATTAAAAACGACGATGATCATGACTAATGATGATGAAGAGTACGCTCAACGTAATAATTAAAGATTAATAATAATATAATAATAATAATAATGAAATAAAATAATATATAATAATAAAGAATAATCATTATAATAATAGTACTCATAGTGCTAGCAATAGTAATAGTAGCAGTAGTAAGTAGTAATAGTAGTGGGCAGCAACAAGATGAAATGTAATCATGACAATAGTAGCAATAATAATAGCACGAGGTCACTTTTCTTGGCTAAACGAGAGGATTTATTCAGTAAGTAGGTAAGTGGATTCGCCAACGTCTCTTGACTTCTATCAGTAGCTCAAGGCTACTAGGAATATTCATCAACTTATTTACGATGATAACAGGAAAGAAAAAATGAATTACAACGAAACACGCACATGCATGCGATATGCATCAAAAAGATGGATATTGGATAACTAGAAACATGAATTTTGTATCTCTGAATTTACTTTAATGAAAATTTAAAATGACCATCTAAGCAATTAACAATCGAGTTTATCGAGTTACATCTCGCCAAATAAACATACAAAAACACGTAAAAATTTGTTTTAATCAATTCTATGTTTCGTGAATTTTCACATTACAGTATTACGAGGAAAAAACGAAGAAAAATGCACATTCTGTCTCATTAATTATTGGCTATCAAAGACCAACATTACATTTTTACTAAAAAGATTATTTGTGTGCGTTTGCCGAATACATCTCCCTTGTCCAACTGTTCAGATGTATTCTGTATTCTCATACATGTGTGTGTACAATATATAAAAAAAAATAAAAGAGAGGGTTTTGAAAATGAATCTGACAGTTCTCGCGGATCGGCCGCGTTTTCTTTCTAAGCACAATGATAACGCGAAGGTACTATAAGAATTTCGATATATGTATATTACGTTGAGAAGCTGAGTTGTAGACGAATAATCGTCGTCAGCGAGTCCGCCTATTTATCGAAAAGATCAGCTCGATTGGCCAGAGTAAAAGCAGCTTCATTCTCTCGACTGAGTCGCGCAACGTCGTCCAATTAATATGATAATAGCGGCGACGCGGTAATAGAATGTGTTGAACGATGATGATGATGATAATGATGATGATGATGATGATGATGATGATGATAATAATGATGATGATGATGATATGATGATGATGATGATGATGATGGTAGTGGCGGTGGTGGTAGTGATGGTGATGGTGGTGGTGGTTCAGTTCGACAGCGGCGGCGGTGTCGGTGTCGGCGTCATCGTGACAGTCGTATGGAGCACCGAATCTCGTGACGCGGATCGGCTGCCAACGCGCAACAGAGTGACGGCCTCTCTCTCGGGATCGGCGCTGCTGGCAGTATCACCTGCTGCTACGTTCATCATCCCCGTGGCCGTTCCCGTTGCACCGCGTTTCCCCGTTCTCGACGTTGCAGTGATGGCAGAGGCATGCACCCCCTCGGTTATGACTCCTCCAGCGGACTCGTCGGCACTATTACCCGCGCACTGCACCGCCCCCCCGAGACCAACGGTAACGGACAGTCATTTCTGCCTTCCACTTTTCTTCTTCTTGCGCTTGAAGAAGCAACAGCATCTGGAAATGAAGCAAACACTAATAGGACTTAGAGTCGTCCCCTTGGCAGCGGCTCTCTTAAATCAACACACCGAGCATGCATGGACCGATGTAACAATAGTTGCATTCTGCGGAAGAGAGAGAAGGAAATTTGTCGATTTTTCAAAGATACTTTAGCCAATTGAATGTAGATATTAGTGTTATGATATACATGTTAATTTATCATGCAATTTATTAGTGGTGTAGTTTGTTAGTTTAATATGAATATTTTAAAACCTAATATGAAAAATGATAAGAGGACAGAAGGAGAAGGCAAAATAGAGAAAGATAATATAGGTATAGGATATAAATAAAAATAATGTACATTTAATTACAACGTTGCTAAATATAAAAAAATACATAGTTTTGCTTCTATTTTGTTTAAGTATATAAATAAATCAATATAATTGATGTGTGATTTTTCCTTTTCGATATACATTATATAACGACATTATAAAAATTAACATAATTCTTTAAGATTATATAACAAAATATGTTTAATGAGGAACAAAAAAATGCTTATTTTGTTTTGCAATAATAATATATAATTATCTCTCAATCATCAATCTTGCCTATTAAATCTCGCGAAAACTATGAACATAATTTATTAGAAATGTAAATGTATGAAATTATATATTAATAGATAGATATACACATTATAAATATATCACAGAATAATCACAATATTTTTTGCGATATTCTAAATAGCATCAAGATCTATTCATCGTATTTGCAATTTTATATCATTTACGGCACTAACTTTACATTAGTCTAATAATTTCTACAACGATTATTAGTCTCTGAATTAACATATTTAATGAATATGATACTTTCTTCTTATATTGCGAAACAAAAAATCTTGGATTGGCCACTTAAATTGATGTAACAAACCTAATTCAGGAATGAGAGTGGGATAGGTTCTGGAAATGTGCGCTTGCAAAGATCGGAACATTAACTTTCCACATCGGGAACAACGTTTCCATTTTAGTTGTCTTATTTGTCTGAAAATAATATCATACGTGCACAGAATCAATTTTGAATCAATTTTTTATAATATCCATGCAATTTAACATGTTGAAATATTTCTATTATAATGTGTTCAATGCTCAAATTGTTCTAATAAAATTTAAAAGAATTTTAAACACACACACACACACAAAATACATGCATATGGAAAGAATCTATCAAACATATTCTTATCTATTTCGTAAAATTATATTTGAAACAACAGAGAGAAAAAGACAAATTGTGAAATAAACTGCTACTAACTTGGTTTCGTCGATCATATCCACTTCCTGAGGTGCTGTAATTGGTGTATTGGAGTGTCCAGCAGTTGGATCATCATTGGCTAGCTCTCCGTTAGTCGACGACACCACCTGCGTACAACGTTGTTACGTTATTGTAAATCAATAAACGACAATAAATATACGGATTTCAACATTAAAGGATTCAATAGATTTATCTAGATATGGAATATATTTTCTGTTATCGTTGGACGTGAAAATTAGGGAAGTACTTTTTGTTGCACTACTTATTGGATTTTTGGCAAGAAAAACTACGTAAGAGTAATACAATTATATAATTTAAAAATAAGGTTTATTCAAAAGTCTACTTTTGCACAAATTACACAAAGATTCAAGTAAGATCTTAAGGGGTGAGAAAAATAAAATTATGCTGGTACAAAAGATTAACTGAAGAAAGAAGATATACAAAAGATATATAAAGCAGTATTCTAAATAAAAAAAAGGCGTAAAAGTGTGATAAACTTTTATTTTTATTAAAATTCATACGATGACGCTTCTGTTATTGCAAGTGCAGGGAAAAGACGAGTGATCGTACTATAATACCGGATTAGTATTTCATGTCCAATCAAAGAAAGAAAGTAAAAAGTGTCTCGATCGCAATCGACACAAAGACAACATGCTGCAACAAAGTCAAATTGCACAGACTTCTAACTGACCATAATCCAGTGGTGCTTTGTCTAGAAATAGAGCGAACAGTTTATACTCTTCGTATAGACTGAGACATCACGTATACGTTTATGAGAGTGAGAGACAAGAAAGATGATAAAGTTAGGAAAAGGTAATGAATAATAATTTGTCGTTTTAATTATTAAATTTGATTTAGTTTATCGATTTATATATCTTCCTGATTTCTTTAAGGATTTTATTTATTTATTTATTTATTTTAGAATCTACCATATATATAAAGGAAATCGCAAATTTAATATACTATCTTGAACATCGCATTGCTAAGAATCATGTTTATTTTTTTGCGAAATGATTCGACAAATAAACGAAAAGACGAGAAAAGCTGCAAATAAAGTTGAAAAGAAAGAAGCTCTTGGGAAATGAAGAGACGGAATGACACGAGAGAGGACGGAAAATGAGCAGGTAAACTCACCTGTACAGAGCCGTGCCTGTCAGCAGGTGTCAATGTACCACCGGCTCCTGATTGCTTCACAGTATCTGGCCACGTGGTTCCCACCCCCTTACCGCCCCCACCTCCCACCCCTCCACCTGCCAAGTCCTGAAGGAACAAGCATGACAATTTCGTTGCGTCGCGTTAACAATTTTGAAGGATTCGAAGGATAGTAGAAGAAATAGAATCAAGGAATATTCGAGAAAAATTTTCTCCGAGTAATTTCTGATGATAAAACGCGAACGCGTAATAAAGAGAATTAATAAAAAAGAGGAAACAAATCCTAATCCGATATTAATTTCTACAATACATATATGTATTAGGGGGATGAATATGTGGTTCGCTGCTCGATAATAGATACAACTAATTTATCTATGAATTCTATATTTTAAATATATTATCTTATGCATTTTATTTAGAGAAACTATGAGAAGATGGAAAAAATTTTCTGGCTCTACCTCTTGTTATAAGCAAGAGCTGCAATACTAAAGCAACTGTATCAAAATTACTTCTTCGTGCATGAGTTTATCGATATAAAATCGAATATATCACTTTGTAATTTCATCTAATGATTCTAACAATGTCTAAAAAATGTATTACTACTATCAATTCTCGTTCATCAACTATTTATTCATCAACTCATTATTTATCGAGTTCGCAGAATACGTATTTCATGATCGTGCGACCTTGTTTTACGGACAGAAAAACATCAATAACACGCATTATAAAATGCGGATATCTTTCCGGCTATATTGTAGCATCGTCTCCCCTCTACTGATAAGATAAAGCATGCATGAAGAAGTCAATTCTTCGAGCGTAACCTAAAGAGTGGCTTACATATTGGCCTTGTAATTCGAAGCGAACCTCATCCATCATGAGGATTACATCCTCCTCAAAATCATCGTACTCCTATAAATTGATGCCCGTTGGATTCGTGTAGAAACAAACGATAATATATAAAATTGCTTTTCCATAATGCTGCTCTCTCTCTCTTAGAGATCTACTAAATATCATTAACGTCGTTAAAAGCGCGTCCCAGGATCTTTTAAAATTATTATTATTCACTCTATCTGATTCTTTTCCACGAGATAAACGGTCTGAATCAAGGTCGTTGTTAAAATTCTGTCTTTGATCTTTTCGCTAATGAGGCGTGTATCCATGCGGTTAACTCGAATAACAAATAGACAGGCTACACACGTTCATGCTTTGGTTTAAAAAAATAACGAGAGAGAGGAAAGAAACGCGAAGGAAAAACGTAAGCAATACCTTATAAGCGGTTGGATGCCGATCACGATTTGGCGATACAACGATCTCCTGGCCGGTTTGAAGGGATCCCACGGGCGTGGACTGTAATAAAAGAGAAAACGTTTACTTTATATATGTATATATCGGACGAAAGTCTGTAGCAAATAACATTATTGTATATATTGTACATATTTCACGCGTTGTATATAGATAACATACTTGAAGCTCTGGAAGAAAGCGGACAGACAGACTTATTGACGGACTATGCACTTTAACTTACGCTTAACAGAAGACCTGTGACATCATAATGCGTTAGATCCCTATTTAAATAAAATCAATCGACTGTGAAAACGCTCTTTCTCATTCTCACTCTCTCACTCTCTCACACTCTCTCTCTCTCTCTCTCTTTCTTTATAGTAACGATTAGTTACGATGTTATAATAACGAAGCAACGCACTTTTTGTCATATATATAAAGAATAACATATATACATATATATAATATAAATAATATATATATATATATATATATAAAGAATTAGATTAAATAAGCAACTATATTGCAACATGCAGATATATTGTAGCTTAACTATTTGAGACCGCAATTATTTGCCGAGAGACGCTATTCGAGTCACCACCAACCTTGTCGGATTTGGTTTTGCCAATGTGTGAAGGAGCCGCCATCCGCAGCATTCTCAGTTGTTCAAAGTTGCATGGCTAGAGATAGTGCATTGAGGGGGAGGGCAGCATGCAAACGTTAAAAATCAAATGTGAGACTGCTCGCCGATAATGCGTTGCTCTTTGTTGCGTCTGTCAGAACATTGGCGAGACGAATCACTTACCCAACTGTATCAGAGTTTCTCTCCGATAAATCGTCAATTTCGTTTAGAAAAATAATAACTGCTAATAAAACTATATAATCAACAAGAAAGTGAGCCAATGAAAAATTGTAAGAATTTCGATTTAGAAAATAGAAATCATTTGCAGAAAGAAACATCAATTATAAAAAAAAAAATTGCATTAACTGTTAAAAATGCATTGCTCAAAAATACTAATAATATCATAAAAGATAAACATGTTTGTTGCAATACTTCAAAGCTTAAAATAACATTTTAATGGCAAGATTTTCTAATTACATAAAACTGGTCACAAACAAATATGACGCAAGTGATAAAATTTTCGTTTTTATGTCATTAAAAGGAAAATAAGATCGATAACGCGTCAAAGCAAGATCGCAGTTATCGATTCGTGTTCTCTTATTGGGGCAGCGACTATTATCACCGTCCCTTCCTGACGTAACAAACAAGTTAACATGCATATACATTGATGTCATTGTTTTTCTCGCGTATAAAATAAAAGCTATGCGCAAACGTGACATCCGCCGAAGCTTTTGCAAAAGTTCTTTGCATAACATTGACCTCGTGAAAAGAGTAAAAATCGTGATCAGTGATCATGATCGTGATCAACACGTACCATCGTCTTGCCAGTCCAATCAAACTCGCCGTCATTGACGAAACCGCGTCTCTCGTACAAATCGTGGAAGAGCTTCCTCAAGTACTCGTAATCTGGCGTTTCGAAGAAATCCAGCCTGCGTACGTAGCGCAGATATGTGGCCATCTCCTCGGGATGACCGTCGCAGAGCACCTCGATCGGCGTCGCTCGTTTCGTGTCACCAATCTTCTGGTAGCGCTCTTTCAGTGTATCAGCTTTTAGTCCTTGCCATGGCAGGCTACCGCGCAGGAAGTACATGAACATGTGACCCAGCGCCTCCAGGTCATCTCTTCTGCTTTGCTCTATTCATCATAATTTGTATCAGCAAATATCTTTCTATAAAAAATTTCAGTACGCGTTACATGTGCCTCGTGTTACAAATAAAAAAATAAATTCTAAAAAGTGTCTTGGATTACATGCAAGGTCAATTTTAATTCAAAGTTTTCCAAATTTTTCAGGGATGCAATGCCCTGTCATTAATAAATTTATATTCAAAATGAAACCGATATTTATTGAGAATGATATCTATTGAGAATGTAAACAGTTCCAGTATTCGCCGCACTTTCTCGCGAGCCACAACCACCGCACATAGTGATGGTTTAGCGCGTGGCAATTTGTCATGCAACGCGTACTTACACACATATACATAAATACACACACAACAAAACAAAAGTAAACGTCCGTTACCTTTGCCAAGATGTGTGTTAATGCTCATGTAACGCGCCGTGCCGGTGAGACTCTTGTGTTCCCGATACGGTATGTGCTTGTTCGTTTCCAAGTCTATGTACTCTTTGGCTAGTCCAAAATCGATTATGTGAATGATCTTTTCCCGCTTGGTAGTGGATCGTCCTATCAGAAAATTTTCCGGCTTGATGTCGCGGTATATCAAATGCCGACTATGAACGTATTCTATCCTATGGAGCTGTAAAAATAAATTATTTGTAAGTCAACATTGTTTCATCAACAAAATCATTTTCGCAATGCAATTTATCATTAGAATAATTTGTGTAAAAAAAAATATATATATTTTTATTCGATAATTCAACATTTCAACATCGTAAAATCTCAAACAAATGTCAAACAAAAATAAAATTTAGAAAGAAATGGCAGACGTTTGAAGTTTGTGCGATTCGCTAAACCGCGTCTGATCCCCATGTTTGAGATTGACTTTCAAAGTGTGGTGTTTGATAGTTAGTTTTGCGGACCTAAAGTGTTATAGTAATGCGACTTACGAGTTGTGTGGCAATGTTAAGAACGGTCTTGAGGGTGAACCTCCTCCCGCAAAGGTCGAAGAGGTCCTCGAGGCTCGGTCCGAGAAGCTCCATTACCAAGGCGTTGTACTTCCCGCACGGGCCGAAGTAGTACACTTCCGGTATACCCTCTATATGTGTGTTATGAACTATACCGATCGACAAAAGCAGATCACACCCCAGATCACCCCCAATAAACATGATATTATACCGATGGACGCCATACGCAACAAAAAACAAAACAAGCACTATTGTAGTTTTAATTCTGCAACGGCGAAAGATCTCGTTAATAAAAATGATATAAATATACATATCTGAGAATGCTTGAAATTTTCGAATTATTTCATCCTCGAGTAACGTGAATGTGAATACACAAAATAAAATTCATATTTTTGCATCACTGTTAATTGTGATATTTTATACAAATTTTTTCAACCAATTTTATACAACGCGTTTAAAATTCTGAATTAAACATATTAAAGCTGAGATAGTATAATAATTCTTTAGACAGATAATTTTCGAAATAAAATGTCCTTTTTATAAATTAAAGAGAAGATAATAGATAACTCTGGAAATAACATAAGATCAAAATACGACTGTGTTTAAAAAAATACGCACTTTTATACATTCATTAAAACTGATAATTTTAAGATTACGATAAATGATGACCTCGACATATTCGATAAGGAAAGATTGACTTAAAATAATTAATCAAAGAAACTGTTAATAAAAAATAATGCGGTAGAATGCGGAACATGAAAATGCAATATTTTAGTTCTTTAGACATAATGCACGGTATACATGTCCGATACAATCTTGATTCGTGACGTTAATTGTGTCGAACTTTAGCCGAGCATACAGAAATTACATGCGCCATTATATTTCGCATAAGATTTTTACTGATTTAAATCATATAAAAGTTGAAGTAAATTATCAACATAAATTATCTCGTGTCATATCGCGTCAAATTGTATAAAGTTGGCTAAGATTATTTTTGTTTTCCAATCAACTTTTAATGGAATTAAAAATTTAATGACATTAAAATATTGAATTAGTTTAAGTATCATCGATTTATCTTGCGCGCGTCGTAGAATTAATTATCTACTACTTTTCTATAAATGTCTTAATAAATACATATATTATAGATTATAGATATTTAGTATATATCTTAATTCCACATTTTGATATAAAAATTTCGAATTAAGGTTTCGAAGAATTTCATTTTAATATATGTATCTATCCTTTCGTCCATTTTCTTTGACTCGTTATAATATTCAAATAAGTGTAATAGTATAAAACACAATAGGATGACACTTACCATGTGTACCTAATAATTTGTAAAACCTATATTCTAAATGTAGCTGTGGTGCCTTTGACTTCATTGGTTCCTGCAACAGCAAAACGAAGGGTCGGTTAATGGAAATTCACTAACAACTTTTTCATCAAGTGTTGCAATTACATAAAATGCCTGTAGCTTTCACTCACCATTTTAATTGCTACGTGCTCATTATTGTACAGGTTCTTCCCTGGAAAGAGAAAGAAAGGTAGATAAGTATGAGAATGTTAGCGTGAAAAAAATACAAAGATCTACTGAGGAATTTATTCGCAATGTCGCATTATTATAGCAAAACTCTAAAGTGTGATGCATTTTTTCTGAAATAACTGATTCAATTCGCGTACAATGGCATATTGTCCCATTGCACACGAGCTACGCGATGTTTCGTGGATATTACGGCTCGATGACAATATGATTGTGCGATAATTAAATGTCGTGCGATGGCCCGCTTGCTACTGATTACAGTCAACGTGAGAAAATTAGATTGCCGAGATCGCTGCGGTATACGTGGTCACCATAGAATTATGGTCGTCGGTCATTAAACGCTTGTGCAAACTTATCGGAACTGTCCTATTTAATATAATCATATATAATATAAAATTAGGCAATCCAATATAATATCAATTGTTTCGATATCAAATTGCAATAAAACATTGACAAAAGTATAATATATTGCAAAATATATACATATAAAATAAAAAATGTGCTTTATGTTGGACTTTTAATATTACCTTTCTGTATTTTCTAGTGAGAAGAATATTAAATTGTTGATCATAATTGATTTATTTTAGGACATTAAAAAAGTGAGAAAACTTTCATTTAATCAGCATTTATAAATTTATTATTAATAATTTGATATATTGCAAATTATAAAAAAATTTATAAATGCTTATTAAATATAATTTTTTTCGTTGATGCTCCAAAATATGATAATAATAATGCAGCATACTTGTCTTTGTATGACACAAAAAGATAATAAAAATTCAACATTATAGAACACATTTTACATTTTATGTATAGAATATAAGAATCTAAAATAAATAATATTCTCTCTCTTGTATCAAATTAATTGTTAAATTGTCGCTAAAAATCACAAATCTGCATAAAGTTTAAATATTGAACAAATATAATTATAATATATCTCTCTGTTTAATAATAAATAAATATAAATATAAGGACAATTTTTCACTCTTTGTATTACAGAAAATTTTTGAATAAAAAAAAGTTATGACAGATTATAGGTATTCAATATTTAATATTAAATTTAATTTTGTCAACAAGCATTATAAATATATGTACAAACATATGTCTCATAATCACACGTGACTTATGGACAGATGAACAACCGGTTTTGCTGGTTATAGAAGCCGCAAAAACCTAAGGCGCAAAATTCAATTTTGTCACAGTTCAATTTTGTTTGCAAAGGCTTCATCGTAATATATTGCGAATCTAATAAATGCAACGCATATGCATTAAGTGCAGTGTACTTTCTCATTCTCACAAATAAGAATATTAATATCGAAAAAATAGCGTGCTGGATATAATATTATTATGTAATTATATTATGATATAACATTATTATATAATATTATTTGAAAAATAGAGTACAAAATTATGATATAAAGATATAGTAGAAAATAAGAAATAGTGAGAAGAAAAATAAGAAAATGTGAAATAAGAATGATGAAGACTACTTGAAATTTGTCAATATCTTGCAATTTATCTACAATTAAGAATCGAGAAATTATTCCGTAAAATTAGCCGCACACATGTGAACACTTGCATCTTTTTATAAAAGTATAAGCGAACGAGTATAGCTTTTCCTTCATAACCGCATCCGCGAATAATCATTTATTCGACTAGCGCTATAAACTGACGTGTGAAGATAATATCGTCGTTGACGTTCCGCTCGATGTTCGCGTAAGAAAAATGAAGCATTCGTCGTGGCTCTTCGCGCTAGTCGCTCGACGAAAGCACATTCCTGCGGCCGCTTATATGTGCACCTACCTGCGGAGACATAAAGGATGCGGGCCGGAACGCACGAACGAACGAACAAAACTCTTCGCCAGAAGCGAAGGTCAATGACTCGCGCGCGCCCGCGCTCGAGCGCCAGCTCCGCAATTAGCGGTTCGATATCTTTCGCGGTAATTAGCGCAACGTCGCGACTTCTTCGGTCCTCATATTCCGCTCTTGTCCTGTCGTTGCGCGTCGTTAGATTATTTCGGATAGAGCTGGCCACGCCCTTGTGCGGTGTATATAGGACTGTCACACCGCCGACCCTGCGACTGTGGTTTCCTCGACAGGAAGCAGTCGCGATGACACCATCGAATACAGAGATCTTACGAGAATGTCAATAACTTGACCGCTGAATAATCACGCATCTTCCTCAAACTTTTCCCAACGTCTCCACATACATACATATATATATGTTTATTTTTTTATTTTTAAATACTACACAGAGAGATTTTCTCTTAGAATTTATTCCGAAAACACATGGGAATCGTAGGACAATATATGGTACTGGAAAAATTTTATGAGTTTCTCTTATTAATATTTACCACAATAAAAATATTAATATCTACCAATAAGATATAATTAAATATGTTCGATTAATTTTACTATGTATATATATTAATATTTTTTAGTGTGATAAATATTAATCAGACAAACTCTTATAAAATTTCTTCCAATATTTATTGTTCCACAATTACCATAATTTTCAGAGTAAATTCTATAGAAAAAAATTATCTCAGTATATATTAATAATTTTCAGAAGAAAATAATCAGTGTATTTCAATAAGAATAATAATAATAATATGCATGGTGATGATGTAAAATCATAATATCATTGCAATTTATCACATTAATTCCATATGCTATCGTAGTAATCTTTTTCTTATACTATTAGTTTCATCGCGATAAAAATATGCAATTTTTCCGTTGTTGTGTAAACATTGCTATATAGAATGAAAGCAACGATAATATCATGAAAGATCGATATCATAAAAAATATTGACGTTTTTAATGAATTAACAATCACATGTCTTCTCGGAAATTTTCTTCGTGAAATGTCGCATCCTATATTTCTATTTTAGATGTTAAATCAATACTTTTCTTATAAGTAATCACATACGGGGAAATACGTGCATGCCACTAATGATAATAATATCAGTAATGACACAGCAATATCGATAAAATAAGTCATAATTGATGATATAAAATAATGGTTGCATTTTTGCACGACACGTTTCAAGTGTTCGGCTCAACGAGCGTTAAGGGAACGATCGATCGACCCTGCCTGTAAAGAGCCACCGAAGAGGATCTTTTATCGAACGGCCACTCATCGCGGATATAACCAGTCTTACCGGTGCGAACGGGTGCCACACGAACGGATGCCACGAGAGCGCAGAGAGGCAAAAATTACCACGACAGAGCGTGGAAAACTATCGACCTGCCAACGTGCGCGAATCCGTACGAAGGTATAAAGAATGGCGAAGACCCACCAGACAAAAAAAGGCCAAGATCAGACGGAATTGCCACATCCTGCCCGAATGAGCATTAAGGAAAGTCAGGGTTTCTAAGATGCCCTAACGAGCTTATTTCGGTCATCGAGATAAACAAGTGGACTCGCAGAGCAAAGTTTGGGGATGTGCTTTTGAAAGTTTGCAAGTGTTTACATTTTTTATATTGCACCACTTGCTCTAATGGCAGGTTCTTCAGACTATTTAGACGATGTTTTCTCAACAAAAATGTCAGGCATCAATAATTTGCGAGTTGGAAGAAGAGCTTTTCGTAAATTAAATAAAGTTTTACATATTACATATATATGATCCGCGATAATTTTATCTCTTTTGCTTTTTTTTGTGGCGCTCTCTTAGCTGCTCATTATGTCTTTTATTTTTTGTTTGTTTTTTCGAAGATTTATACGAAGAGCTAAGATAAACGCTCTCTACTAGCATCATTACTATGGCGTCTAATGGGAAATCCGACCCTGATCCCCTATCCCTTTCTGCTCGCTCTCTTTCATCCATCCTCGTCAATCGTCTTCTCGTTCTCGCTCAGGCTGCGATTAACGCACGAGCACACGGAGACAATGAGAAAGACAAAGAGAACGATGAAAGGTTTGGTCGTGGATAGGCATGAGAAGGGAGTGTGCGCCATGGTGCGCGAAATATACACACGCACGTGTATCCCCTTGCGTGGCTTCGTCAGAGCATATATCCCTGTTGTGACACACGCATGGAGACACGTGTGTGCACGCGTGTGGGAGGATTAACCCCTTCGCTGTTCTGCATCTACCGGCAAAGCATCTGTACTCTCGGAAGAAAGTGTGCATCATGCTTGGAGAATATTTACGCTGACCATCAGTTTATTATTTTTTAGAAGACCCTCCTTTATTTCAAGTAGCTATCCCTTAGATTTATTCACTTTTCCAAAACTCCATTTTGTCCTTCATTTTTTATTTAGCCTTTTAATATCTAATCTGTATAGTATTAATATATGAGAATTACGAAAACAACGAATCTATTTAAGAAACCAAGGATTTGTTTCAACATAGTCGAATCAGTTTCAAACACGGAGAGAATTTTCTCTTAGAATTTACCCTGAAAATTACCCTGTAATATTAATAGTAAATTATAAAATTTTTCCAATACCATATTGTCTCACGATTACCATGATTTTTCAGGGTGAACTCTAACAAAAATTTTCTCTGTGTAAGAATACTTAGACTTCTGATAGTTATAGAGAATTATTTTTTTGCTCGTTTTTTTATCTCCACTTTGATCGCAAACTGATGTTGAAACAAAGCTCTAAAATTTTCAGATTTGTCCCTTATTGCAAGATAGAAGAGTAAAACGGAGAGAAAAGTTGAAGGAACGGATGTAATTATCGATTCTTTTTTCAATGTAAAAATACTTCATAATATTTCCGGGTACAAATCTTCTTCTAGTTAACTAATTTATTTCTGATTTAGCTAATAATTGACACTTTACATCGCCTTTAAAACAAGTTATTAGCAAGCTGTTATATTCACGACAATTTATCGAGCAGTGATGGTCTGGTATAAAGACCAGTTTAGACTAGAGTTATAGCGAAGAGCTTACTTCAACGAAACCGTGCCAAGCTTCAAAGTTAATCATACACCTTGAGGCAAATCGGGATAGTTACACGCACTGGAAGTATTTATCC